AACCCCTGACCCTGGGGCCATGAATTTCACAATTTTGAAAGAGGCACTCTTCCTCATCATAACTATGTACTTAGTTACTTTATTTAATACCCAGGAGCAGAGAAGAAGATTTTCAAAGAATTAATGCATTTTCACTATATAATCAATAGAGCCCCGCCCTAACACCAGAACCCCTGACCCTGGGGCCATGAATTTCACAATTTTGAAAAGGCATCCTTATGCATCATAACCATGCACTTAGTTTGTTTAAATAATACCCAGGAGCAGAGAAGAAGATTTTCAAAGAAATAATGCACTTTCACTATATGATCAATATAGCCCCAACCTGGGGCCAGAACCCCTGACCCTGGGGCCATGAATTTCACAATTTTGGAAGAGGCACTCTTCCTCATCATAACTATGTACTTAGTTACCTTATTTAATACCCAGGAGCAGAGAAGAAGATTTTCAAAGAATAAATCCATTTTCACTATATAATCTATAGAGCCCCGCCCTAACACCAGAACCCCTGACCCTGGGGCCATGAAATTCACAATTTTGAAAGAGGCACTCTTGCTCTTCATAACTATGTACTTAATTACCTTATTTAATACCCAGGAGCAGAGAAGAAGATTTTCAAAGAAATAATGCACTTTCACTATATGATCTATATAGCCCCACCCTGGGGCCAGAACCCCTGACCCTGGGGCCATGAATTTCACAATTTTGGTAGAGGGCTCAATGCTTATTACAATGTTGCCAACAGTTTGACTGCTTGATGTCCAGGAGTAAAGAAGAAGATTTTTAAAGATTACATTATTTTTGGTGGTTTTAGCCCCACCCCTCAGGCCCCAGGGGGGCAGGGACCATGAAATTCACAATTTTTGTTTCCCTTCACCCATAGATGCTATATGCCAAATTTGGTTGAAATTGGTTAAGCAGTTTCAGAGAAGAAGCTAAAAATGTTCAAATGTTAACGCACGACGCACGCCGACGGACGAGAACGGATAGCAATAGGTCACCTGAGTGACTCAGGTGACCTAAAAATCAATGATGTAAATGACTACATGCTACAATCTAATTGAAATTAAATCCTTTGATCAGCTCACATACGATCGCTACACAAAGTGTGTAGGGATCATATGTGAGCAGATCAAAGGATCTAATTTTAATTAGATTGCACATGCAATGGACAAATTTGGATCAAAAAAGCTCACCTGTGCCACTGTGCAAAAGGAGGAAGGGGTATTGATGCTGTGTATGTAGTTTATATATATTCTATTTTTATTACATATTAAAATTATTTTCAACAATTACCTTGTTATTTTACCTGTCCAAAGAACATGACAAAAAAAGATAACAGGGTGATTGGTAGAAATATAGGCATACAGGTGTCAAAACTCCCTTTTGGTGAACAGTCTGCATCACTCATTGTTTATCCACCATTAGTGATCTTTAACAGAGGAGACTATGTAGGTTTCACATGTTGACAGTCTACACACCATTGAGTAAACTACATCATTTCCAACTAAAAGAAATCTTTTTTATTCACAATAAATGGATTGAAATATGCTGCTCAAAATAACTTCAAAATATCAATAACTTCCTCATTCAATTTAAAAAAAAATCTTATTGAAAATACCAGATCATAAGTTTAGTTTAAGTACACTTCATACTTTCTTCGACGTTAACAAACCTAGATGAAAATGGCAGATAGGCAAGTTCAATTGCTGGTGATCAGATACAAGAAGCTCAGGCAGGTCCAATTGCTGGTGACCAGAATGAGATACACTTAGTGGTTTGGATTGTGCTGACCGGGATGTCGGCATGGGTGGATTAGAGCAGCTTACAAGCTATGCAGGAGTCCAAGTTTGATTCCCTGTCAATCCTTTCCAGTTATAATATTAAATTAACATATGAAAAAGTATAGATATTAGCGAGCGCAGTGAGCGGTGCGAAGCGCCGCTCGTCACTGGGAGCTCTAAAAGCAATGCCTGGGCAAAGAAAAAATTTGGACTTTGCAAATTGATCCAAATGAATTTTTTTCCTCAGTTACCTGTGGTCCCATAATACTTCGCGAATTGCTTCTCCCCGCAAACAACGTTCTCGCGGTAACAAGAAGTTCCAAAAAAAATATACATCCACGTTGATTTGATGGATGTATAGCAGACAAATAGTAGATTAAAACTTCTTTATTAAAATAAGCCCTGTTCAGACTTTGTTTTGGTAATGCTACTTACAAGCGACGTTATGCGAGTGTGACTTCAGAGTCTAGACGTACTAAAAGTCTCGTGCAGTTCGATAACTTTGAAGAGCCCGATCTAAATTAAAACTGAATATAGGTATCTGCGCTCACCCTTATGGTCGCACCGTCAACATATTAAAAATATACAAGACATTGTACGTTCGAAAATGACAAAATAATTCCCCTACTCTCGCACTGAAAGTCTTCAAACTTCTATACATTTATAATATATATATACACACTTTTGAATAAATTCACTAAATTCTAAAGAAAATAAGGAGCTGTGTAAGAGTGTGGGGTGCTTACTTTATTGAAAAATGAGAGGGGTAGATGTTGATTATACTAGGCCTACGTTTTCTAGTGGGGTTTCTAACATAAACCATAAAAATACACCTCACCCTCCGGCCGCCAGTCCGCTTCTTTTTTCTTATACAATGCACATAACACAGCTATTCGATGTAGCATCAATCTTTCGGTGTATTTTTCTTTGTGACCTCTTCGTTTCTACTTCCGTTTCATTTTCAGTTCTTGCTAATCATCTCCCGCCGCTAAACTAACTTCGGGATCGATGTACTCAGCTACGTAATATAAAACTGAAACCATACCGGAATTAATTTTCCCGAACTGCTTGACTGGTTAAGTAATAGACTCTACCTTCCAGGAATTGTGGAAAGGGTACCAGACTAAGTTTGTCCTGAGACCTTTATACAGACTAATGACCAATGACATCCTTCGTAACGAAATAAATAAACAATCTTCGGATACAATATAAATGAAAAATTATCGCAAACAGATAAGAAATTATCGCATACAAATAAGATATTATACAATGCAAATGGAAAATATAGAATACAAACGGAAAATTATACAATACAAATGATTTTTTTTACAATACAAATGTAAAATATAGAATACCAATAAACATTATACAATCCAAATGGAAAATTATAGAATCCAAATGGAATATTATAGAATACAAATAAAAATTATACAATACAAATGGAAAATTATACAATACAAATAAAAATTATACAATACAAATGGAAAGTTATACAATACAAATTGAAAAAGATCGAATATTGCAACATTTGACATGCCATAGTCCAGAAAATCATAAATGGTACATGTCTAAAGCATGGATCAATCGCACTTTGGTGTCGAGTCCAGGGATAGACATTAACTTTTAGATTCACTTGCCCTTCGGCAAGTGAATCAAACTTTGACTTGCCCGAATGCAAAACTTGGTTGCCCAAAATTAGGAAAGAAAATTATTATTTATTACTGAAATAATGATATAGAAAAAATGTGACGAAATACACTACTGTCAAGCAACAGCAAGTTGAGCTTCATGAAAAAATTTCGATGTTGCGTTTGTACATAAAAGTGTACCACTGTCCTTGTCATTTAACCTGTTAACACTCACTGCCATGCAACAATAATCCTCCGTTTACTTTTAATAAAATTCATATTTTTAAAAATTATTTTCGGAAGGATCTTTTTGTGAATCGTGATCTGTGATGCAACGGTAAAGGAAGATATACATATCTTGCTCGGGATACATCGTGTTACTTATATTCTGTGAGTGAATAATCTAATTTCCTAATAAATATTAACAAAAGTTGTTAGACGTAGAGCCACTAGAAGGTATTTACCACGAAAGAAAACAGAATAACGAGCCCGATTTTTTAATGGACAGTATAATCTAGAAACCAATGTCAGTCGGGTATCTGGCGGAAATCAAGTGTTCAATTCATTGTTTCATTTATAAATCAATGTAAACAAAACAAATATGTACATTTCTGTGAGAAAAATTCACTTGCCCGATCGGACAAGTACATCGACAGTTTCACTTGCCCGAACTAAGAATTTACTTGTCCCGGGCAATCGGACAACCGTTAATGTCGATTCCTGGACTCGAGATATGGATATCTGCATGTCAGATCAAGTTTTTTAATTGACTACATTCCTTTGCGGTTTCTGGGGTTTCATGGAAGTTCTACTCGTAGTTTAGGTTAAATTTGCTTTTATCTCCACTTTTGTTTGCCATATACAATGGATAGTTAATTAATGATTGTTCTTTCAGTTTTAAGGAAAATGTACCAAAAGTATATTAAACCTGATACAATTCTCCTTATTCAAATTATAAGATTTTTTGCCATATGTCTGAAAATTACATGTATGTACACTGTTAAAATCACTGACTTAAAAGTACATGCACTCAAATGCAACTTGATTGACCGCTAGACATTATAAACCTATTCTCTCTCTCTCTCTCTCTCGTTGTCGATTAATGTGGTTAATTTACATAAAAGACAGATCATTTTATCCGAAAGATTTAATGAGACCAACATATCTTCATCTTCTTAACCAAAAAGAAATCTATATGAATATCCCTAACAAAATTAAGATTGGGTCATTATTCTACGGGGTCACTTTTCTTCCCGTAGGGTATGCAGATTTTAAGAGTGATGCCACTTTTTTATTCAGGCAAAAGGGTCATTTTTCGACGTCAAATTATGACCGAGGTCATTTTTCGACAAGCCTCGACTTTGTCATTACCATGTTTACCATGTCTACTCTTTATTATAAACTACGGTAAGATTTGCATAAAAGTTCGATATTTAGTTAGTTGGAATTAAATGATAACAATTTGTCAAGCATCCTCATGTCCTATGATATCAATTTCTCCGAAACAGCCTCTACAACCGAGTGCGCCACAAATACATTATAACAAGAAATGCAATGGGTTGAAACATTTTCTTTTATATCTTTGTAGATCACCTGAATACATAATTTATACAATGCTTCGACCAGCTGTGATATCAACAGTCCTTCTTATCACTGTCTCGACCACTACTACTCAAGCGCCCAGCAATCCATCATTCTGTCGAGACTTAGACTGCCCTAGGTATACCGTGATAAATACATTTAAAGTGAGTATTCAAGTGGTCATTTCTTCAATGATTCAAATACTTATATAAGTGTTGAGTAACCTTTTTGCCCTTTTTTACACGTAGTAATGTGAGACGTAAGTATATAGAAGCATGCATGAATTATGTAGTCATTATAAGACAAGGGTATATTGTAAAAGCAATGCTAGTGCCCAGCCCTAATTGCAGGTGTAATCTGTTTTCCCATAAAATCAAAAAGACTGTAATTCCAACAAAAATCATTTATAAAAGAGGAAAGAAATGCAAACGATCTGTAACTCATCAAGGTAGACCCAAAAATCAGTTCAATATCTGCGAGCATGGGACAGACACGCTGATAAAGGGACAGACTGGATAAAGAGGAAACCTTTAGTCCCCTCCAGTTTCAGTGGTAGGGGACTAATAATGCATAAAAAAGAGAATATGTTATAAAAACAGAACAATCACCAGTCAACAAACCCACGGACTAGATGATACATAGTAATGATTTTTTTTCATTTGTGCTCACCAGGGATACGAATTAAGGAGATACGAACCTTCTCAATGGGTAGGTACACGGGATGTTACACGGACTAACCAGAGAAACCCAAAGATGTTCTGGAAACTGTTTTCCTACATTTCCGGCAATAATACTGAAGGTATAATTCATACTTGTCTGTTTATTGATCTAAAGCACAGAAACCTTTATTTATTTCAGTCATGGATGTTAATTATAATTTTGTCTTTCTGTAGGTTTGAAGATTCCAATGACTGTTCCTGTGTTGAACATACACACTCGTGGCGTGGGAATAAACAACCAAGAAACTGTTTTGGAGATGCTTTTTATGATCCCACATAGCAAACAACCTTACCCCCCTTACCCTGCCGACCCTACAGTATACATCACTAGGCTCCCTGCATTTAATGTCTATGTCAAGTGAGTATAGTTCATAGTACATGTTACAATGATATTTCCTATTTTGCATGGTGCTCTTTTTAAAATATAATATCCTACGATGGAGATCAAATGTACGGAAGCGTATTAGGGCCGCAGCAGTATCTTTTATTAATTTGTTTTAACAAATTACTAATTTGTTATAACAGATTACTAATTTGTTATAACAAATTACTAATTTGTTATAACAAATTATCAATTTGTTAAAACAGATTACTAATTTGTTATAACAGATTACTAATTTGTTATAACAGATTACTAATTTGATATAACAAATTATCAATTTGTTATAACAAATTATCAATTTGTTAAAACAGATTACTAATTTGTTATAACAGATTACTAATTTGTTATAACAGATAACTAATTTGTTATAACAAATTACTAATTTGTTATAACAAATTATCAATTTGTTAAAACAAATTACTAATTTGTTAAAACAAATTACTAATTTGTTATAACAGATTACTAATTTGTTATAACAGATTACTAATTTGATATAACAAATTATCAATTTGATATAACAAATTAATAATTTGTTATAACAAATTAATAATTTGTTATAACAAATTGGTAATTTGTTATAACAAATTAATAATTTTGATAAAGTGAAAGTGTATACAGATCTATGGAAGCCAGATGAGATCAGAAATCTTTTTATAAGTTGGATTTGTGAAAATAATAAATGTACAAGCTCTGCAGCTACAGCTTTTGACCAATATGTTAATCTGGATTTACATCTTTTAGCATTTAGAGTTTTCACTGTCAAACATTATTGTTATAAGGATACAATGCATCAAATTCTTTGGTTCCTATTTACTTATTCTTAGGAGCTCTATTTGAATTTTGACCTCCTCCCCCACCAGGGCTCCGTCCTTGACTCCCATTTACCAGGTCATTGCATCCCCGTTCGTATGCTAGGAAAAAAATATCTTATCAAAGACATGTTATTTGGAGAGGGAATTTTTCCCACCCTGAATCAACACATTCATTATAATATGTTTTTTTTTCAATATGTCTTTTATTTTATTTCATTTTATCCCCCCCCCCTCCTCCCTCTCTCTCTCGATTCATTCTATACATGTACCAAATGATTTATGCCTACTGTTCAATCCAGTTTATGTATCATGAATAAAATATATTTTAAACTAAACCGCCTTCCTAATGCATAAACCTGAATCTGCTCCTCTGGTGAACCTCCTTGGCCCCAATTTATGCTGGGGGCAATAAAGGCAACATTGATAAAAAATGAATTTGTAGATAAATTATCATAGAAAAATTGATAAACACTCTGTAATATTAAATAACCTTTTCTGAAAACGAAAATAAACAATATTCTTGAGTGGGTAGTACTTCGTAAAATTTGAATTTAGATACCTTGTGAAATTTTTTCGTGTATGTATGTAATTTTTATAATCAAAATACGTGCCTTTTGGAAAAGCCCTCGAAGTCTCACTAAAGCCTTCATAACTTATTATTGGCTGAAAACTTTGACAGTTGTTTCTTCAAATTCATTTGTAATTTGTATCCTGGTTGTCACATATAGGACTACTCATATATTTTACAAGAAATCATTAAGCAATATAATTTGTTATAACAATACACACAAAATATTACACATGTGTAAAGAAGGAAAAAATAGGTCTTCTCCCCTTTTGCCCCCTGTGTTGACATTGAAAAAAGTGTTGATTTGAATGGACGACGTTGAAATCATATTTAATTGTCCGGAACTTCGAATTTTTCTCGAAGGATCCAACATTCTGTATTTCTTCTACATAATCCCTGGGATGCAGCTATTCTTTTAATTGTCTAACAGAGAAATCTATTCCAAGGAACTGACTCAAAAAAAAAAACAAACAAAAAAACAAAACAAACAAACAAACAACAACAAAACAAAACAAAAATTTAAAAAAAAACAAAAAACCTGCAATTAAACAAAAATTAAAGTGCTTTAATCTAAGTTGCTAATTCATCTAAATCCACATTAACATATTGATCAAAAGCTCTCCAAAGCTTATGCTTTACGTTTTCATAAAACCGATTTAAAATAAGATTTCTGATCTGATCTGGCTTCCATAGATCTGTATTCACCTTCATATTTTGTAAAAAATAATAATTTTTTAAATCAAATTAGTAATTTGTTATAACAAATTACTAATTTGTTATAACAAATTAGTAATCTGTTTTAACAAATTGATAATTTGTTATAACAAATTGATAATTTGTTATAACAAATTAGTAATTTGTTATAACAGATTAATAATTTGTTATAACAAATTGATAATTTGTTATAACAAATTAGTAATTTGTTATAACAAATTAATAATCTGTTATAACAAATTAGTAATCTGTTTTAACAAATTGATAATTTATTATAACAAATTGATAATTTGTTATAACAAATTAGTAATTTGTTAAAACAAATTAATAAAAGATACTGCTGCGGCCCTATTACGCTTCTACGGAAGCGTATTAGGGCCGCAGCAGTATCTTTTATTAATTTGTTTTAACAAATTACTAATTTGTTATAACAGATTACTAATTTGTTATAACAGATTACTAATTTGTTATAACAAATTATCAATTTGTTTTAACAAATTACTAATTTGTTAAAACAAATTACTAATTTGTTATAACAGATTACTAATTTGTTATAACAGATTACTAATTTGTTATAACAAATTATCAATTTGTTAAAACAAATTACTAATTTGTTATAACAAATTACTAATTTGTTATAACAGATAACTAATTTGTTATAAGAAATTATCAATTTGTTATAACAAATTACTAATTTGTTATAACAGATTATCAATTTGTTATAACAAATTATTAATTTGTTATAACAGATTATTAATTTGTTATAACAGATTACTAATTTGTTATAACAAATTACTAATTTGTTAAAACAAATTACTAATTTGTTAAAACAAATTACTAATTTGTTATAACAGATTACTAATTTGTTATAACAGATTACTAATTTGATATAACAAATTATCAATTTGATATAACAAATTAATAATTTGTTATAACAAATTATTAATTTGTTATAACAAATTGGTAATTTGTTATAACAAATTAATATTTTGATAAAGTGAAAGTGTATACAGATCTATGGAAGCCAGATGAGATCAGAAATCTTTTTATAAGTTGGATTTGTGAAAATAATAAATGTACAAGCTCTGCAGCTACAGCTTTTAACCAATATGTTAATCTGGATTTACATCTTTTAGCATTTAGAGTTTTCACTGTCAAACACTGTTGTTATAAAGATACAATGCATCAAATTCTTTGGTTCCAATTTACTTATTCTTAGGAGCTCCATTTGAATTTTGTCCTCCTCCCCCACCAGGGCTCCGTCCTTGACTCCCATCTACCAGGTCATTGCATCCCCGTTCGTATGCTAGGAAAAAATATCTTATCAAAGACATGTTGTTTGGAGAGGGAATTTTTCCCACCCTGAATCAACATGTTCATTATAATATGTTTTTTTTTCAATATGTCTTTTATTTTATTTCATTTTACCCCCCCCCCCTCCCTCTCTCTTTCTCGATTCATTCTATACATGTACCAAATGATTTATGCCTACTGTTCAATCCAGTGTATGTATCATGAATAAAATATATTTTAAACTAAACCGCCGTTCCTAATGCATTAACCTGAATCTGCTCCTCTGGTGAACCTCCTTGGCCCCAATTTATGCTGGGGGCAATAAAGGCAACATTGATAAAAAATGAATTTGTAGATAAATTATCATAGAAAAATTGATAAACACTCTGTAATAACCTTTTCTGAAAACGAAAATAAACAATATTCTTGAGTGGGTAGTACTTCGTAAAATTTGAATTTAGATACCTTGTGAAATTTTTTCATGTATGTATGTAATTTTTATAATCAAAATACGTTCCTTTTGGAAAAGCCCTCGAAATCCCACTAAAGCCTTCATAACTTATTTTTGGCTGAAAACTTTGACAGTTGTTTCTTCAAATTCATTTGTAATTTGTATCCTGGTTGTCTCATATAGGACTACTCATATATTTTACAAGAAATCGTTAAGCAATATAATTTGTTATAACAATACACACAAAATATTACACATGTGTAAAGAAGGAAAAAATAGGTCTTCTCCCCTTTTGCCCCCTGTGTTGACATTGAAAAAAAGTGTTGATTTGAATGGACGACGTTGGAATCATATTTAATTGTCCGGAACTTCGAATTTTTCTCGAAGGATCCAAAATTCTGTATTTCTTCTACATAATCCCTGGGATGCAGCTATTCTTTTAATTGTCTAACAGAGAAATCTATTCCAAGGAACTGACTCAAAAAAAAAACAAACAAACAAACAAACAACAACAAAACAAAACAAAAATTTAAAAAAAAACTGCAATTAAACAAAAATTAAAGTGCTTTAATCTAAGTTGCTAATTCATCTAAATCCACATTAACATATTGATCAAAAGCTCTCCAAAGCTTATGCTTAACGTGTTCATAGAACCGATTTAAAATAAGATTTCTGATCTGATCTGATCTGGCTTCCATAGATCTGTATTCACCTTCATATTTTGTAAAAAATAATAATTTTTTGAATCAAATTAGTAATTTGTTATAACAAATTACTAATTTGTTATATCAAATTACTAATTTGTTATATCAAATTATTAATTTGTTATAACAAATTACTAATCTGTTATAACAAATTAATAATTTGTTATAACAAATTAGTAATTTGTTATAACAAATTGATAATTTGTTATATCAAATTGATAATTTGTTATATCAAATTAGTAATTTGTTATAACAAATTAGTAATTTGTTATAACAAATTGATAATTTGTTATAACAAATTGATAATTTGTTATAACAAATTGATAATTTGTTATAACAAATTAGTAAGTTGTTATAACAAATTAGTAATCTGTTATAACAAATTAGTAATCTGTTTTAACAAATTGATAATTTGTTATAACAAATTGATAATTTGTTATAACAAATTAGTAATTTGTTATAACAGATTAATAATTTGTTATAACAAATTGATAATTTGTTATATCAAATTGATAATTTGTTATATCAAATTAGTAATTTGTTATAACAAATTAGTAATTTGTTATAACAAATTGATAATTTGTTATAACAAATTGATAATTTGTTATAACAAATTAGTAAGTTGTTATAACAAATTAGTAATCTGTTATAACAAATTAGTAATCTGTTTTAACAAATTGATAATTTGTTATAACAAATTGATAATTTGTTATAACAAATTAGTAATTTGTTATAACAGATTAATAATTTGTTATAACAAATTGATAATTTGTTATAACAAATTAGTAATTTGTTATAACAAATTAATAATCTGTTATAACAAATTAGTAATCTGTTTTAACAAATTGATAATTTATTATAACAAATTGATAATTTGTTAAAACAAATTAATAAAAGATACTGCTGCGGCCCTATTACGCTTCCGTACAAATGACTGCCTGCAAAAAATTACAGTAAACTAAGTGAGCATGCATGGATAGTCCGCTTGTAAAAATAAGTGTGGAACTTATATACTACTCTTAAAACAAGAAAAGCAAATCACATTGATTGGTTTTCTTGTGTTTTAATTAAGCACATTCAGTAATAGTTCAACCAAATCTGAAAGCTTTCGATATTCCAAAACTTTTTTTGCACGTGCGACGCTTTAATGTTCCATACAAAGTCGAGTAATTCATTACAGAGTCGTTTATTTCACTTATCTAAATAAACGAAACTTGATCTTTATAATGCATTGATCTCGCATATATAATTTGAAAAGTTAATAGGTTAAGGGTGTATTATCCCATTTAGCAGTTTAATAACGTGTTTAAATCCTGATATTCTTTCTTCAAGGTCTTACAGCGGATACTCGAATCCAAGGAGGAAACTTGCGAGGGTTGCAGAACTCAAGAAAGAGATAAACGACACGAATCTGTATTACAGCGATCACTTCTATTCAGCCGGGTACGATAGTCCTTGGCAGACTAACAACAGACATAACGAAGTATGGCTGGCTGCTAGACAGTAACAGTTACAACGAAGTATAGCTGGCTGTGAGATAGTCACTGTGTTGCACATCATTCATCGTATAATCCTTCATCCTCCAGTTATGCAAACGAATTCGTGAGATTCAGATTTTTCTCATCTTCGCTAGCTAAGGGTTTCCGATACGCTATTCCCCTCACAAAACAAGTTATGAGGAGAGTAGCGGATCAGAATCCCTAGGATAGCGAAGATGATTTTTTTAAAGGAAAAAAGATTTCTCAGATCTCCGACTCCAAACTGGTCAGTGAATACTTCCATCAGTGCCCATCGTGTATGCACCCCCTTCGTTAATATTATAATGATTTATTCCAGCAGTTTGAGAATTCTTCCCAAATCTTTGATACTGATAGTTATCTCTTTATAATACCAGCGGATCCAGGGGGGATCCGAGGTCCCCCCTTTATTTTCGCACAGAGAGAGAGAGAGAGAGAGAGATGTTTTCTGGAATAGCTATTTTTACGTCTACTACATTTCGAATAAAACAAAAGTTCAAAATAACTCGTTAATCTCTACCCATTTACTCTCTTAGATACAATCTCGCTTTTTTTGCTTTCATCCGTTTACCTTAACAACACCCCCCCCCCCCCCGCCCGCCACCCACACCCGGAGGCTTACAAATTTATAATGCTATCACGAAGCGTTTCATTTATGAGTGAATGAAAGAAGATGTTCTTTAATTCAATATATATATGACAAGTAACATGCAATGATTCAATTTGATGTCAACAGACGATTCCAGCGAACTTTGGCTATACGTACCTTTTTCGGAACATCTGATGGAGATAACTTTAAAAAGTCATGAAAGTAATGCTCAGATCTAGAGGGCGTGGGGGAGGGGGTGTTCCGGATCCCCCCGGATTTAAGAGGTGCTCAATTTCTATGTAAAAAAAAAAGGATAACATCCTTGGACGCCCCCCTTTCCAGGAAATATTGATCCCTTTAAAATGGAGAAAATAGTCATGGAAAATTGATTTAAAAAATGTGTTGATGTGGAAGCCCCCCCCCCCCCCGGAAAAAATTCTGGATCCGTGCCTATGAAAGGGAATATGCATAATTTTTTTTCTCTCCATGTGTGTGTGTGACTCTATGTTTGAGTGTTTGGCGCCTCCTCCCTGGACCTCCTCCCCCCTTCTTCAAAAATTACCTCTGGTATTACTCACACGAATCTCTGAAAACTTCGAATAAAATGAATGCAGTCGTGAGGAATACATGTAATTCTAAAAGTAAACGTGTTTTTTTTATAATACTGTCTGCGACAAATATCAGCTATGAATGTCTGAAGATGTCAGCAAAAGTGGAATGGCGTTTGTGTTACTGGAGCAACTTATAATTAACTGTCAGATTTATGGAGATTTATCTTTTAAATCAAAATAAAATTGAAATTATCATTTTTGTATTTTGTGTTTTTGAAATCATAACAAACCTGCAACTAAATTTGAAAGGGGGTGACTAGATCAGAGAGATATTTCAAAATATTAATTTTCAAATATCACTGAAAATTTTTTGAGTTGTTTTTATAACCAATTCTCGCGACCAATTATTTTCCAGTTGTACTGTAATCTTACAATCGTGCCGTAGCTTTACAAAAATGACAATTGTTATACAGGAGACTTAATTTTTTTTTTAATTTTCTTCTGGAAAAAGAATAAGTAGGGGAAGATTGGGGGGGGGGGGCTATACTGGTCCTGAAAAGGTTTGTACATTAACATATATAACAAAAAAAAATTAATTTGTCTTAGATTTCATTTTACAACATGCGCCATTTCCCATCCCGGAATAAAAGTGTTCAGAAGAGTGTACGTTATTACACAAAGTGAAAAGTGCGAAAAATGCATAATTTTAGGTGTCATAATACATTTTCACTTAACGTAGAACCTATGTCGTATGACGTCATAGTTAAATATTTACATTTCCAAATACTTTGCAAATTGGAATGCTGTTCATTTTCTCATGAACTACCATGGATGAGCATGAATATCTCAATTGTTACGTCATAATACCGTACTTGACGTCAAAACTATAGTGCAAACTGTTTTGCTTTAAAAATGACAGTTGAATGGCGTAATTTGTGGCAACTCATCAGAAAAATAATGTAAATATAAGAAATGAATTTAATTTTTGAAGATTCATGAGGTACATGAACTACAACGCTTCACGCAGGCATATTTATCATGAAGCGCTAACGCGCTTCATGAAATATGCCGGCTTAACGCGCTTCATGATAAATATGCCGGCGTGAAGCGTCGTAGTTCATGTACAGTACCTCATGAATCTTCAAAAATGAAATTCATTTCTTAATTAAATCCTGTGTAAGTGCAAAAAAGGTCATTAGTTTTCAGGGAAAGGTATATATTTTAATCATTTTTCGTAATCATTTGGGTATGATCTTCATTATATTAAGGATTGAAAACACTGTCACAAAGACTTTTGGTAAATAATTACAAATTCAGGGTTGAAGATGGACTAAAAAAATCCTTTTAAAAAATATTGAGCGCATTTGCGTATGTTTATTGAAATGTGGATTTAATCTTTTATGTCAATTGAAGAAAAACGAATTGAATTTTTAATAATATTTCTAACTATTCTTCAGTTAATGAAGTCTATAAATAGAGGACTTTGAAGAAGTATTTTTGTGATTTTTCTATATTCTCCTTATGACCATGTACCCCTAAAAATGGCTGAAAATTATAGTTGCAATGTATAATAATCATTCTAAATTTCGCCGGTTCCACTACATTCATACCATGTATTTTTAACTGATAACTAAACAAGTGCTAATTACACATTTTGAAAAGTTTGAGGGTCTACCTTAATTAGAGTAATAACTCCTACTTGTAAGGCGTAATAACCCATTTCAAAGGCGTAAAAACGCTTTTTCAGTTTGCGTTACAACGCCTTTATTCGCGTTATAACGTCTTTTCACTTGGCGCCTTTTAATGTTTTCCTTTATAGACTGATCCTAATAGGCTCCCGTATCAGACATACAATGCTATATTCAACATGTTCAACGTGTGGTGTAAATCAAATGACGAATCTCAAAATCTGTTTAATCACTTTATTTTCAAAAATCAACAGTATCAATGCATACGACTTTATACAATCATTCCTAAGGATAAAGGATGTATTCGGAATTTCAAAACAATTGACCTAAAGGAGGGAACAATTTCCTGGGAAAAGTCCATTTGAAAATCAATGTATATATGTCTAAATTTTTCAAATTTGCATTTTGAACCTAAAATTTAATTTTTGAATTAACCTTCAAAGTTGGCCGAAACAGTATTTTCCCAGTTAAAACGCGTATTTTTGCTCGAGTTTTTGCCTAGACGTCCTTCAGGGCAGGCCTGCCCCTAAAATAAATTATGATATTTTGATAGGTTTTGATCTAAGGAATTTAAAATAGGAATTTTTTGGGCACCTCTGCCCTGGGGTCGACATTCACAAAAAATGCGGAAACCTGTTTTTATCATCGTTCATATTTATTTCGTTTACATAATCATTAAAGCTCAAATGATTAGACCACTGACGCTGACTAACAACATTTGTATTGTCCTGGTTCGAATCTACCGGTTGGCACACTTTTTACTGTTTTAAAATCTTCGCCTGTATAAGCACAATTTTTATTTATTATTTTTTATACAGGCTTGTGTATTTTACTTCAAATATCTTTCTTATATCCATGTTCGCTCTTGATTTAAAAGACATTAATGAGAATGCAGATCATAAATTCTCTGTAACTAAAAGCAATCAGCTGGAACTGTACCTCAGTGCAAGCACACTTTGTTCGAGGACAAGAAACATTCACTCTGTGTTACTCGTTACAGGTGTCACGAAAAAAATGCCGAGCAAGAATTGCTGTGTTTGCCTTTCAAGAACATCTTTGGGAAATAGAACTGTTGTGGGAGAGATATTGCATGCAGAGTAGATATGCAGTCCTTCTTCAGGGAAAATGTGTGCATTGGCGATATTTTATCCCAAAAATGCAGGAGGGGGGTTAACAGATCAGAATATAGTGGGGTAGGGTCAGTTAAGTTTTTATGTTCCGTTGCCGCTATCCAGGCATCAGATAAGGAACCTCATACAAAGATTGTCGCAAAGAATCAAAGGGTTTACGTATTATTCCACATTCAGCACATGCAGACATTTTCAATAATACTGCAAGGTGTACTGGTACCAGCTGGAATCAAATGTTGTATCTCTCATTTGAAAGATGACCACTTGCGTGTAGGGCATGTAGCTGATACGTCTGTTTTAACTCGGCAAAGTTTCCTCATAAAACAGTCGCATTACCATAGTCAGTGATATGAGGGAAAAGAATATTGCAAAGTTTTTCTAAGAAACTTGATTTTGGGAAGAGCATAAATCTTTGTAAGGAAGATTGATCTTAAGTATGATCAATTTGAAGATTTGGTTAGTTGTCTTTCATCTCTCTCCTCATCTACATCGGCCACCGTTTTTTTTTTACTTACAAAATAACGTCAGGCATGTGTCATTCTATTCTTGTAACTTTTACTGAGGTAAAAGTTTCTCATATTGTTGCTTTGGCTAGAAAAACATTATTTTCTTCAGGACTTCGTTCCTTCGTTTTCATATTTCACGTTCCGAGATAATAAAAAAAATCACACTACAGTTTTTGCAAAAGAGTTCAGTTTTTTTTTTTTTTTCTGACTGGATAGACCCAGTTATCAAGTTGTTGTAATACCGTTGCATTCAACTTTCAAGCATGCGTGTAAAGAATAACACAGTAGTAGGGATAGATATCGGCAAAAATTTCGTATCGTGATATATCACGATTTTCCCCCAAAAATAGGATAAATCGTGATATTTTTACACACAATTTTTACTGCAATTTCAAATGAATTTTTCATAATATTTCTTAAAAATATGCTATAAAAACATATCTTTATTCGTTAATTTTTTATTTATTTAATATAAAGCATGTTTGGTAATGGATGCCTTTGTTTAACTGTTTTCAACATTTTTTACACTTCCTGTAATTGTCTTTCAATATTTTGAACAAATAAATCAATAATTTCCGGAATTTATAGTTATGTACCAAATACCGGTATTTAAGTCTCCGTATCACGAAATACGTATCACGCAATAAAAAATATCGATAAAATCGCGCATCCCTACACAGTAGGTATAATACATGTACCATCTAAGCAGTGGCGGTGAGCAATTGGCAGAGGCAGTAAACAGTTGACACTCACAGTAATCAGTTGGTTGTCGCTTATGATTCCATGTATACCTAGATAATTTTTGATAACGGAAATTCGAATTGTTGATGTCGAAAAATAATTTCCTGGTATCTTATTTTCGAAAATTCCACTGAATTCTTAATAGAAAACCCTTTTATTTTCTGATATCGAAAAAATATATTTTCCGATACACCAAAAATTCGACTAAATTCTTGATATCATAAAACCCATTAATTTTCGAAAAATACGGAGATGGGGAAAAAAACATTGATCGGGATCGATGTAACAATGCTGGAAGTTCAGTGAGCATGCGCAGATTACTCCAAAGAGCGCGAAGCAAAATTTGAAAATTTGTAAGTATCAATATTTGGGTCAGTAATGAAATTCAGTGGAAATAATTCGGAAAGAAAAATACAAAAATTATTCCAGTGAATGGTTTTCTATTTATGTAAACAGTATTTCAAATCAGACTGCTTGTGTTCAGAGACGGTCGATTTCTTGAAATGGGATTGAATTTTAATGAAAGTGGAACCACTTCCGGTTGTAAACAAACCATAAATATTTGTCAATAAATGCTTTGAATAAATATTTAAAAGCATAAAAGAAACGAACAGTTGAATATATGTATAATTTCATTGCACTTAAAGACAAAAACATCGCTTGGATCTGCACATAGTAAAATAATGTCTAAAATAATTCCCAGCTTTTGGTTGGCGGAGTTTGAGCAACATGTTCTGGCTTGACAACATATCTCATGTGTTTATGCATGGGCGTCAAGTGTAATGATCTTACTCGCTGTACACAGACTATGGCGTTGATCTTAATCAAAGGAATTATTATAGACCTTTCCAAAGGTAAACTTATAAGAAATATTTATAGATAGCTTTTGGTTTAGTAATTTGTTATTTGTAATAATATGTTCTTAAAGTCAAAAAACAAACAGTAATTCTAAGATCTTTTTTTTTTTTTACTGTATGGTGCTGCAGTGTATGACAAAATTTTATTCCGCATTTGAAATTCAGCTTTTTTTATGTTAATAAATGCAAAAATCCTTAAATTTTTCATGATACAAAAATGATCCTTGTAAATTGTAATACGTACTGAAATGGCACTACTGTTTGCATAGGTGAGTTCTCAATCAAAATGATCTTTCAGTCATTAATATGTGCAAAATCAAAAACATGATTGAATATTTTGCATTACTTTAAAGCAGGACATAAATAACATTTATTTATGTCTTTGAAATCATGACATAACCCCTCCTGACAAATTGTTTCAGAGTTTTTGTATGGAGGTAATAAATAAATGGGTATTTGGCAGATATAATTTTTTCATTAAAAGAACACTGTAATAACATGACTACTTGATTATTAAATTTCAATATTAAAGATAGTCGCAGATTAAAATACATATGCTGCTGATGCATAGCATCATCCCCTTTTTTATTTGTTTGAAGTTTGATGCATATTTTTGTCTCAAAAAAAAAAAAAAAAAAAAATAGAGAGAGATGTAATAATGCACAAGTCTTATATTTATGAAAAATTGAATTTTAAATCATATTACAAATGAATTGAAATCTCTTTTAAGTTCAGTATGTTCAGCAAGGAATTTTAACCCAAATCCATTTAAATAAAATTTAAACCCTGTCTAAGATTTTTTTTATTCACCTGTGTCTTGCACTCCCTGTTTCATCTTTGAGCAGATGTAGGTGGTAACAAAATTTATTCTGGCTAAAAATAAAACTAAGAATTCCAATCCTTTAAATTTTTACTGGTAATTAATAATTTAAAGAGCTAGCATGTGCTGCACCATGGAATTAAAATGCATGCAGAGTTCATTATAGGACACAAAATGCTAATTAAGTATTGCAGTCCATGACTTTGTGAATCCATAGAGTAAAAATGCAGCAAATTTTTATGTATGGACTATGGTTGACAGATGTTTGATGGATGATAGGTAAAAACCTAAAATAGATTAGGAATTTAACTGGATATGGGAAATTTTTAAATAGAAATGGAATGTTAATATATTTAGGAGTAAGAATCAATATTTATTTTATCTCGGTTCTGGGTTTGATCAGGTATACTATGACAAACGTGTCTGAGCAGTGTAATACATAGCCAGTTATCTTGAACATATGTAGTATACAAGTTTTATGAATGAGAGTTTATCTCAAGTGTATTCAGTCTTAACAAGTATATTGACAAATTTGTAAATTGTTTAATCTTGTTTTTGGATTATTGGCAAAGAAGCTAGACATTATTCAATGTTGATAAGAATTTACAGGAGGGGACAGTACTGTGCTTAAAATCAAGTATCAGTAATTTACATACACTCCCTGTATAATGTTTAGGTCATTCACTTTTAAGAAAAGATCTTTCACTCCTATACTTAGTCTCAGCCAAGAATGGGCAATGTTTTATTTTTTTATTCAGAAGATTCAATTGTACTTAAAAACTGACAAATACTGTTTTAAACTTATTTCACAGTTTCCCACATGAATATAAGCAATGCCTGGTCAACACCATGTTCACTTTAGTGATTCAACCTTACAAGACAGAGAAGAATCACAACCACGCAAATTGGAAAGGTAATTATTCACTGTAAAGTTTGTTGATGGTCAAATGGAAGTTCACATTTAAAATTAATCAAATGGTTTTAATCTTCAAAGGTATGGATTATACCAACCATTTTTTTTTTTAGTATATAATTTTTTTTTAATTTTTTTTTTTTTTTGTTTGTGGGAAAATAAAGATCATCCATATTGCTTTTAAACTTTAATGAGGTTCAATACATCATTTTTATGGTTGAAATTTACAAAGTTAAACTCCATGAAGTTTAGGTAAGAATTATGAAGGAATAAATGTGTAAATGTGTTCATAACTTTTAACAATATGTTAGACAAGTTGAAAAAAAACCAAACAAACAAACCTACTTACCCACCCTGAAAAAATGGACTGGAGTACACCCCCTTCCAAGAATAAACTAAAAATTCAAGTGCAATACTATATATACTGTAATACATGTATGTATACATGTTTGTGTATGTTAGTTTTATATTTTTATATTAATATTTTTATAGCTTATGTACCATGTAGCCTATTGATTTCATTAAAAGATTTGAATATATCTTATTTAGATTGTCAGAAGACATGGCCATGTTAAAGTTTCCTAAAGTGAAGAATATTTTGTGGGACCATGACAGTGCAGGAGATGATGTACACCTTAGTCTCTCATACTACAGGTAAGTAGAAGTATTTTAACTGTTCAGATGAAAAAAATGGAAGATGTCAGAACATAAGGAGTTAAAGAAATAAAAAAAAAATAAAAGAAAGAAAAGAAATTATTCAGTAAAGCTCAATATTAGTAATTATTATCATCCTCAATATTATGGTTACACGAGATTTTTATCTTAAAGTTGTACTCACATTCCAGGAAACCTCAGCTGTATGTTACAGAAAAGGTACTGCGTTTTGCTCAGAGGCACCTGGAGAGTTCTCGAGGAACATCCTGTAGTTGTGCTCTTCAGGGATCCATTGCAGTAGATCAAGGTAATGTCTGACTTTCCAGTCTTACTCCATAATGTATAACATCTTGTGTGATATATCATATATAAGAGGCAATACATACATAGATTAATGGTTCTATTAACTGTGAGATGATATGATTTTGTTGTAGATGGAGAGGGCGTGACCTTTGTTCTGGATAGGTTTGACCCTGGAGGGGGAGGCACTGTCAGCTGTAATGGTCTTACACCAGGAGATATCTCTGTTCCATTTGAGGTTTATCTTTAATTTACTGTGAAATATTTTTATGTGCTCTCTTTCCTGCTGTATAGTAAATTCGGAAAGGAAATGTTAAACAATGTCTTTAAATGTTTTATAGATGTCTGGAAACACAAAAGAAAACCGTCAAGGATCACAGAATGATTACTTGAATGCTCTAAAGGTATGGAGGAAAGAAACTAAAATGTACTTCCTGTCTGTTCTTTTAATGAAATTTTTAAATTTAGTTCAGTGATTATCATTTTTGTTGCACTGATCAACACTATGAAAAAAAATTGAAATGATTACTGCCATTTTTTCAGCTTTTACAACAGAAAATTAGCAGTAAAGATCCAATAGAACTCAGTAATTTTCTCCTTGTAAGAGGATGGTGCAATTTTTACACACACGGCGATAAAAGTGTTCATCACATTGACTTTGATGTTGTTACCTTGGCAACTGAATTTAAGGTCTCTCCAATATCAGTTGTTCCTATAGTGCCAACAGCATTGTCTAAGAATTTGTCTGGGCCTATGAGTCTTAGTCATTTACAGGGGGAACCAAAGACTGGGTAAGTGTAATAAGTAATAGGATAGATATATAAATTTTGGAAAATAAATGTGTTATACTGCAATTTTATTTATTTGATATTTTGTTGCAATATACGGATAAATCAAAGACTTATGTTCTGTCCCAGCTACCTCACCATGGACCATACCAGAAAAGTTTTATTAGTGCTAGAATCTGATCCTAAAGTCTTCAATCTCCCATTAGTGGGAATGTAAGTATATTGAATTACCTGTTGTATAAATTTATGCCACTCAGGTATAAGTTACATTTGTATTATGGAAAGAGTTATTTTTTGATGAAACATTTGATATCGATATATCGAGTAATCAAAAGTATAGCAGATATATCGAACAACTTGTAAAAATCGGACAAAGTCTTTGAAAATGAGGATACAACTCTAATAGTCATATGATATTTAGGTAAAATTTTGTTATTTTCACTTAAACTTACTGAAATGAGTTAAGAAGCAGTCATTTGAACAACTTCAATAATAAACTAAATGATGTAACAAGATTAATGGTGAAATGTTTACTAAAATCAATAAACGTTTAAACAAACAGCTATAAACAAAACAGTTCCATTGAAACAGGAGCGTACATGTCAATATCTTGAATTACAAGGCTAAAAGCTTGTAAAGTTGTAATAATTAAGTTTACCATTTTTCTTTGAAAGTCATCATATTGCAGATTTTATTTAAGAAATAAAATATGTCAGAAAGGACAATACTGCAACTATAGGGTTATACTATAGTACATTGTCAAATCCGGTTCAGTGATAACAAATTCAATTCAACATTGACACAGGATTAATTGTAATGTCTTAATCATAAAATGTTACTTATTGAAATATTCATATATTGTAATAGCTATCAGCTTGGAAATTGGAATTTATGTTTAGACCATATGAGGTTTTCATAGTTGTGTGCATCTGATTTACAGAAGCAATTCAAACCGAAAACATTTTTATTGGACAGTTGATGTGTTTTCCTGGTAAATACAGTGTATGAAGAAAACAACATGGTTGTAGCAAGAAATAAATTTAGATTTATTCATAACAATAATCTTTGTGTAAATGTTTACTCATTTCATAAATGTTTGGAGCAATAATTAACTGAAACATCACCATTTACATGTGTAATCATTTCATCCTTAAACAAAATGAAAGAAAAATTTTAAAAGAGAAGAATATGAACTCTTAGACTGTCATATGGACTTTGAATAAAGAGTAGAGGTCCATGCCCTGTAAGTAAATGTGAAACCATGCGAAAAAAAAAAAGGGGAAATTGTGGAGATTTTGTTATGTGAGAACAATCAGAAATGTATTGATACTCAAAAAATGTATGATATCATATCAAAACAGTTGAAATTGATGATATATCGATATCACTTATGTTAGTGACAGGAAAATTATGGGGTGGGGGAGAGAGAGGGTCAATTAATGATGTATAGAGTTATAAATATTTTAAATGACTTCTATTTATTTTATTCTAGATGGATTAGTGGTGTGTCCTATGTATATAGTCCATTTGTCTGGGCAAGCTGCATCCGTTACCTCTTCAACTCTAGCATAAATGACAGGTATATAATCCGTACTATTTAGAACAGTTATCTTTTTACTCTGAGATTAAAGAAGATAATGTAATACAATTTCATTTCTGAACCACAGGTGCTTGAGGATAGCCCCCCCCCCCCCCCAAATATAGACCCTCGGGCCATTTTGACTTTTTCCTCATAAATTATCTTTCATTGTCATATTTGTGATAAAATCCATGGCATCAATTCAAAAAATTACCTAAAACAAACATTTTATGAAAATTTCTACCAGTTCATTTTACACCAAGTATTTAAGGCCATCATTAAAAAAAGTTTTGTTTGAAGTATTCCAAGTTTCCAACTCATATTTTTCAAGGTGATTAGATACATGTAGGTACTTTTTATGCCCCGCCATGAATATGGCTGGGGCATATAGTGTTTGTCATGTCCGTCTTGCTTCCTTCCATCCTTCTGTCTGCTCTTCCATCGCAATTTGCATTTAGCTCAGTTTCAAAGAAACTATCCAAGATATTTTCATCAAACTTCATATGCTGATAGATATTGATAAGAGCTATGCAACTGCATCAAAATTTTTTTACCCTGACCTTTCCTTTGACCTTGACCTCACTTTTCTTAAATTAGTGTTTAGCTCAGTTTTAAAGAAACCCATTCAGGATAGTGTTATCAAACTTCATATGCTGATACATACTGATGTAAGCTTTTCAACTGCATCAACATTTTTTGACTTTGACCTTAACTTCATTATTAGTGTTTAGCTCAGTTTTAAATAAACCATTCAAAATATTTTTATCAAACTTGTGAGAACTATTCAACTGCATCAAAAATGTTTGACCTTGAACTTTCCTGTGACCTTGACCTCACTTTTCTTAAGTTTTCATTTTGCTTAGTTTTAAAGAAACCATTTAAGATATATTTATGTAAGCTTATGCACTTATACATAATTTGGTGAGAATTTATCATCTATATCCAACTTTTTAGATTTCAATTTTAAAGAAACTATTCAAGATATTCTCATCAAATTTCATACACTAATACAAATTTTCATGTTGCATTACTAATATACCCTCGGCGGGGTATTCATGTCCTATGGACATATTTCTGGGGTTTTTTTTAATTTCTTACACATAATCATAAAAATCACAGACTTAAAAAATTTATTGATGTTTGCATTTTACACAGGATAGTCAAGAAAAAAAATCTAAAATACTGAAAAAAATTATTGGGTGGTGGCAATTTTGACAGGTCAATCAGAAAACATCTTATTGTTTGCCCTTATATTAATATAATGAATATCTCAAAAAAAAAAAAGAAACAACAAAACATCTGTTGGTTGATAACTTGCTGTTTTATTTGACAGAGTTTGTGCTATACCTGAACCCTTCCTATTGGTGCTATACAGTCCTCTACACTCCAAGCCTGAATTTTATGATGTTACTATACAGAACACAGATGGAAAACCCCAGTTTGACCTCTTCTCAGGCTATGAGGTTGTTAGTCTAGCAAAAGTGAGCTCATGTTACACAATAATATGCAATTAAACTTAGGTATTTTGAGCATTGACATCTTGAATACCATTGATATGTCAAAATAAGTTGGAAGTCCCAAACACTCTTGCTTTTATTTTAATTAACCACAATATCTTGCATCTTTGGATATCTTGGAGATTTTAAGACAGTTAGAGATAATGAGGTTTGACTGCGTGTTTTGTTCCTTAGGTTTATGAGAACATAAATTTCATATGTAAACTAAGAATAAAAGATTTTTTTCTATGCCATGGGCAAACGGTTTGATGTAATATGTTTGCATGTTTTAGACTAAAACCAACAGTTCTCAAAACAGTGTGGAACTTGAACTTAGTGCTACAAAAACAGGAAAGAAAAGAGAGACATTTGATGCTGCATTACATGAATTTAGCAGTTTCAGGTTAGTTCAACAAGGTTCTCTAAAATGTTTCTTAACATAGTTTAACGTAAATTATTCATCACAACTTCTGAGAAAAAGTATGAACATTCTTCTATGAAATAAGTCAAAGTTAAACATTGGTATAACAATTACTGTAAATTCACATATAAAGTAACACACTATAGTTATTTTCTTTTGTAAATGCAGTTTACAAATGAGCTATATTTACATGTGTATTGAATTTTATTTTGTATTGTAATTGTTCTTTAGGTATATTAGATAATAATAAAAGTACCTGAATATTTCTTTCTTAATTACCCCAAGCATGTTATGACATTGTGCCGACAATGCATTCAAGGCATCTGTAAACAACTCGTAGAAAGTGAAATTAGTATCACACATAAATTAAAATCAATGTCATTGAAATGTTGATTTAACATGGTATTTTTAAAAAATGCATTTTTAGATATACTTCATTGTTTATAAGTGTGTTCTAACTGTTCTTCTAAACAGTGGGTGTTTCGAATCCAAATGGCTGGATATTGTTAAACAATCATTGATCTGATTAAGGTCCATTGGAATTAAATTTAGCAGTTATGATACCCAAAATAGAAGTAAATAAAAATCAATCAAATTTTTTAATAAATTTTGGACATTTATCTAACTGCACATTGACTTATATACTGGTAAATACCGGTAAATATAATACATTAATTGAAAAGCCTGGGGGGGGGGGGATACACAATAAACTTACAATGTAAGTCCATAGAGCTAAGAAAAGAGAGTGCCCAGAAGAAAGGGTGTTAGATTTAATTCCCATGTAATGCATATACCCCCTACTTTTGAACAATTTTCTGAAGAAAAAAAGATGCTTACAATACACGTGACAATATGGTATTAAATGTAATTTCGTAATTTTAAAACAAACTACATAATTTTATTGACGAAATCATAAATGTAATTAGACTCCTCTGATGAAATTTCAGACCCTCATTAAAGAAGACAGCTGTTGAGGTGCCTGTATCTGCAGCTGAATTGGAGGAAATGACGCCCAGAAGTCGACCTGCTCCTTACACATCACAGGTATATTGTCTAAGTTATTGACGAACAGATATGATACACTGAGTAAGTGATATAAAGCTCTCTTATGAAGTGTTCTGCTGTAGTGATGTTCAACTCTGATTTATCGGTACTTATGTGGTTATTGAGTGTGCAATACAAATCTTATAGATATAATTGCTTTATATGACATAACAGATACATGTACATGGTTTACTCTTTTATTTGGTGTCAAAGAGATAAAATGTACTGCTCTGAAAATGTCAGTATTACACATTTCTGTATGTATGTGTCTTTTGTTAATAGGTGCCTAAAGCTGTTCCAATGGTACCAGAGGTTTCACTGATATTTGGTGATGATAACTCAGGAATACTGACAGATACTGGGCCTAGACAACCACCCATCATGCATGGCAAACCAACTGGAGTTCATCATGTTCAAGAATTTTTATCCAGTACTCATCAACCATTACAGCATCCACAGTCTAGTCAAAATCAAAACCCAACACCCAGTATCCACAGCAAGCTAACCAGTCATTTCCCAAGTGCTCCAAATTTGCAGCAGATGAGATCAGTGAAGCAGCAACAACAGTGCACATTACCCTGCTGTTCTAAGAACAAAGTGATGCAGAATGGTAGACTTGCTCAAAATTATTTATCCAATGGAATATCTCAGCAAAACAAAGCACAGAATGGTATGGAGACTTTTCCTCAACCTTCTAATGCTAGACATCACACTAGATCCATGACTACAGGGTCACAAAAACATAACAATGGGAATGTTTATCTAGCACAGCAGGGATACCCTAATCCAATGTCTAGCAATGACCCATACAGGCCAGCACCCCCTCAACATGGTGTACCATTCTGCAGAGGGATGTCTTATCCAGGTCATGGAGGTCCTCCCAGTGACCTGAAACGAACTTGTTCATGTCCTGACTGTATGTACAGTCTTCCTGTACAAAATGCACAGACTCACACGCCAGCTCAAATGCATCCACAAAATTATAGTGTACCTTCCAACTTGATGCACCAGACAAACCATCCAATAAATCCAGGAACCTCCTTCCCCAGACCAGCACATATCAGATCACAGTCTCAAAATGCTCTGCTACCACAATATTCTAAAGCTTTCCCTGTGATGTCTCAGTCACATCTGCCACAGAATACTCAAAAACCAAGTTACCCACGTCCCATGCTTCCTGCAGAAAATGCTCCAGTTATGCAACCTGTATCCCAGGAAATTGTTATTACCCATCCACCCCAAACTACTGCAAATACCAGATTGCAAGAATCAATTCCACTTCCTCAAGAATCTGCTTTGTCACCTGGCATTGCCACTGAAGCTAGGAGCAGTCAGGGAGATAGCAGTGGAAGATCTAGTGATGACAGTGGTTTTAGCATTACTCCTGAAAAGAAAGCAAACAACTCAGCAGAAAATAATACAGACTTCCAAGCATCAACTTTTGGAAAAGGGATTAACTGGAACCAGGTGCCCCCAGAGGTATATCAACTTCTCTTGCAACAGGATGCTCAAATGAAACAATTGCAAGCTCAAATACAAACTTTGATACAAAATCAGAGTGTTTCAACTCAACACACAACCATGACAGAACTGAACTCCACAGCAGGAAAGCCATCCATCCAAAATGTAACAGGAATGGAACAAAATGCTCAGAAGTGTGAGATGGGAACCAACACCACAGTGTTCTACCCATCAGACAGGAACTCTGTAGCTCTGCAAACAAGTCCTGTCAAACAAATGTCCAAATCCCTAGAACCTGTGGTTCCTCTCTGGACAAAATCCCAGGAATATCCAGACATTGGAAGATCCCAGGAGCATTCAGACATGGGTGGATCTCAAGAATATCCAGACAGTGCCAGGTCTCAGGACTGTCCAGATAGTGCCAGGTCCAGGGATCCTCCAGATAGTGCCAGGTCTAACAGGAGTTCCTCCTCACAGCCTGTTAATGGTCATATGACTGATAGATCTAGTCACAGTTCTCACTGCAGCCAAACCTCCCAGGAGGGTAGTAATTATGAGGCCCGCACCCCGGCAGAAATCAGACACAGAGGAGTTCTGCCCATGAACAGCACAGAGAGGGAAGACTTTGATCTGAACATGTCACAGGGAGAACTGTGCAATGTGGTGAACAATGTAGCATTGCACAACAAGACCATGGATAGTATACACTCAGATATGATTGTGGACATGCCCAGCTACCATTCCTCTCCATCCAGGTATGCAATCCCTTGATTTTTTTTTTAATTATTATTGCATGCATTAGATTTTGTTTGCTTGGCCTTTTAGTATGTTTTATTTGAATATTTAATACTTTTGATAAGGTTTGATAACTGCTAATAAAATTTGATACCTGTTTATTTTTAAGGTCCCAGGTATCTCCAGACTCTGGATCAGGTGAGATTTCTCAGAGCCCAATCAGTGCCAGTATGTGTGGGGACCAGCCACAGTATAGTGGGGATTCAGAGGAGGAGGAGGATGAAGATGGGCCAGGGCAGCTAAGTGCTGACAACAAGGAGTATTATGACAAACTCATGGTAAAATGTCATATTGATTCATACTGTTACATTCTGTAAATCACAACAATCACAAATGAAAACAACAAGAATTCTGTTAGGTGTTTGGTTGTACAAAAAAATTATCTCCAAGTAAATTATAAAAGGGTATAAATGAGGGTATTAACAACATTTACTCATCCTTGTTGACAATATACAATATATTTTACAAGATCTATAATGCTTTGCAGTAAGAACATCAAAGAAGAAAGCTTATGCATTGTTTATTAAATGCTTATCTTTAAACATTGAATGTGGTACTTTTAGGACAACATTCACAAACTTCTGCAGCAGCAAGACAGTGAACTGACAGTTGACAATGTAACGGCAGATACTTTGCAGAACAATACACTACAACAGAGTGTGATGTTAGGACAGTACCTTAACTCAGTGAGGTATGATTGTCAATTTTTATATGATGATAAATGAAATTATATAACATGCTTGGTGAACAGCAGTACATGTAATACTTGTGCATTCATAATGATTACACATTGATTAAAAAACATCCTACCTGAAAATTGACATAGTGATCAGATCTGTATTAGCAGACCAGAAGTCTCTTTTACACAAAATTGATATCATCTTGGTTCTTCGTAGAATTAATGGAGGACAGAATCCAGTGGAAACAACATTCATTCCCAAAATTAACTACATGTCCATGATGTTTGAATCTGATTCAGACTGTTCTATGGAGATCAATGCCATGGCCATGAAATATCTCAAGGATGAGCAGCTCACTCAATTGACCAAACTTCAGACTCAGTCTCGTCTGAAAGGAAACAAGGATAGTCACAAGGCTAATCTACTTCGGCAAGTTCTGGTTGATGGTAAAGATTCAACTCCAGATGTTACCACAATGGGCATGTCACCCAATGATATGACGTTTGCCACAAGGAAGTACCTGGAGAAGTATGGTCTTGTTAATGACAGCGAGAGCACCAAGTCTGGAAATACCTCAGAGTCTACTGCAAATGACACGTACGAACTGAAAGTTAACTTCTCAACAGTAAACTCTCCAGTAAATTCTCCACAGAGAGCAGTACCAGACTCTTATCACACACCTGTGTCCCGAAAGTCTCGCAGCCCATTTCTAGACTCACTCAGAAGCCAGAGTAAAACTGGAAGTCCATTCCAGAATACCTCAGGAAGCCCAATTGTAAATAGCGCACGGATTATGGAGAATTCTTCAAGTCCATATGTTCACAATGGAACTGTATCTGACAGAACAGGCAGTCCATATGCAAATAGTTATAATGTGTCCTCCAGGACACCAGACAGTAGGAGAGAACCTATTGATAGTCTTCAACGGAGACTTCATGATGGATCCAACAGTTATGGAACAGAAGACTCCGCCCTTAGGACACCTGTCAGAAACAAGACTGATTCCTATGAAAATGAAAATCATAACATTACCCCAAAATCTACGCCAAACCAAAGAATGCAACCAGTGCTAAGACCAGCTTTCACACCTTCACCAAATCGTGGGGAAAGGCAACATATGTTGAGTCCAATTGCACAAGAGGAACCACCAGAGACAGGCCAAGCCAATTTTAACATTCAGCAGTCAGAGCATGATGATAAGGTCCTAGATATTACCAGGCTCAAAATGATGCCAAAGCTTTTATGATATTCCATGGTTGAACATGACAAACTTCATTTATTATACTTAGATAGATTTATCAACTTGTTGAGTTTAGAATGTAGAAATGTTGTATTTTTAGCACCTAATTGTATGAATACCTCTGCTTGAAGTAAAGCATCTAGGCATATTGTAAACATTTCGATGTAAATAAGGCACTTGTTTCTGCTCAGCACTGGTTGCCCCAGGCATGTCTTGGTGGTGTTTTAAATTTTATTTATTTATTTTATAAGCCCAAGGCTGTGATATTTTTGTCTTTTATTTTGAATTGGTCATTAAATGACTACAGGTATATTCCTTATCTGTCCAGAAAATTCAGGTTCAGTTTTATCTTTCCAGTTAATTACAAACTGATAATCTTTTCTTATAAATGTGTTTTATCAAAATTATACTGTATCAGTAAAGTTAATGAAATCCTTTATAATTTTTTAATATTGTATATCTTATAAAATTGTAGATACATAGGTTATAGAAAAAGAATAGATACATCTTTATTTAGTATTTATGTAGATGAAAAGTTGAGATTCATATGTGTAGTTAAGGTACGTGTATGTATTGAAAGTTTTAAGTAATCCATAAGTGTATGTAATTACAAATGCAAGACTTGTTTAAAATTTTTATATGAAAACCTGCATAAGATGCTAGTCAGAAAATGTGAGAACATGATAGCAGTAATTAGGGCATTGTCATTTTCAGAGTAGCAGCATACACACATTTATATAAAATGTATACTGCATAATTACATGTATACTTTTTAAGGGTTTAATATGGGAGTGTTTTATCCTTTGAATAATTCTATGATAACATTATGATAAAATACATGTAAACATGAAAAGATATTGTGTAGTTTTCATTTGAATATTTAACAATTATAAATCCCAACAATTCCCAGTTGAGTTGATGTCATTCTTTTTAAAAAAAAAAAAAGAGTTCTTCTGAATTGACAAATGTACAATTACTTTATTAAGCAAATACTTAGTAAACTTATTCAGTACTAATTTAAATGCACATCTTTTTTATTTCTCCAAAACTTACGCACTTGATTGCTTAAAAAAGATTGTGGTTGTCTTCAGATTTAGGTAACTTACTATGCTATGTAGATGTTTTATAAAGTATACTGTCATTTTAAGACTCTGCATCAATATTTATTTTATCAATAAAATAAAGAAAATGATTTTCTTGATTATTATTTCTTGCAAAAAGCTCTGTTGCTCATGATCATCTCAAACCATTTTCTTGTACTGGATTGAAGTTGTATTCTGATATTTATAAATTTGTGATTCCTTTATAAATCAGATGCCAGATTGCTGGCACTTTCTCAACTAAATTAGATGACAGATGCATTATTTCAGGTGGAGAGAGGCTCGCATCATAAAATCTTGGTGACTGAAGATGAATATTTTAAGGGTAGATAATTACCTTCCAATTGAAGTATAAATCTGTTCCTCAGTCTTCAGACATTTTATCCATTTTAATAAGGGAATGTGAAATCAATCATGGAAAGATTAATGTCCAAGGCTCCATTTTTCTTTTTAACTTGAGTTCTACCAACAATTCAACTGCATGTTTGATGGTCTAGGCTATGAGCACTTCAGTGACTCATGAAATTTATGTCAAGTCATAGACAACCAATATTGCTTCATTGTATCCAGTCAGTATTTTACTCAGCTAGGTGATGAAATCTTTCTTAATCATGGGCAAGTTTTGAAATATATACCGGCATAACTATGTAATAGATTAAAGTTGAAGTATCTTTCCATTTTGCTTTGAAAGAATGGAGAGATATATTGATATTGACCTACTCAAATTCCACTGCTCTTAATTACATGTATTGTTTGTCTATATATGATGCAGACATGTTTAAATTAGATAAACATACGTGTACATTTAAATAATGTGTAGTCTTATAATACTGTAAAATCACTTATTTTTGTAAGGTCAAATTTTCATGATTAGAGGAAAAAATACTGGCCAATGTGGATTTGAATTCATGGTTAAAGAAGTAAGAGATGTTGTGTACTTGAAATTTCACATTTCATGGAGGTCATGAATTTGTAGGTTTTTCATACCCCAAAAACAACGAAAATAAAAAAACCCACAAAAATTAGCTATTTGACAGTAGTATAGCAAAGCTTGTGCTTTGAAGTTATTTAAATGCCCTCTCATCAACAGTGTCGATAGCTTGATGCGGAGAGAGTGCCAGGTTCGCTACCCAGATGAACCTCACTGATCGAGATTTCTCCATTTTCTGTCATCATCATTGTCTTAAACTTTTCACATTTTCATCTTCTTCTCCAGAATCACTGGGCCAATTTTAACCAACTTTGCCACAATGCATCCTTCAGTGAAGGAGATTCAGGTTTCTTGAAACTGAGGCCAGCTCTCTTTCAAGGGGAATAATTAAAAAATGGTGAAAATTGGGTGGTGTCCTTTAAAAATCTTCTCAAGAACTAGTGGACCAGAAAAGAAAAGATGAAACTTATTTGGAAGCTTCCAAAGTCTGTTCAAATATGGCTTTGCTGTTCTTGAGGCACCTTTCATTTACTAGATCTTGACCTTAACCAAAACTGGCTTAAAGGAAAAATACTCCTATGTACTAAGCATGGGCGTAAGAACCGGGGGAGGGGGAATAATTTTGCAGATATATAGATTACTAGAGAAAAAACATCTGACCTTTTTTTTCCCTTGTCAATGAATTTTTGGTAGTTGAAAGTGTCCCCCTCCAACTGAAAACATGGCTGTGCCCCCCAAACTGAATTTGCTTCCAACGGGCCTACTAAGCAGGTTTGGGGTAATGCTAGTAATGTGTATTGCAAAAAAATCTGCATTACATGTAATGATAATGTAATACATTACAATGCAATATTTTGTGTATACTCATTTTTTAGAATGGCAATTGGACATGAAAATCATTTAGATTGAATACCGGTATGTTTTTAAAATAATAAAAATTAAAAATTTCACATTTTTGTCTTATTCTATCCATGAATACATGTGTGCTTTGCACTCTTTCACACTGAAATAAACTTTCTGTATAGATAACTTTAACTTTTTTAATATTCTGTCTAATTACAATTAGACATGTACTACACATTTAAAATTTTCATAATTATTTCAGATAAGCTTTCATTTCAAAGAATATTCAACCGAGTATAAAAATTCATTTTAAAAAAATCAATTTCAGTTTTAGGTACACTAATTAAGGTACACTGTAATTTGCTAATTGCTGCCTTATGAATTAAATGTCAAGATAAAACACAGTGCCTCTAGGATTATGTAACAATCCAAACCATGTATAGTTTTGAAAATGCAAGTGTTACAAAAGCCAGTCCTTTTTCCTGGCCGTGTTTATGAAACATTGAGTTGATGTAGCTGGAGCTGACATGACAAATCCATTGGGCCAAAAGGAATATAACACAGACATGCTTTTGTCATTCAAGCAAACTATACACACTTTCTGCACCCTGTTACTTCTCAATGCAATTTTTTTTTTGTTTGGTAATTAGATCAAAATGATACATCTGTATGATAAAGTCAAATACTGTAGTAGATTCCTAAACATTAATTATTGCGCAATTTCACAAGAAACACTGCTCATGAAATAAAACAAGAAGTCTGTGAGCCAATGCTCACTAATAATACCCCCGCTCTGATGTGAATACACAAGTTCAGTTATGGACAAACACAGTGATAATCAGGAAATTGACATCGGATTTGTAAAAACTGAATCCCAACATATGGCATGCCTACACAAAGAAAAAATTTCAAGCATCTGCGATGAGTAGTTGCTGAGAAAACTACGACCAAAATTTATTATGTATGGTACGGACAGACGCACGGATAAACAGGAAGTTGACATCGGATTTGTTCCAAAAATGAATCCTATCATATGGCATGCCTAAACAAAGATTGTGCTAAAATTTCAAGCATCTGCAATGAGTAGTTGCTGAGAAAACTACGACCAAAATTTGTTATGTATGGTACGGACAGACGCATGGATAAACAGGAAGTTGACATCGGATTCGTACAAAAATGAATCCCACCATATGGCATGCCTAATCAAAGAGTGTGTTATAATTTCAAGCACCTATGATGAGTAGTTGCTGAGAAAACTGCAACCAAAGTTTGTTATGTGTGGTACGGACAGATGCACGGATAAACAGGAAGTTGACATCTGATTAGTACAAAAATGAATCCCACCATATGGCATGCCTAAACAAAGAGTGTGTTAAAATTTCAAGCACCTGTGATGAGTAGTTGCTGAGAAAACTGCGACCAAAGTTTGTTATGTGTGATACGGACAGACGCACGGATAAACAGGAAGTTGACATCGGATTCATACAAAAATGAATCCCACCATATGGCATGCCTAAACAAAGATTGTGCCAAAATTTCAAGCATCTGCGATGAGTAGTTGCTGAGAAAACTACGACCAAATTTTTTTATGTATGGTACGGACAAACGCACGGATAAACAGGAAGTTGACATCGAATTCGTACAAAAATGAATCCCACCATATGGCATGCCTAAACAAAGAGTGTGTTAAAATTTCAAGCACCTCTGATGAGTAGTTGCTGAGAAAACTGCGACCAAAGTTTGTTACGGACAGACGGACAGACAGACAGACAGACACACAAGGGTAAAACAGTATACCCCCCTCTCCTTCGGAGCGGGGGTATAATTATTCGCTTTTATTTTTATGGTGCTAAAATCCATGTAAAATCTCTTGATTAACCATCCACTTGCGAATTATTGTTCTCGCAATTTGACGTTAAACAGCCATTTTGTGAAAACAAGTATTCGCAAAAAAAAGGAACCTACAGTAGTTCATGGGATTGGGTAAAGTGCCTGAAAAGTAGTTTGTTGTTTGACATCAGTTGTTACACAAAAAAAGCATATTGTACATGATTTTCTCTTTACATGATTTTCTCTTACTGGTAATTGAAATTTTTTCTAACTATGAAAAAAACAACATATTTAAGTTATTAACAGTGTAAGAAATAGAAGTACTTGATAGTCTTATTTGAATCAACATTCCTCTCATTTAGTTTGAAGGGATGTGGGGTGTTTACGTAAAAAGTTGCAAAAAAAATTTAGTATTTCCACATATATTTGAAAACCTAAAAAGTAATGGTAATTTAATGCCCCAATTCTAGAGGTACTGGTAATACAATGCATTACTTTACAATGTAATTTTCCCTGAGCCTGATACTAAGTATTTTTCTAAAATATACCAGATTTCAAGGATTATGATCCAAGCTAACTTGTTTTTGTGGATTACTTGATTTCCTTCTCAACAATTACAGTAAAAGACCAATTTTAAAAACTGAAAAAAATTTATTTCACAGTTGTCTGACTCATATAAAACTTGTAAGAACATTGCAACACTCTAAATCAAAATTTTATCATAAGTCTTTTATTTGTTTTACTTCTCTTGAAAGTTTTACAAATACAAGAACAGATACAAACACGTAATTAAAGATCTTTTAAATATCAACAAATATTACATACATGTAGATCTGCATAAATTTTGAAAGCACTGATCTGACCTATTTGCACTAACGCATAATAAAACAAAAAATTATAATAATGAAGAAAACTGCTGTAAACACGGATTTCTTCTGCACTTAGTCGTCCGTGAGAACATATGGCAGAACATACAGAGGTTCCTCATTATAAGACGCCACTGTAAGGGTTTGTGTCCAGTCCTTCCAAGCACCACTGATATCATACAACCCATTCACCTCGCCCCATTCTGAATTGTGCAATCGCTCCAAGACTTCCTCACTTACTTCTTCCTCATTTGGTGGAGCCTCACTATCTTCCTCAGATTCCAAACAGTCAAAATCTACACTATCATAATCAATTGGCCGCAACTGACTGTATATTTCTTCCAGAGTTAGCAATTTATTCCCCACTTCCTCACCCTCCTCCTTTTTCACAGTGTCTGTGTTAATGCTGTCACCGAGATCAATACGTTCCCTGGATTGAACTTCTGATGGTCTGTAACTTGTATCAACCTCTGAACTGTCCGTTATGTCCATGCCCGATTCCTCTCTTTCTAGAGATTCTGATTGAGGAAGCTCGTATTTAAAGGGACTCATGTCCACAGCACTACTAGGGGTTATTGAGCTCTCTAGATAATTTTCCACAAGTTCCCTTTTTGTTTGACTTAGATTGACTGGTGGCCGGATTGGTGTGGATGGTGTATTTGGATCATCATGTTTGCGCCTCCGTTTTGGCCTAGCACCAGGTGGTAAAACAGGGGGTGGTTCATCACTTTCCTTTTGAATTTGATTCGTTTCAATCTGATGAATCACTCCACTTCCAATTGCAGATCCTCCACTTTTAGCTTGCAGATCTGCAATTAACTGTGCTGTTGTTTTCACTTTTGGTGTCTTTATTGCCTTATCAAAGGACTTTTGAGTATCTGTGCTGACTGCAAGATTAGCATTTCGACGAGTTGGCAAGGTATGCTGTTTCCCACCTCCATCAGAGGAGACGGATGAGGACGGTGATATTCGACTCGAGTTGTGTGTACTTTTGTCACTAAACATGACAGGAGAGGATGCCACAGATCCATTTGCAACCGGCTTATAGGATAAACTCTCACACTTAGAAGCATTTTGGTTCTCATTTCGTGTCCTCTTTCGATTTGCAACATTTGTTTTAGAGTTTGTTCTTTGATCATCATGTGCTGACCCTGAATAAGAGGACAAAGAACGCCCATTTTCCCTTGTGGAATGTGTGTGCTGTGGAATATCTTTAACACTACCACTCAAACTTGAAAGACTCTCATGAGACACATTTCTAGACAACCTCCCATGAAATTCCACATCAAGAGAGGGACTGCCATTATTGCTTAATCGATCAGTTTGTGAACTTAACACAAGATCTGGGGAAGAATGCACAGAGTTAAGCTTCGGAACTTTGCCAATCTTAGGTGTACTAGAACCCCTAAGATCACTTGTACTGAGACTGGGAGAAAGTCCAGATTTTAAATACTGGGGCATACTGGGAGTGTTCGGTTTACTCCTTGGAGGTTGCGGAAGTTTGGGAGTATTTGGTTTTAAACTTTGGTTTAAACTCTGGGTGGGGGTGTTCGGTTTGTATCCTGGATATTGTTTTGAAAGACTAGAACGCACAACATTCTGATTACTGACCACTGGAGATAAAGACTTTTGAGAAAGAGCTGGACTACTTGGCTTGGAACCATATCCACTTAAAGCTGCTACACTAGGGTGACTGGGCGCTACCCCTCCATGATCCCCATTCACTTCAGGGTTGATAAGTTTCTGCCAGTTTCTTACTAGCTTTTTTGCTCGCTTGGCCAATTGTTCATTGTTTGTTTTCTTCCTGAGTTCATTAATATACTTTCCAATTCTTGTTTGCTGAAAAACAAAAGCAGTATTTACAAACATGTTTTGGAATAAAACATATGAATAAGGCCAATTAAAGTATTATAGTCATAATTTTGATGAAAATACTCTATGAATATTGCCTTTTATATTCTTAGTCTGAATGCTCTAAGCTTTGTTGCATGTCCTTTAACACCTGTTGCTGATTTTTTGCACAATATTGATTAGCTAGAGCAGTATGCTCTATAATTTTGCATCATTTAACTTATTAGAACCATCTAGAATTACAAAACATGACTTGCTTTCAGTATTTTTCAAATATTTATATACTTGCATGAATTTTATTAAAATGCTTTAAAATTTCAAAATACATGTAAATGCTAAAATTATATCAGACAAAAGTATTTTCTTTCTCTTTGATTTTAAAACATTAAATTTGAAAAAAAATTGAAAATTTCTTTTTTGATAACAAATTGTATGCAATGGCAAAAGAAATTACAAAATACACTTACACATATTTTATTGGTGTATGGAAAACATCTTTTCCAAAAGAAGATATAATTTAGAAAGTTCATTTTAATAGAAATTCTGCTTTGAGCCATTTCAATTTAGTAGCACATACTGAAGTGAATGTCTACTGATTGATATGTTCAAATGACCTTAAATATACAGAGGTTGAGGTGAGTTTCCTTTTTTCACAAACCACTATGCTAGGCCAAAAATAAAATTAGCTTTGTTTGGCGTTGCCGGCTGACTCACATAAATTGGTGCGGTCCGAAGAATTTTTTCAACAGATACTGATCATAATTTTTATTTCGTTATATTCATCCGGTTTTAGGTGTTCGTACTTTTGCGTAATATATACAGAATGGGAAAGAATCATGCAAACACTTGATTGATCAAACAGTTTTCATTTATAAGCATCTATGTGATGTTGAATAAATGTATATCACAAATCCAAGCATGGATGTCGAAAGCGGTTAAATGTAAACTCAGTATAACAGAAGTTGATGGCATGACTCTTTGTGGTAATGTGGTTTTAAAAATAAACTGATGAATAAGATATACCAGTTCGAAATAGAAATTTCACGGTACAATGTCAGTGATTCATTTTGAAAATGGTTATCATGGGTCCAATGGACCCCTCTTAATGACAACAATGAGTCCCGTGCCAAAACCAATGCGTCCAAATCCAAGGGGACCGTATATTAATATTAGATGTTACAGAGGAAATTCTGGTGAAATAAAAAAGTGTATTGCACGAAAGTGCAAATGTTTTATTGTAGCTGTGAGTGATTTATACTTTTACTATCAATTGTCCAAGTAAGAGTACATGATTTTGTGTCATAAAAATAATATATTGTACACTGTGCACTTTGGTTCTATTTTTAGATCGTACATACGATCTCACACATTGTATCAGTCATAAAATGCACAGAAGCAGAATGAAGTAAAAAAAAGTTTAAGAAGAAATGACAAATAGTCAGAAATAAAAATGATTAAATTTTATACTTCTTAGCTTGTAAGGAAAAAACGAAAAGAAAAAAAAACAATGATACAGGTTACAGCTTAAATACGAAGGTACAAATGTATAGTATTCGCTTCAGAAACGTTCCACTGTATAGACATAATCAGTGATAATCGAACTATGCTATCTAACTTTCAAATATTTTCTGACAATTGCTTTTAACTTGAGTTGTGAAATCTGACCAGTTGTTGGCAACCTTGTACCTGTTCAAATCTTTCATGCATATCGTTTAGCACGTGGATATGATGCAATTGGTCGAGTTTTGAATCAGATTATACCGAAATAATTTAAAATAGTACATGTCCTTCTATAAATTTATTGCGTCCATTGGGATGCACATTTATTGAAATAATGCGTCCTGGGCAAAATTTGCGCGTAATTTACGCAGGACGCACATCAATATGAATCACTGAATGTCCTGTCCGATTTGCTAGTCTAGCTGCCATGCTTGGATTCGTGCACATGATTCAAATTTACACTAATTTAATGTCTGTGATTTTTTTATACTATGTACTACGGTATATTAAAGGTTTAAAAGTAATAGGGTTTGAAAATCAATGACAAAACTAAGAATCAATTGGGACTGTGGTTGTTGTTAAACTATCGGAAACCCATGACGTTCGGATACTAACAACATGTACCATTTCTGAAATTTAAATAAAAAAAATATATTTTCCCTACCTATCGACCCAAACGTATAAAGACTAAGTCGGCAACGCAAAACCAACAATATTTTAATTGTGGCCCTATCATTAACTTTGACCTTTCATACAAATTAACAATCCCTCTGCAAGACTCAGATATTAAGTCCTTGCAAGCCAGGGATTTATTGATCCATTTTGGTACAGGGTCCTGTATTCTTTCATCTGGGAATTTTAAATTGAAAAAAGTCGCAAAATTTGCAAATATTGATGACATATTTGTTTTACCTTAGGATGAAGATCATTACACTGTGGGCTTATCCTTTATGCAGTCTGCATATCTCTATGTAATCTCAAAAATTTAAAGTATATATATAAAAAGCATTGAAAATTCTGTTTGTCATTTGGGAAATTTGTGTGTGTGTGTGTGTGTTGGGGGGGGGGGGGGGGGGGGAAGGGGGTCAATTTTAATTAGGACAGGGTCCTTTTACTGGATTTGCATGCCACAGATATTAATTTAATTCCTACAAGCACAAATCACCAGCAATGCTAGAATTCATATAAATCCACTCCATCAAGAACAACTGTTGTATTAATGTCTGATTTCGTCCAAAACGTTTAGTGCATTATCCGGCTTCTTTGTGATATACATGCAGTAAAGGCATCATTTTAATGGGTGGGAATGTCAGTGCTGTGATCCCTTATCAAGATGAAGCCAATCTTTTGAAAATATGCAATTCCTTTTATATTTAATTCACCTCACCTCACAAGAGAAATAACCTGATTCAAAATTCAATATCTCCTGCCATAGTTTTACCTGACCATGAAAAATCAATGAAATCTTCAGACAAATCCTAGCCTTGTGTTGACAATCATTGATTGGCACACTCAAGTTAAAATGCCTTAAACCTACGAGAATCTTGTGCAATACTCTATAAATGGAGTGCAATCGTACTTCAAGTAAATTATGTAGCATCTAGATTCAGAAAAACATATGATTCTTTCATCCTGGAGACACATTTGCCATTTTTTAAATACTTGACAAAAGCATGAAAATTTTGTCACATTTAAAAAAGATATTTTGATCATACACTGACCTGCCATTTTGAATGTAGGTTTGTTGTGCAGTATATTTTTTTTTTAAAAATCTTTCTTACTTTCTTATAGCTCCACCAACTTAATAAAAAAAAATTAGCCAGGACTCTCAATTGTCTTTCACTGGGGCTGCTGAAAAGCCCTTTCCTAATTCATAATAGGTACCCCCCCCCCCCCATCTGAAAGGGGATCTTTTCCTAATTGTCACAAGAAGTGTTAGAGTTAACAACAACAGAAAACAAAAACTGAGTTTTTATACATGATGTCATTTTCCTATTTACCCCCCCCCCCTTTCTTTTCAAAGGGGAAAAACAGAACACACCAAAAAATCTTTTATTGTGACTTCACTGCAGTTTTCCGAGGACATAAAACAAAAGATTAAATGTTGGCTTTACTTTACACATTAATACTTATTTGAACCAATTCTTACAAACGAGCTACAGCATTCTCCATGTTTTGAATCTTTGGTTCTTCTTTTAGTGTTTATTAATGTAAGCAAACATAATTTCTCAATCAAAGGTAAATAAGTATTTCTACAGTTTTTATTATTTTGTGTTCAAGATATGTTTCTTACCTCCAGCACATCTCTTGTGATTGGGAACGTTTCCAGTCTTGTGACGACGGCCAACACTCCGTCCATGTCAATAACCTACCAAACAAAAACATCAGTCAGTAGAAATGTATAGATCTTAGCAATAAATGTTCATAAGTTGCTTAGAGTATAGCATGTTTATCATTATGCTTAGTAGTTGTGGATCTGTAGCTCGTTGGTCCGAAAAAAATTTGGATGAACGTCCAGAGAGCTACAAGGCCACCCATTGAAAAAAGTGCATATTTTTGGCACACAAAAAATGTGTGCTTTTTTGTGTGCTCTTTCTTGATTAATTTCTCAGTTTATTTACTCTCAGTCTGCCATTTCAAACTTTTACAAACTGTGTGTTCCTAAGATGTTCATTTACTACTTCCATTGCAATCATGCCGAGTGCTTAGCAAAGGAACAGTTGTTTCCTATTTTATATCAATTGTTCGTCAAGGCCAGGAATTGAACCCACAATCTTTTGACTACAGAGTGAACATTCTCTCAACTGAGCCACCATGCCAATAAAATTAATGACATATAATGCATAGCAAATAGCTATGCCATTATGTTCATGTAATCTTTTCATTGCCAAAAAACATCCAGTGGAGCAGCAAATATGGTATTAACATATTAAAAGGAATCTTGATTGCACGACAGAGCAGGGGAGCATATCAGAGACACCTGGCTCACAAAGATGGTTGGGTTGTATCTCATTCAGTGTTTCTAATAGAAACGTCATGCACACAAATCTACATCCTCCTCCCCTGAACATTCTTTGTAGAGCCACACCCCTTCCCTTCATTTCACTTGCACCTAAATCACTCCTGAAGTCTTCGACTCCCAATACATCTATTTCAGCCCCTGAATCTTCCTTCTAAAGTGACCTGTCTGTAAATTTTAAGGTATAGCAAGCACCAAGTCAGAGTAAAGACCCAAAATCAGCCAAATATAGGTAGTTTCCCCTAGAATATCATATGTGTTCATTTTTCCAAAAAATTCATGGTAACTAAGTTTTACTCATTAATTTTAGATTTCAAGGTAAAATTTTTCAAAAATTTGAACAAGAAAATTCTTTCAAAATATGGGTAAAAACACAAGAGTATGGGCCTGTCCATGTCCTCTTCACTCCTCTAGACCACCCTTCACAAATCAATTGCCTAAACTTCTTGTGATCACACTTAGCTGAAGAACAGTTTCTGTTCTTTTGCACATGCTCATTATACATATAATCCACTCATACAAGTTATAACTTCCCCTGCAATATAACTGATTATCAAATATAATCATTTAAAAGAGAATGAAAAAGGATTCGGGTGGTTGGATCCAGAACAAATGAACATCTGCTTGAACATATAACAGTCTGAACATGAATCTAGGCAAACAGACCCTGATTTAAGTCATACCATACATATTACTTTATTTATGCAGTTTATTGATTTTTTTCCACATCACTACCATTTTCTGTTTACAAGAATTTATGAACTTTCAACACACTATATCCATGTTTCTCATATCACAACATGATGAACAAAATTACTAATCTACTAAGTACAATCCTATTGCACATTAAATTATCTATTTACATTTTTTATCCAGTTACCCGACTTTCCACTAAAAAACGTAATTCCTACAATTTTGTTTATTTAAAACAACCTTCTCAAAACAAAATAAATTCAGTATTATTATTATATCTATAATTGAATAGAGATAACATTTAAAATGATTTATTGGTACAAAAACAGCAGAAAAGTATCTCAAGTTTGTCTGAAACTTTTGTCCCATAACAAACACCTATGAAAGTCACGAACAAGATGGAGATTTCCCTAATTATTGACGTTTGCGGCGAATTTCTTACATTGTTATCATCATCAAGAGCCTCCAGCAGCTTTTCTTTTAGTTCTTGGGCAGTGTGCTGCATTGGGATGCCCTAAAGCTCCCCAAATTTCGAATTTCAGCCAGCTCTCTGACCGATGTTGTCCCACCGCAATGGCGGACTTCCATACATTGTGCAAATGCTCAGAGCGCACTGGCATCTGGGAAGCCTCTCTGTACTGGCGTGACGTACAATGACGAACTACTGCCTCGAATAAAATTGTGCGCAAGGTGCTTGTCACGTGACTGATTGTTTTCCCACTGATGACGTAAACAGCGAATAAAATCTCATTTTCAATATATACATTTCTTTTACTCCGCACTATATCATCACTCAATCCATTCTTTAATTAAAGATAATGTGTTTTCAACAATCATTCTTCGAAAACACAAAATCGAACTTTAGGATCTATTTTTTCACTTGATTACTTCCCTTCCCTGTTTGAAACCATAGATGGCAGGCTTTTGATTGGGCGGATAGGCGGTAATTCATTGGTTCATTGATTTGGATAATATGTTCGGAAAACCTCTGTATTTATGTAAGCCTTCTAAAAATAAATACCAAACGTCATATCCTGTTTAATAGTACACCATGTGGATCAATCATCAAGTTGTCTATCATCAACTCAAGATGAAAGTAAATATGTTCTGTTAAAAATAGTTATTAAAATGGTAAGTAGATTTTACTTTTCTAATCATTAAAAGATAATGTAATGAAACTACAGTTGCCATAGGGGTGCGTCGATTTACCCAAATGGAACCCAAATGGAAACCGAAATGGACCCAAATGGAAATCAAATGGACCCAAATGTAATATTAACATATATTATCGTATTCTCAAGTTGTAACTTATTTGAAATGATGAAAAAATGAGCTTGCAAATAGAGAATATATTAATTATTCATTTCGAATATTGTGTCTTAAAATACAAATTAATTTTTTTTTTCTATTTGTGATAACTTTTGCATATCATTGAATACAAAATTGAAGTATTTCATTTTAAAATTTACATAGTTTTCATGGACGTAGGAATGGTGGGGAGGGCACAGGGCCTGTGCCCCCCCCCCCATAATTTTGCCGTTATATATATATATAATACTAAAGAAAATTAATTCGTATTTATAATATAATACATGTATTAGAAATGAATAATTAATTAATATTCTCCATTTGTAAGTTCATCATTTTCATCATTCTAAATAAGTAACAACTTGATAATATAATTTAATATTCCATTCGGTTTCCATTTGGGTCCATTTGATTTCCAATTGGGTCCATTTTGATTTCCATTTGGGTAAATCGATGTGCCGTTGCCATAGTGATGATAATGATAAACAGAACTGATAGTTTGTTTAACATTACATTGGTTTTCATGGACCCTTAATGAGGTCCTTTTCTCGTATTTAAGGTTTTAGACCCAAAAGTATTTTGGAAAAATTGCTTTAACAATATGATATTACGATTTTAAAAATGTTAAACAGACTTTGACTAACCACATTACCATTTAATCATTGTTTTCTATAGAAAACACAATCGCTTCAGCATTTGACTTAGCTGCATATCTTTAATTAGCTATGTGGCTTGATTAAGCTATTCAAAATAGCCTGATTTAGCTGTTTTGTCAGCCCCTTTTCTGAAATGTGCAATTTTCTCAACATTTGAAAAAAAGCGCATGTAGTCTCAGTGAAACTTTAGCACGCTCTGTCAAGCAAAGCATAGGAGTCGACAGTTTTGTCCATAAATAACGTGAAAAGCAAGCAGTGAGCTTCGCGAGCATAGTGAGCGAAGCGACAGGATGTTTGCTCGCTATGCTCACTGGTTGTTGTTTAAGTTGCTTTATGGATAAAACTGCCGACTCCTGTGAGCAAAGTGACACATTGTCACCGGAATGATACGAATACACTGTTCATTTCAATTTATTTTATTTTAGATCAAAGGACAGATTACTCTACATAAAAATATCAAAACTCTTTAGTGTACAGTGCATAGAAGGGGTTAGGTGATATATACATTGTAGTAGATTTAATCAGGTTTAGCACAATATCTTTATTTAGCTATAATTATATAGTTTGAATTAGCTATATGGCTTTTAAGCTATTCAAAGTAGCTTGATACAGCTATATCAACACATTTTTTCCACAAATATTTTTTTATAAGAGTCACAAGTATTGTAACAACTCAAATTCCTAAAATGGACTGTTAAAAAAGCAATAAATAAACATTGCTGGTTTTGAAAACTTTCAAGCAGAAGAGTATTTCCATTGTTTAAGTTACTGTATACCATCTTGAATTATCATGATGACCATAATTGATCTCCATTATGAATTCACTCAAGAAGTATCTGTGCGGTTGCAAATCATTTGCTTTATATAGCTCCAAAACTTTTTAAATTAATTTTCAACAGATCATTCCTTCACCATGTTTACCTGTGTTGCTTGTTACTTGTTCTTGTGCAGAAAGATTTCCTAAATTACTGATATTCTCAAACTGTTAATTGAGAATCACCAAAAATAATCAAGAAATGTAAAATAGTTTGTCCTAATTAAAAATATCATCAAATCATAAATATTAATTTTTCTATTACGCTGAAAATTTGCAGCCAGCCAAATCAAAGAAGTTCATTGACAAGAAAAATGCAGTGACTTTCCATTTGGTCCACAGAAGTCAGAGGGATCCACTGCAAGCGAAGGAGGAATCATCCAAACATGTTCTACTTCCTGTTGAGAAAAAGGTGAGTGTCATTAATTATCTACTGTTTATTTTTCTATAGCTGTTCAAGGTTTTTTTCACTTTGCAAATCTGAGTTCCTTATTGCAAATGTGTTGATGAATGTAATATGTTCACTGTACTTTAATATTCATTTACTTTTAAAATTAAGAAGACAAGAATTTCTGAAAGACTGAACATAATTTCTGATTTCTGACCTAGGAATTAAGCCAAGAAGAGAAGCAAGAGGAGCAGCATAAATACGGCATATTTTATGATGATGATTATGACTATTTACAACATTTAAAAGATCTGAATCAAGTGTATGAGTTAGAGGAAGCTGTTCCCAGGGAAGAAAAGGTATGGTAGAATGATCTATAAAAAACATCTTAAACTTTGCTAAATGGTGATAACATGATACATAATGCTAACAGTGTTATCACTACTTATCACTGTAAGATGCAGTAAAGTAAAAGCACAAACCGTTATTCAGGAACCAACCTAACTCAAATATTTAGTGAGACTTTAACTTTCCTCACTGCAAATCAGGGAGAGGACAGAAGAGAAAAAAAACTGAATTGTAAGCTGTGATTGAAATTGTTCAAATCATGTCTTCTCCTCCCCTTTGGTGATACGGTTGGGCCACAGAAGGTCAAAGTTTAACATAAGATTCAATAGGAAAAATATTTGAAAGTTTTCATCACCAGAATAGCATGGCTACAGCATGGCCACAGTTAGTAATATTTATTATGCAAGTACCCCTGTAGTGACACCAGGCTCATGAGACTAGAGCAGTTTTAAATTTTTACAATGGAATATATTGGACATAATCTTAAAAAATAATCTTTTCAAGGACATCAGAGTCACAAAAGTTCATATCATATTGGAAGAATTCCAAAGTATAAAACATTCAAATTTGTTAAAATCCCCCCACCCCACCCTTTGCACTAGGATTAGGCAGTTTGTAATACTGTATACAGGATTATTTTTGCCCTCTCACACTTGCAAACAATTTTGCCCTGTTTTAAATTTGCCCAATCACAGTTCTGTTTAAGAAATTATACTGTCTTCTTTGAATTCGCCCCATCTTAAATTTGCCCACTTATGTCTTGGGTGAAAGAGGCGAAAATAAAACAGGTGAAAATTTCCCTGTATACAGTAGTTTAAAGTTTAACACAGGAATATATAGAATACAAGACATACTTGCACTTGATTTCAGAATGCGAAGATCAGTCTTCCATCCTCTGTGTTTGCTTCTGACCTTGAAAAAGATGTAGGACTCCTTAATGAGGCAGTTCCTGTCAGAGGTGGGTACCAACAATATTAAGTATTATAGGACTCCTTAATGAGGCATTTCCTGTCAGAGGTGGGTACCAACAATATTAAAGTATTAGAGCCTTCTCTCATACAATCTCCTGTGACTACTGTAAACCAACTTTTATTCGCATAAGAGAAATATCAGTGAGTTTCGCGACCTACTTTAACTTGCGAATATTAATCCATGCGAGCCATTTATTTGTTTTGTTTTCATAGAGAATATTTCCTCAGTCACGAAAATTAATCGTCACATATTGATTTCAAACTGACGAATCACGAATAAAAGATGAATAATACACTTGAATTTCGGTATCTCAAACATGGATATCTCCAATACCATGGATATGTCGAAGTGATTGGGAAGTCCTAACCACATATTTCTTAAGTATTTTACCCTCAATATCTCAAACCATCGGATATCTTGAAGTTTTTTCTGTCCCATTGAGTTTGAGATAACGAGGTTTGACTGTAGTTGGTTTACAGTATTCTGTATAGGCTATACCTATCAGTAAGACATGAATGCTAAGGCAAGCATTTCAAATATAGTGAGCCTCTATATGTTCATGCCAAGTTGATTGATGCTCAGTGTTAAGCAATAATATGTAAATTTTTTTCTTTGATGCCAATTTTAGCTTTTTATTTGGTTAAACCCATCCACAAATGAATTACTCCAAGAATCAAAACATCATATAACATTTGCCAAAACAAACAAAAACAAAAAAAAAAAGAGAAAGAAATTAAGGATCAAGAGCTAGTTTAATAAATGTATGTAAATGAGATAAATTTTTAACACACTTTTACAGTTTGGTAAATTTTGATTGCAGGACCCAGGCCAGACTGGGACCCAGATATAGTAGCAGCATTGGATGAGGATTTTGACTATGATGATCCAGAAAACCAACTGGAGGATGACTTCATAGCCATAGCAAATGCTGGGGAGGGTCCTGAATGTAATGAGGATGGGGATTATGAGGGGTAGGTGTTAGGTTTGGATAAGTGAAGATTTATGACCAATGGGGTAATGGGTTTGGATTAGTGAAGGTTGTTGACTATGGGGTAATGTGTCTAGTCATATATTTCTGTAATGGAAATTTAAAGATATTCAGGTTGCCTCTGAAAAGAAATAGAAAAGTATTTTAATCCAGGATAAATTTATTTTGTTTCAGGGAAGTTGGATCTGATGTTGACTTTGGTTCTGATGAATGTGAAATGTCTGATGATGACTTCGGAAGTGATGATAGAGGGAAGATGTTCATGGAAGAAGAAACAAAGTCGAGATTTACTAATTACTCAATGTCTTCATCAGTAATTAGGAGAAATGAGGGGTTAACTCTGTTGGACGATAGATTTGAAAAGGTAAGTAATGCCAGGGTCATCTTTCCAAGGATCACATCAGAGTACAAAAGAGTCAGTAAAGTAATCGAGGGAGTATGTAATGTTATAGTACCATTATGTAATTTTGAATGAAATTTCAGACCATCTTTTCATCACATGATTTTCGTGACCATATTCTCTTTCCGATGAATTCAGTTTAAAGATTTCAAATTGCAGAAAAAATTCTGTATGTTGCAGGGCTCTAATTGTCAATTAATTTAGTCGCCATGGCACATAAAAATTTTGATTGGTGCCTAAAATTTCTCGTAAAGTCCCCAAATTGGCAACCGTTTTAAATTGACTTGGCGATCATTAAATTCTGGAATATAAATTTTTCAACATTTTTTTCGTACAGAGGAGAAAGCATTTTAAAAGTTAGCAATGAACATGTCTAGTGTTTCCTTTGTCCCCTTGTTTGTTTTTTTTTAGTCACAAACAAAATTTCTCATTGCGTCAGTGCACACAGAGATCAGGTAGACCACATAAAACAATAGTATTCCCAAGTAATGGTTGACTTCAGAAAATTGACAATTGTGAAATGCAGTTTGGACGAGTGATGTGGTCTATTGTTTGTCAATTAAATTCTCCCTCATTAGAAATAATATAGTCTAGACATTTATGTTAGGTCGTAATTGTACAAAGGAGTATAAAATGTAAATCCTGTAAACAATACTTGATATTATTACATGTATAGTAGAATATTTCATAAAATCAAAGATTCTTTAAAAGAAATGATCCAATAAAACTTTTTGAAAATGAGTTTTAATATTGTCACAAACAACGGCAATAATTGTACGATCCTCTCCCATTTTAGCCGGTAGGAGAGAAAACTAAACATGCTATATGAAGACTAGGAACAATGGCTTGAGATGATGGAGTTTAACATGCATGCTTAAGTTAAAACCTTTTGGCATTTAGCTGGGTTATATTTATTGCTCATAGTTTCTTGATGACTGCAATAGACCCCCCCCCCTTTCTGAGACTAACCCAATGGGTCTGTATATTGGCTAATATCAGTTTCTAAATTGGCGCCTAAGAAAATTTTACCTGGCGACTAAAAATTTGTATTGGCGACTAAATTTTTTTTTTATAAGGAGCCAATTGGCGCCTAAATTTTAGATGTCACTTAGAGGCCTGTGTTGATTAATATGCTTTAATGAAGTAACATTTCTTCTCAAAGATGGATGATATTCTAAACGGATCGTCCATATTATATATATATATATATATATATATATATATATATATATATATATATATATATATATATATATATATATATATATATATATATATAAAGATAAATTCTGTTGGTGAATGAAGAAAATGCCATTTTTTTACTGTTTTATGCTATATCCATTAACTTTTGTGCCAAAATTTTATGTATATGTAAAGAGGCATTGTTAAGTGCCTTTTTTTATACCGCTATTGCTGTGTAAATATCAATATACTATTGATAAATAAGTAATGCTGTGTTCTTCAGTTGTATGAGCAATATGAGGACACAGAAATTGGTGCTCTGGACAATGAAGATGTTGATGGATATGTTGAACAAGGCAGCCATATGCTAGACACAATTCTGGAGGATTTTGAAAAACAGCAAGAAGAAAAGTGAGAAAATGTTATACATTTGAGATAGAGAGCAAAATTACAATATATTTATATATTTGGACATTTTTGGACATATTTTTGGTAGTAAATGATGCAGATATCAAGTTTCTAAAATATTAAGAAATTATGATGTCCAAAATTCTACCTTTTTGCTGTCCCTTATAAATCTTAACTTTTCATCACACAATAAGACATTAGTGTGATACTTTGAATAAAAGATAAAAATCTATGCTTGCTTTAGTTGATATTTTCATGATTTTTTGAAAAAAGTTTTTATCATCCATTCTTAAGCACAATTAAATTCAGTTGAAATGCACACTAAAAAAAAAGAAAATATTAAAATATTTACACAGCAAAAGAGAAACATGATTTTTGTGTGTGTGTGTAATCTTAGACATATAAGATTAATAATGACATAGATAAAATAACAAATTTTTATCATTACAGCCGTAGAAACTTGCATTCCATGATGGATGATGAACGTCCAGATGACCTTGGAATAGAGGTCAAAAGTGAGGAGGAATCTGATAATGAGGCTGACCTTGTACACATGGTGATAGAAAAACCCAAGGAGAAATGGGACTGTGAATCCATTATCAGTATGTCATATCTACAGTTTTTCTATTTATATTGATTTTGTGCCATATTCTGAGGAGGAAAACAGAGGAAATAAATGTTCAAATGAATACTTTTTTAAAAATATGTAATGCATACAAGCCATTGAACAATGTCTAGAACTCAAAACTTTTACAAGTTGGAGAAAATCTGTCCACATTTTGAGTTAGAACTGTCTCACTAAGTTTAGTTTTATGTAATAGTCTGTCTCTTCTCATTAAAGGTACCTATTCCAATTTATATAACCATCCCAAGTTGATAGAGGAACCCAAAAAGGTATTTTTATAGCGTGAAGACCTTTAGTCAGAAGAAAACTTGAATCATAAGTAAATTTAAAATACCGGTATTACATTGCACATGTATTTGCACAACAGTATTTTTATGATTATTCATTTAATAAGTAAAATTTTTGCAGGATAACAAGATCAAGCTGACATCTCGGCTGAAGATCCCGGAAGGCGTGCTAGAACAGCCAGGATTAACTCGTAAACGGATTGAGCAAGAGATGAGGGACAGTAGACGAGCTGATAAAGCCAGTACATACCGACCTCCAAAGGAGACTACAGAGGAACGTAAACAGAGAAAGCAAGCAGTAAAGCTAGAGAGAATGGTAATGTCCTCAGGTTTACTTTTATGTGAATCAATGTTTCAATTGAATTATTGTTAGAATTCAAATTGCCTTTAAATCAATATAACATTTACATACATGAGAAAGGTTTCTGATCTAATATTACAAACAAAGCCAAATAATTTAGCATTTTTTCAGTAAAATAAAATTTTGAGGGGTTCAGATTTATTAACACTTAATTATGAGCAAATAAAATTTTTGTACAAATTTAGGAGAGAAGAATGGAAAAGAAAGCCAACAAACAAGCATTCAGTGAAGAGAAAGTGCGACAGACAAAAGAAAAACTAAACCTACAGAAAAACCTTCAGGGACTGAAGTTATCCTGATACTGGAATGGGGGACCAGTCAAAGTACATAGCCTCTCAAACTGGCAGCAGCCCTCATCAGTGTTCAGGTGAAACTGGTCATTTCAGTATTACACACAGATATTTACTGTTCAGGGTATTGACTGATGAGGCATTCCAGATTCATGCTTGCTCTATAGTGTTTGGTCAGGACTGTGCAACCTGGATTCCGTTGTGTTGAAATGATTTTATTATTAATGATAAATATTTAATGATTAGTAGGTATGAAAAACCTATTGAAATAGTGGTTTGTACCGAAAGACTTTTTGAAATGGTTGATGAAAGTGATGTTAATTTTAAAAAAAAAAAAAAACATCACAAACTTTGTTATCAATAAATTTTTTTTTACATGTGCTTTGTTATTAGTATTTATTTAAAACAAAATACTTATTGGCAACAATGTTCTGTAACATTGCTTTCTCTGTGCCAGATGAACATGTAATGACACTAAGCTTCTTGATATTTGACTTTTGAGCCTTGTTATTCTATGGTAAAGCATACACAATTACATTCCTTTACAAGTAAAATTGATGCAAAGCATCAAATCAGCCGCAAACAAAATTTAGCATTTCAAAAAGTACTTTCACAATTTTAAAAGCATCCATGCAAGGAAAGCACAAGATATTCAAAGCTGAAAGAGTGAACATTTTTATTTCAGACTGTCTTCAAAGAAAAATAAATAATTTAATAAACAAATAGAAATTTTAGTGCATTTGCTCATCAAATTGATTCACTGATGTAATAAACTCAACGATAAATGCTAGGAATTTATTGTCAACAATTTATATTCAGGGGCCCGTTTTACATAAGAACTTACGACTAAGACCAAAAACTTCAGTTGACTGTAACATTTTGCAAAATTGATGATTCTGTTTCAAATCGTTAGCGTAAAAGTGCAGAATCTTTCTACATTCTTTTTAAAAAGATTAAAACCATTTTCTATTTAATGTAAATTAGAAAGTTATTAGCAGAATTAAATTTTGGTCTTAGTCGTAGGTTCTTTTGTAAAACGTGCCCCAGATCTCAAGATGAACCACGTGCTGATACCCTGGATCTTTGTCACAAGATAATGCCCATGATTTCTGCAGAGTAGGCTATGCTGCACGGCGTGGTCAAAATGTAGAAAACATTATCCATGTGTCATTTGCAGCTGTAGCATATTCATAACAATTTTTACTAGTTGAACATCTTTTCAATTTTTATTCACCATGCACTTTTACTACTTCATTATTATCCGGAAAATCATAACGATTTGCTTTCGTATCTTACACACTCCCAGGTTGGGGAGTACCTATTGTAAACTCTCTTTTATATAATCATAAATTATCAAATATCTGAAGAGAAATGATAATGAAATTGAAACATAATAAGAACAATTAAGACTTAGTTTAAAGCAAGTTTTTAAAATATTTTACTCATGATTTTATACATGTTATCATTTAAGAATTATTTTACTGAACTAATAGAGAAATAACGTCTCATTCCCCCATGTGCACTTTCTAACACAACCACAAATAGATCGGCGGCTGCTGCGGCTGATAATGAAACTGCGAAACCCTATTTTTGCAACATCCTAATCTACGGATTATGATGAGAGAAGAAATTTTATCTACACTTCATATGAATTCTTTCATGTTAAATTTTTATCATCTTGGTAGTACCATTGTTTGGAAGAAACATTTTTAAAGACTAGTCTAAGCATTACTATAAAATTTTGATCCCATATCCAGCTTCATAAAACTCTTGGGTGCATGATTTGAACCAAATTGAGTATAAACTGTACAATGAGTGAGCCACTACTATCGGCTCATCATTTGCTCACTAATATCACTACAATTTGCACAATAAGTGCTGCCTGCAGAGCAGAGTGACACAGGAATCGCCTTACCTGGTGTCTCTTCGACTTTTTTCCATTGCAGAGGTGTCTAAGAGAGAAACAAACAACAACTCTGGACAGGAGATTATGAATAAGCTTTTACTTAAGTTTTGGTTGTGTCTTGAGAAAACTCCCCCACTCTCACCCCATCACACACACACATTTATTTGGGGACACCGTAGTCCTTGGACTATGATTTGAAGAAAACCAAATTTATGCTATATAGTAATGCTTGCATATTATTTCTACTAGATGTAGCCCTGCTGATTAAAAAAAAATTATCCTATCTATTTCGATGTAAAAGTCTTTTTTCCCCCAGTCAAAATGAAGTGGGGATGGGTGACATGGTAAGAATCTACTCTGGAAGAGGAAGTATTAACTTAACTTCTAGCTCATCTCAATGAAGTTCGAAGAGCTTGAGTACTACCTTGGCAACGGTGTCAAAGGTTAAAGATTTTGTTTCACTGTACCATTCAAATTTCAGATGCTGGATTTTTAGCCATTATTTTCATAAGAATGACCAGGTTAATGTTTTTGGTGAATGTCAAAGTTTTGGGAACAGGTCTCACTTCCAAGTTACTAGTATATAATCCCTACTGGACCAAACTTGCAGGGATGACTAGACTTGTTTCGATTGCTGGATCTGACCTCGCAGTCCATGTATGAGTGACCAGGTTAAAGATTTTGGAGCAGGTTCACTCTAAAGAACGATAAGCTCTATGGTGACCAAACTTGCATGCATGATGCATCTAGGAATCCACACTATCAGACATGCTTTGGATTTTTTTTACCTAATATATACTAGTATTTTAAATGAGTGAACTGGTTAAAGTTTTTGGAGCAGGTTCATTTCATGTATAAGTCATATCCAGACCAAACATGCATGTATGACGCCTTGATCTAGGGATGTTCACTACCAGACCTGCTTCGGATGCTGGATCTGACCAAATTTTTCGAGAGGATTGAACAGGTTGTTTATGGAGTTGGTTGATTCTAAAGTAACAATAAGAGAATCGCTCATCCGACTGTAACCAATAAAATTAACTCAAATACTTGTTAGGACTAATTCACAAATCTTTGATAGTTCAGGAGTAAAAAATCCAATATGGAAGATCAGATAGCAATAGAATTTGCTAAATATATACCGTAGATTTTGTCTAGTTGGCTATTTTTGTTTTCTCAATTTTCATTTGCATTGTGTCATATAATTTATAAATATAGTAGCCAACATCTACATTAATATCAAATTTATATTTGAGGGTCTATAACTCCAACGTTTAAGAGCAAACATTAAGGAAATTTGGTACACAAGAAGACCTTGTTATACCATTTCATTTTGTAATAACAATTGTGCAATTCCAATAGATTTCAAGAAATTCAGGCCCGTAGGAAGCAATTTCAGTTGGGGGGGGGGGGGGGAGAGGGGGCACAGCCATACATTTTCAGTTGAGGGGGCACTATCACCTACCAAAAATTCCTTGACAAACCAAAAAAAAAAGTTATCAGACGTTTTTTTTTTTGAGGGGGCACAAGCATATAGATCTATGTTTTCTGTAGTACTCCATATATTGGCAAAATTATTGGGGGGTGGGCACGGCCCCCAGTGCCCCCCCCCCCCGTTCCTACGGCCATGAAATTATATATTCAAGAAATCAAAAACTGCAAGAATCATCAGAATTTGATATATCGGGGCCACAACTCCCACATGGCTGCACAAATTGTTGCGAAGCTTGCTTAGTAACTCAATTCTGCCATTTTGAATATTTTCAACCTTTCCAGAATTTGCATATCTGCTTTTTTTATTATTAGTTAAAAACTGCATATCGCCCTTGTTTTATTTTTAGTGGCCTTGTTCCCATGTAGAGTCAGAGAAGATGTTTGAAAAAAAGTTTACGACAACGATGGTCGCCAAAAGATGGTATGAATTCACTTGGCCCTCTGGCTTGCTGAGGCAATAAACCATATTGTGACAAAACAACATGTATGGCTGATGCATCTAGGGATGCACATCTTAGACTAGCTTCGGATGCTATATCTGTCATACATTTCCCAAAAGATTGAACAAGTTTAAGTTTTTGGAACTGGTCCATTCCCCTACATTTTCCAGATGAACAAGCATTCTGAGAGTATTGCATTAGCAATACTAGTCCCCTACCGGCAAGTGTAATCTGGTTCCCTTTAAAAATTGAAAATGCCATAATTCCGTCAAAAATCATTGAAGCGGAACGAAATGCAAACTTGATCTATAACTAATCAAGATAAAGTCACATACCAAAAATCGGCTCAATATCTGCAAGCGTTTAGAAAAAAAATTGTGGAAAACCCTTAAAAATTAAAAAATCGTAATTCCGTCAAATATGAATGAAGCGGAGAATTGCAAACTTGATCTGTAACTCATCAAGATACACTCACATTCCAAAAAATCAGCTCAATATCTGCAAGCGTTTAGGAAAAAAGTGCGGAAAACCAAGTGGGACAGACTGACAGACAAACGGACAGACTCAGAGGAAACCTATAGTCCCCTCCGGTTTCACCGGTAGGGGACTAATAACCAGGTTGATTCCAAAGTTACTATAAGCCCTATGCTGTCCAAACTTGCATTGAAGATGCATTTATAGGGATGCACACTACCAGGCTAGCTTCAGATGCTGAATCTTACTTACATTTTCTAGGTGATTGAACAGAAAAGGTTTTTGAAGCAAATCCATCCCCGAGTAGCTATTTAAAGATAACATTCGTTGAGGTGGCTTTCTATCTTTAATTACCTATGTTTCCTGTTCTTCTTGAGTGGTTCCTAAGAAACATTTTGAATATATTCGACGCAAAACTGCAATCCTTTTCGTTGCCCTGTTGTTTTCTCATAGATTTCCATTGATGCTCAATGTGTTAATTATGGTTTATTTATGAACAGATGAAGGCAGGGAGTAGACAGGGGAGAACAGGAGAAGGATAGCGAGGGGTGGGAGGATAGGAAAAAAAAATGAATATGGCTGTCTGCCGGCAAGAAGTTATCTTATTGCATCGAAGTACTGGATATGATCTTCGATTACTTGTCAAATCTCAAAGTTTTGAAGATAATTAGTGTTTAAGGCAAATCTCAGGCGGCTTTAAAGAACATCTAGCTGATAAAGGGAAGAAAACCCCAAAAGAAATCCCACCCTCAGGATTTATTGATTTGGAAATACTACTAAAATCCAAATGAAAACAAGATCATAGAGAAGAAAGGATGGCGAGAAAAACAATGACAAAGAGCTAACAAAGCCGTTCGGACTTTAGCCGACTGACAGCTTCTCTGTATACCAAGATCAACATCAACTTTCGGTACACTGATTAATCTGCGGACTAGGAAAAGTAACACTCGTTGAAGGTTGAATTTCTCAAGTGAAACAAATTGGACATTATTAGGGATAGGTCTGAAAATGATATGCTCCAGGGGTGTGCAATTAGCATCGCCCGACGCCCGGGGCTACCATTTTTTGGGGTCGGGCTAGTTGTTCTCTGCATGCAGGTAGCCCCTTGGGCTAGTAAAAATTAAAAATACCAATGTTATAAATGAAAATCACTACCGGTATTTTCACTTATTTTTTGCTATTAAATTCCCAAACAATGAAAAATTTCCAGGCAGAATGCTCCTATTGTTCGTAAATCTCCATAATCTTATCCATTTTGCAGCACTTCCTGACTTATTTACTTCCAAAAACGATCGTTTTTTTCCTAATCCGAATTCCCTCCATTCATGTGTTTATGATAAATAAAGGCAGATATCTATTATTTACGATCACTCAATCAACTGAAAGATAAGTATTATGTGAATTACGTGTACATAAAATATATTTCCAGTGTATTTAATAATTTAAGATAAAAAAAAAGATTTCACTTCGTTTTAAATGAGCTAGTGCAATATGCACAGAGAAAAGGAAAAAAATAATAATTTATTTAAATTCATCTTTATTTTCTACCATAATTATTTATTTATACATGATTCAATTTTACTAGTGAGAATAAAACTTTAATTTTAAAAAGAATTACCTTAAACCCCTGACTTATTCAACAATTATTTATTCAGTTTTCGTAGTTGTTACTTTTCCCACCTACATTTGGGCTAGTAACTTTTTACTTGGGGCTAGTAACTTTATTGCTGCCACTAGCCCGTGGGCTAGTACTTGATTTTTTTAATTGCACACCCCTGTGCTCATGACAACTTAAAGAAAAGCACAGAAGGCGGGGGATTTCCGGGGAATCAGTCAGTTCAAGACTTGTTATTACCAGTTTTAGAAATAAGCACAGTATTAATACTATTAATAATAATAGTATTAATACTATTGCAAAAACATTCCTATAAATATAGCCAAAAACTCAGCAATGTAACTATTTACACCTTCAGAATTAAGAATATGCAAGTCAGTCTATGGTAATCTAGAGAGAGAAAGTACGATTTTAAAGACGTGACCCCACATAAGGTATGTAATCTAACGCAGCCAAGCTTTTCAAGGAAGGAGAAAAAAGAAGAATTGTAATATTCAAAGATGAGGTTACTTTGGTAGATAGCCAATTGAGGCTTACCACATTTAATCCGAGTTTTCTCTGAATCTAACACCTGTTTTTATTTTGTGACATTTGCAGGGGAGAGTCAGAGCGGAGGCCATATTGAAAAGTGGGAATTCGGCGACACCAGCTGGTGTAGCGACTCTGCCTACCTTTTACAACTTTATTTCGCGGATCTAACATGTAGGTAAAGAGAGATTTCAATAGGGACTAGTTGGCTTTTTCAAGTAGCGGAGGCATCTGCAGAATGAAAATATGAAGGTACTAACGCTACCAGACAATTCGCTGGTAAGTTTTATCCGACAAACAATCAAATTAAAGAAACTCAAGAAATCATCTTTACAAGAGAACAACTGAAAGGATGAGCGCAACGTTTTTATAACTTTCTTATCTGACCCACACTAGCTGCTAAAAACATTAAACATCAAGGAAGCTTCATTTTTCACAAAAATTCGGCATGCTAGACATCCTTGTCAAGTGAAAAGCAAGTACATATGGTGGATTTAGAAATTCAAGAGAAGAAGTTAGATCATGAAAGAACCAACAGAAATGAAAATGGGATTCAGAGGACTCTATGTAAAGCTGCAGAGACAACATCCCTACCACTAACAAGAGACCAATGGTCCACCTTGATTCTGCTGTTGTCTCTCTTTATACCCATAGAAAAAACGTGATCCAAAGATTGTGGCCCAACCCTTGCCTCAAGAAACCATGACTTAAGCAAACTCAAATCCACAAAACATTGGGATGTTTCTTTATATGACTAACATCATGGTCTTGCTAATCTCGAGAACAAACTTTTCCCTGCATAAAAAATTGTAAAATTTGATTCCCTATTTTAGCCCCGCCGTAACCCCAGGGTCCATGATTTGAAAAAAAATTGACTCCACACAGCTTGGAAATGTTTACATATATATTACAAATTAAGTGTGATCTTGCTATTCTTGAATAATTTAAAAGAAAGTCCTTAGATATTCTCATGTAAAACTTTGAATCACCATTTTATCCCTACCCTGTCCCAATGGGCCATGATTTTAAGACATATAACGACTTATTAAGATTTTGACCAATGTTTTTACATGTAAGACCTCGCCTCGATTCCCTATTGTGTTCGAAATCTACCCCAACCAATATCTCCGGGGAATGATTTGAACAAACTTGAATCTACATTACCTGATGATGCTCGTATACTACTATGACATCAAGCTTTTACTGTTCTTGACAAAAAGATTTTAAAATTATTTTTTCCTATATATATTCAAGTTACCCGGTAAACTCTGATCCACTATTGTGTCCTAACCACACCCCGGTGTCATGATCTGTACACATTTTAATCCACCAACTCATTAAGAAAATCTCAGCTATAAATGTTGTATTTTTAAAAAGGAAATGGATACTAGTATATCATAGTGCAAGTCAAGTCAAAGAAACATCATTACAAGACAGGACCTAGAATGGAATCCTTAGGGGAAAAGATAAAGGGACGGTACATGAATACCAGGCAGAAAGATACAGACGCAAAAATGAAAAATGGATCTGGAGTCTATATCCTCAGATAGAGAGAGAGAGAGGGATGGGGATGGACATGAAGAGGAAATATTCATTAGTGTCCGCTTCATCGAGCCTGGTATTGGGTTAATAGCCTATCTAACAATTATTTGTTCTAGGACTGAATACAAAATAGTTTATATTATTACAAAAGTTCATTTTAAGAACATAATTATAGGTGGCGAGGGAGGATAAACTTTGGAGAAAAAAGATTTATAAACACATCGACCACAGAATAAAATCAAGTTTAAGTCTTATTTTAGGGATGAGGGTTGTTGAGATTGCAGTGCCATTAATTTTTAATCATCGTCAGTAACCCATGAGTTTCTGTTCACTTCCACTTCATCATTGGCAACCTGGATAAAAGAAGTGTAAAAGAATAGAAAACCCCGAGTGTAACCGACGAAGATTTCTTAAAAACTTTAAAAATCACCATGGGTTACATCTGATATACATTAAACATAAAAGTATTCAGATGTAATCTATTGTGATTTTTTAAAGTTTAAAGACTTTCATAAGAATACTAATTACCAGGATTTTTTCTTTAGTGCAAACTTTCAACTTCTATAGTGTAAACTTTCAGCATTTTCGACTTCTTCTGCAAAACCACTGGGTCAATTTCAACTAATTTTGCCGCAATGCATCCATGGGTAAAGGGGATCGAAGGATAGAAGTTTGTTAAAATGAAGAGCCATGCTTTCTTTCTAGGAGAGATAATTGAAAATTTGTTAAACTCTGAAATATGAAAATCTCAAGAACTACTGGACCAGAAAAAATTAAACATAGGAAAGTGTCTTTTTTTCATGGAAAAATCCTTTGAATATATTCTTCTGAAGAACAGGGCCTAGGTGACTCAAGAGGGCATCGTGGCGTATAAGCGTTTTTTTTAAGTTGAAAAACTTCGTATAAAATATTTTAAAGGTAAGTGAAAGTAAATATGCATGGATCATCTTTGGTATCTTTTGCATTTGGACCAAATTTTTAACATTTATTTGTTTCCCGGCTTTAAAGCTTGCTTTTATCTAGATATTGAATTATTTGTCATTTATGATCAGTAGGAATATCGAGAAATAACTTATGATACGCCGAACAAATACAGGTAAAGAAGGAAACGTATCAAAATATATAAACATTTACTGTATTGAGATAAATGCTTCATGAAAAAAAAAACGCATGAAATGATTTCTTTTGAATAGGATACAAAGCATGAAATTAAGCCTTACATTTTAGGAATACCGTATTGAGGACTTGTCGTACCTATCTGGAAAAGATAAATTCATTTTAATGTAGGGACTAGTATAGTGTATTACTCATTGATTTTGCAGAAAATGAATGGTAAACTCTTCGATAAAGATGACAGCGGGTAAGTTCATATTTCTTTTATCTGTATTCAACACTAACACGACATTTTCTGATCGAAGTCGATAGAGGAAATGCTAATACTCAAAACATTTTGAAACTTTTTCATAAGACATGGTTAGAATTTTCACTGCTGCATGCATATTTTATTCACAATACACAACAAATCAATGGTTATAACAACAAAAAACTTGCTGCATAATGACTATAGACTAGAGAACCCGTTGTTATGAAGACCACAATCTATACTAAATAATGTACATATACTCGCAAATGATTAAAAAAAACTCCGCCACCAAAGATCTTTTTGATATGATACATCGTCTATGCCCTATATATAATCGCTAATTTTATATCGTGCACATATTTAAGATATAAAAAAGTGATAAAAGGTCCAAGAGAATTTACACTTCCCCACAACTTGTGGGTTCCTGCACATATTCCGTGTAATCGGCTTGATGCGACTTCAGTTCCGATACAGGGCCCTTGTAGCTGGCTTTCTTTAATGCTTTGGCTTTGACACTGTCATGCTCATAACACACCATGGGGACCGCCTTTGATTTGGGGTCTTTTTGCTTGCAGTGGGCTGGACAACTCTTCACAGAACTCTGGGAGAAACAGAGCTGGGATACGCCTTTGTTCAAACGTGTTCGTAGTACGGTTTCAGGTTTTACTAAGCATCGTGCTGTGGAAAAAAGGATAAACACTCATTCAAATCATATTAAATCCTGGAGTATTATTTCATAACCTTAATGACGCAGATCGGTATCTATGGTTCTGAAAAGTTTGAACTTACATTAGAGAGTCAGAGATTACGTAAGTCTGAATATAGGAATTCTTTGAATGCATCGTTGTAACAATCATTGGATTAAAATGAAGGACACTTACATGGCGATGACGAATTCTGATGTTGATGACATTCCTTCAGTACACTTCCAGAATCACATTTACTGTCTGGGATTAAATAATCAAGAACAAAACAATTTGGATCGGAACGATCAACTCTCTGCGGACTTTGATATTCATTTCCTTGTTTTCCGTCGAAGTTTCCACAGAGACCGCAAACTTGAGAGTAGTAAAACGGGGTCACCTGAAAAGAGACGGCAAAAATCAACAATAACAGAAAATTAAACAAAATTATATGCAGGAGTTATCTCAACAAAAATCAACAGGAAATGTACAAAAAGAGTAAAAAGATTTTAAATACAGCAATAAAATGCCAAGACAAACCTTAATGGATATTTTGTGACCATCTGATGTGACATGTACTCCTTTCCGTGATGCCGAGATGGAAATCCTATTTTGTTGACGACTGATTTCTAGTCTGGAATCTTTATTGCTAAAGAATGAAGGAAAGAAAAATAAAAATAGATATAGAAAATTTATGAATCAGCGAAAACAAAAACGAGAAAGGGAGGAGATTTTGGTACCTGCTTAAGGATGATGCTACTTTAACGCTGATTGCAGACTCAGCTGGAATGTCTTCTTTTTTGCCATCAACTTTAACATCTAAAGAGGATTTTACTGGAACAATCTCTATGCGTTTACCTTCTATATGAACCTCAACAGCCTATGAAGACGCATGAAATATTCAAAAATATATCAAAGATTTGTTATAAATTAATAGGATATGTTAAGCATTATAGTCTTTCAATGACATTTTTATTCTTTTAAATACACTCACTCTTTTAGAGGGATCGGATGAATCCTTTCTGTATTTAATGGCGAATTGCTTAGCAGAGGAACAGTCTATGGACAGAACGACTTTGCAATCCTTTGTGTCTGGTATGCTGTATTCTTTCCCATCCATAGTTCTAACCTGGTTATGTTTCACCTCGCATTGTCCTAGAAAAATATGTCTTTATTAATGTGCTAAATGTATAAGACTATTTCAATTTTATGAATTATAGTGCATAAAAACCAGCTCTGACCTGGCAGACGGCTAGTGATGCTGGACAATGTCTTCTGTAACGGACGTCGAAGTCCATCCCTGATACCTTTCATAGATTCAAAGAAGAATGGTCCAAAATATGGAATGGAAATGCCTCTCAGAAAGTTAGACTCTTCAGAAAGTTTAAATTCTGCGTCAAACTAAGGTAAACACAAAAAATCTCTCACCTCTTTGAAGATTAATAATGCTTGAAATTGCGTTTGAGTTTAGTTTGCGGAATATCAATCTAATAACATGAAAAGATGGTCACATGATTGCTATCTTACTTGTCTATTGTTTCTCCTGAAATTAAGAAGGACTTCCAATCTGTCTTTAGGACGGAAGGAATGAGGGTACTTTGTGAATAAATGTCGATACATCATGGCTTTCATTGCTTCATGTGTCCACCACGCAAATTCTTCTAAACTACGAGGTATTTCTTCCTAGAAATGAAAAATATGTACAAAAATGAAATGTCCACTTATAAATCTAGAAAGTGTTTAAAACCATTGCACTTTACTTGTACGATATTTTAAAAGATGTAAGACTTTTCCAATTGGCAGGTGAATGATTATTTCTAGAGAATTTTACAAAATTGTTTGGTTTATAGAAGAGATATATTCTAAGTATTCGTTACCCTTTCATAATGAACACGGACGTGCAGGTGACGAATCATGTTCATTTCTAAGCTGAGTTTAAGATAAGCTGAAGTTACTTCTTCAGATCCACCTCTCATTTCCCTCAGATATGTTTTTGTTATGCTGCTTCTCTCTAGTGGCGATTTTTGTGCCCTTTCCCATATTAACTGTTCCAAAGAGGGTGTTCCGAGAATCTTCAATGGAACATTTTATTTTAAAATTTTGTATTGAGAATGATTTTTACCAAAACTAGTGACAAATAAATTTTTCAAACACAGATACAAAGGTGCTATTCATCTTAAAAATACCTGGACTTCGAAAAATTTCTTTTTATCACCTTCGGCCCCGTACTGCGCCTTCACCGATATACACATTTCTCTGTCGGTTTCTACTTTTAAGTCTCCAGGTGCTGACGACTTGGCCTTCCTGCTTGACTTTTGTTTTTGACGAATGTCTTTGCTCTTGTCTGACTGCTGACTGCTTGGTCGCCTTTTAGAAGGACTTTGATCACTGCTTTGTTTGGAGTCAACGTCGCTTGGTTGTGAACTCCTAGACTCTGTTTGTTGATCGTTAATGGATTTCTCAGATCTTTGTTTTGCGGATTCTTTTTGTGACCTGCGAGATATCTGTTCAGATTTCTCTTTAGATTTACGATTGTTCCTTGTACCATCTCCATTCTGTCGATCTTTACTATCTTGCAATTTGTCTTCTTGCCTAATACCGGCAACAGGTCTATTTTGAGAAGATTGAACTGACTGTGACTCCCGGGATGAGCTTGTTGAGCTATGTTGAGATTCTTCGTTTTTGAGATCTTGAACCTTCTGCTGCAGTTCTTCTAACCTCTTCTCCTGAGTTTTCAAAGAGGCCTGAATGGTTTGTTTTTCTTGTGGACTCATTTCTGATTTCGGTATGAGTTCCTTTACCTTCTCAACAATTTGTTTTTGGATTTCAATTCTTCGCAATGGTTCTTTTGTAGTATCATCCACCTTCTGATGGAGTTGATTTGATCTTATATCACTTTCTACCTTTTCGATTTCATCTTGGACGGTTTTACATTTTGCAGCTAGTTCTGTAATCGTTGTGGATTCAAGCTTTTTAGCAGACTTCTTTTGATCCTTTTCAATATCTCTTACTCTATGTTCAATTTTTATTTGCATTGATCTAATTAATCCCATCTTATTGTGGACTATCTGAAGCATTTTATTATCAGATCGACTAAGACTAGAAACGGATCTTTTCGCTTTAATTGATTTTAGTATATTTCTCATTATTTGAAGATACTCAAGTTTTTCCGTTTCAGCCTTCTCCTCAAGTTTTTCTATTCTTGTGTCCATTGCTTCGGAGCGGGAAACAGATTGAATCAATTGCTCTCTGGCACGCCCAGCAACTAATCCCAACAAACTGTGTTGCATTTGTATAACCTCAACAAGTTTAGCTATAACGTCTGGTGGGCTTTGGTTTACATTGCTTTGTTTGATTAAAGACACTATTTGTGTGCCTGTTTCATCTAAAATCTCCATACATTGCTGCACTCTTTGAACTGGTTGGGCATTATCTTTCCTAGATTTCGCAGATGATGATGATTCTGCAGCCACTAACTGCTGGACAGCGATTACTTGTGACAGCTGGACTTGTCTAAGACTTTCAAGTGTTCTCTGTTCTCTCTGTGAACGTGTTCCCCTCACTGCCTCTCTTTCTTTCTCTTGCTGAGTTGCTATTGCCAATACCTTTGACAGTTTGTCATTTTCTTGTTTCAAGTGTTGCAACAATGTCGTCATTTCTTGCATTTCTTTCTGATTTTGCGGTTTGGATTTCTGTCTTTTTATTCTCTGTTCTAAACATTTGGAAATTTGTTGTTGTTGGATTACAGCTTTTAGCAAAATTGCTCTTTCCTTTTCAATTCTATGGGGCAATGAGGTCGACGCCTCTCGACGAATCTTTTCATTGATTTCCTTAGCTACACGAACTGCTTCTTTTATTTTCTTCTGATCAATATTTTTTGCCCCATCCAATTTTTCTTTCGACTCGGAAAGTTCTTGAATGGCCTCCCGCTGGATCTGCAGAAGACTCGAAACTGATTTGGATAAAGGAGACTTACTTTTGGACTGAGAGAGAGAGGCGCTATCTTGGGATTGTTGATGTGTCCTCTGTAGTTGTTCCCGACTTTGCGGTGATTTCTCTGACTGTTTGGATGTTTTTTTTGATTGCCGAGATTGTTGCTCCGGTTGTTCTGACTGTTCAGACTTTTGTGGGGATTCCTGAGCCTCTTTCGAATTAACTTCAGGTACAGAGGGAGACTGAGAGTCTGACTGTCCGGGTTGCGACTTAGATGAATCCCTTTGTTGTGTTTCTTCTGACTGTTGTGGTTCTTGTTGCTGAGAGGAACCCTCAACCTGTACTTCAGGGATGGGCGGAGATTGTGGATTGGATTGAGAACTTTGAGAAACCCTCTGTGAAGAACTTTGCTTTTGCAATATTTTTCTCAGTGATTCTCTGTTTGTTTCTAATGATTTTTTGAGAGATTGTTGATCTTTAGAAGACAATGCCCTCGATGAAGATAGGACGGATTCCTCAATTCTTTGCTCAACGATTTGTTGAAGTAATGCAGAGTATTTTCGTAGATTATCAGATTCTTCACTGGTTGGAACTGATCTTGACTCTCTTTCTAAAAGTTGTTTAACCTTTTCTGACCACTTTATGACAGAGGAGAGTGTTGATTTTATCCTCTGAAGTTTTAATGGGTCAGATGACTTTCTACGAATATTCGTCACTTCTTTCAGAAGATGTTTCTGTTCTCGGATAAGCTTGATTACCTTTCTGTCAGAACTTGGCGAAGATTCTTCTGATTGACTCACTTCCGTGTTCACAACTTCGTCAATGATTTCTTGGGTGCCTGTTGAGCTTAAAAGTGTTTTTAGAACTTTAATCTGTTGGCTTGGTATCTCCCGATCGATTAACCTATGATACTCATCCTCTCCATGTCTTCTTATATGCACCTCTATTTGTTTTTCAAGCTCTTTCTGGTATGATTCAGACATCAGTTCCGAAGGATTTACAAGTTTTGTTGGTAAATTTAACTTGATGGCAATGTCCATCTGAAATCACACAATTTAAGCTATAAGTTCATTTGTTCTTCAGGCAACACATAGAGCAAATTTGTTTTTCACATACACAACCAATTTATTTCTTACCTTCCATGCTTTGGTTTCTACTTCTGGAACAGGAGATCTATTCAGAGTCGCCAGAATTGAAGTGACTCTTGAGCTCATGTCAAAACCGGCTGCCATACAGACTTGCAGATGTCGTTTAATTGATCTAGATTCATCTATTCCAATGACATTTATCAGAATTCCAATACTGTTGTTACGTGACACAACAGCTTTGTCTGACTGGACAGATTGTGGTTCTTTCAAATGTTGAATGAGACTTGCCAAGGATGAATCTTTTGATTTGATGTCTTTTGGAGGAGAGGAAGGTTGTGAAGAAGAGGATGGGATCTGATCAGACTGACCACCACTTAATAACGTTAAATAACTTGCTATTTTAGAAATAATCCCTTCTTCTCCCGAATTCGTAGCCTTATCTGAGGCTGATTGTTGAGCAGATTCTTGTTTTGGAGCCATCAGTTGAACTTGAAATTCCATATATTTTTGAGGATTAATTCCTGGTGATAAGGTGATAAACAATTCCTGTTTACCTATCATTGGGTAATATGGGACATTCATCTCGAAATCGCTCACAACAGCTTGTCCGCTTATTCCTACTTCAAGACCCAAACTGCGTTTACCAAATGAAATTGACAACTGTAAAAGAATTTATCACACTAAAACCTAGTATTAGAAAATATTATATCATATTGAACTTCATAATATGGATATTTCAATGATCGCTTCAAAGAATGAATGTTAATATCTATGTATACACTTACTGGCATGGCCTTTGCACCTTCAGCAGCCCTGATGCATTGCGTTTCTCTTGGTGCAGGATACTTTGCTATGTCAGACGGGTTTTCTTTGAAATACGTTGATGGAGATATTTCCATCTTAGCTACTTTCTCATTCTATTACGAAAGAAAAATTCATTATATTCAGTATTGCTTTCTTCTCAACTAGATCAAATTACTAGTAAATAAAATCTTGTAATGTAAAAGTATGTACACTAAGTCTTGTAATATAATATAATATAATATAATATATATATATATATATATATATATATATATATATATATATATATATATATATATATATATATCATACCAATTTCTCAATATTGACTTTAGTTATAAGTTTGGCAGTAGGAAGATTAAAGGTAGTGGAGATCGAAAGAGGTGTCTCTACATGTGCCATAGATTTAATAGATACACCCGCTTTGAAGTATTCTGCATCCATTTCCATTTCACCTCGCATGTCAACCAATACACTGAAAACAAACAATGAGTCCTAAGCAAAGATCTCTCAGCAGGAAATTTTAAGACTGAAAGTGAAATGAGAATACCTTGGATTAAGTTCTAAATCTAAGCCTAGTTCTCTCGCGGCCTTTCCTGGACGGTTGATCTGAAACAGAGAAGGTACCCCAGAAACTTTCATTTTGCCTGTTACTTTAACTGCAGCTGTCCCCCTAAGTTTCAGACGGAGTGGGAGACCAGACTCGGTTGGAATCATAGTGTCAGCATCGAGAGGTATGAGAGACCTGTGTATGTCAATGTCTATACCGCTCTTCATTTTCTGTTCCGTCACACTTAACAGGATCTTTCCTAGAATAGGGAGTTTTATGCTTGTGAAGTTCATAAAATACGCATAGGAAGCAATTTCCTTTAAAATGTGTTTTGTATAAAAAATTACCCTCTTTAAGTAATGCTTCCACCATAGTACTGCGATCCAGACTAAAATACTGGAGTTCATTGCCCATCATTTTTATGTATAAATGGCCTTTAGGTTCAGGGCTTGTACGAGCTGACACCTTCAGCTATAAAAACACCAGTTTGTTTTATGACAACAGAGTTCACAATCTTGATATAAGAAATATTAAATGGGAAGTTAAGGTTGTGAGGGTACATAAAGGGAAGGATGCTCATTAACAAAGATGATGAAAATCATTGCAATGCCATTAAAATTCATCACCTGCTGATGGATTTGACTGATCGGGTCACTTTGAGTTTGCGTTGACTGTGAACTTCTGCGTACTCGCTGTTTGAGAACATCCACAACTGATTTTCCTTTGGTAAGTTCACCGAGTGGTCCAACCATTTTCGACAGAAGTGTTTGCAATCCCTCGGTGTTGAATCCAATCTTAAATGAATGAAAAAAGGGAAATATCATAGTGGTCAAACTCCTCAAAAATAAAGCATAAACTATCAGAATAAAAAAAATACCTCCATAAAATTAATTGAGCTTCCCAGAACATGAGTATTGAGATGTACAGCACCAGCTCTTGGAATAAACTCTTCTGGGGAAGTTATGAAACCAAGTTCTGCAGCTGCCCCTAGCTTTACTCTATCTATATTACACCAAAACCAATCAGACATACATGTATTCAATGAAGTTACAAGATAAAAAGAATATGTTTTTTATTATAAGCTATAATTTTAAGAAATTGAAACACTCATTTTTACCGTTGTATCTGGAGAATTGAAGAAATCTCGAATATTGGAACGTCGGGCTAAACTTCTTTGCAAATCGCAATGCGAATGTCGCATTCTTTGCCCTAATGATAAAATGAATAGAGTGAAAAAGTCATGAGCTCATTAAACTCCAAAAGAAAAGAAATCGAAAAGAAATAAACAAATGTGACCTACCAAGACATGAGGCATGGATAAGTACTGTTGGACATTTGTTCAAGGTGTGTATAGACAAATGTTCCGACATGTGGGTTGGTTTCTCTGTGGAGCGAATGGGCAACCATCTCTAGAAGCTGGCGGGAAGGACTTGTTGATGTCAAGACAATATATGAGGAAATTCTAACTTCCTCTTTCTCAGTGCGGTCAAAGTATCTGGGTAGCAGAATGGACTGAATCTGTGGCGATAATTAATTGTCATTAAAAATTATCTCTAGGATTTATAAATATATGCTCATTTTTGTTGTTGCATTTCCAAACAGTTTAATTCAAAACGCTAGAAATGTCATCAACAGAACAGTCACTCCCTGTTTCATTATGACTTCAACAAATTGTTTGGATTCCTCATAAAGATTAATTAATGAAAAGCGATTGTTTATGAATTAATATTAATGTCAAGTCTTGGAAAACATAACCTTGTGCAATGCTTCAGATTGCCGTTTTCCAACAGTCATACAAAAAAAAAACGACTTTAGACAACACTATACCTGGAAATAAACAGGATTATAAATCACTCACGTCTTGAGGGTGCTGACTGGTGAGTTTTCTCAAACTGTAGATGGCTTGAGCTCGGAGCAGCTGAGGTTGGGACTTATCTTCTATGTATGTTCTGATACTGGGAATCATCTCCCGCAGTCCGGAGTTCCCTGCTGTTTTAAAGCTTAAGATTTTATCGTCAATGTCAGTGGACTTCATTAAACTCTGAATTTCCTGTTGAATAAAAAGGCTTTATTTGGTTTTAATTGTTTCTCACGGATTATTTTCAGGTCTGGGCGAAACGTATAGGGATGATTTCGATTACTTGCAAGTATATCATTAGTCTGTAACTCTTCTTTATTCATGCTATACTCTATTGAGCTCATGCGTTTGCTAGTGAAGTATTTGTCTTTCGTCCGTTCATTTATGTATTCCTGTGAAAAACGTGTATAAAAAGTTACTCTTTAAAATTTTCGAATATATCCTTAAAATGCATATTTCAATTTCGTTGATAGATGTCGCTGACGCAAATATAGAAAATTGGAATTAAGAAAAAATGAGTGGTAGTAAGAATTACAGATTATGAGAGTTGCTTAGATTATTTGATTCTTCTCTTTGGCATTAAAATTTGATTGAAATGGCTTACCAGGTGAAAATATCAGTAAATATTTTGTTCTTCATGTTTTTACCACAATCAAAGAGGTCTTTTTTTAAAAATAATTCACATAAGAATCTTAGAATTGTTATAATGGATACTGTTCCTTTTTCACACCGTAATTCTGTTTTAATTTCGACAATCAACTGCACGTATATCGTCAGAATTTTTCTATTTTTATTTAATAAATATAACAGCATTTGCCAGAATTTATGGTAATTGTGTCACTTGACGCATATATGTTTATTATCGATATGTTAAAACCGTTGTGTGTTCGAGTGATTAATGCAGATTCCTATATAAATATTAAATATACCTTCAAAAATTTATTTTAAACCTTTTGTATGTCAAATATGACTTGGGGGACCAAGCTCAGTATAAAAAGATAGCAACAATCACATGTACCGAAGCGAAAGTGGTTTCAAAAACAGTTCAAGGCCCATATTGTATTGACATTTATTTAAAATAAAAAGAAATAAAAACCTTGACAATTTCCTGTCTTATTCTTGTGTAAATACTCTGCTGTTTTCTCTTTCTATCCCCCATATCTCTCTTTTTGGACTTCAGTTTTTTCCTGCTCTGAGAGTTTGACACAGTAGACATAAGAGTATTGACGATCCTCTCCTGACGAGCCATTTGGCGGGATCTTCTGTGTTCTTCCTCTCTAAGCTTACCCGCTACTGCTCCCAAACACAGGAAAGCTGCTCTTTTCAACATTCGATTCTGAGAAACTTTAGGGCTCTGTGTTAGTTCCTGTTAAAGGATACACAAAATTGCATAACTCTCGAAAAAATACCAGGGTAATGTATGTATGAACATATTAGACTGGCTTGTAATTGAATCAAGGAATTGTACGATCAATTTTGAAAAATAGCGAAGACGTGTCAGTTGTATGAAACTCTTGCAGTGGCAGTGGGTACACGAATTTCAAAGTGTCTTTCTAAATATGAAAAAAGTTACTAAAGAATTGTTGATTTTTTTATGCTCTTGCACCTGTATTTAGATGGAAACTATCTTAAAAGTACTAACATATAAGCCAAAGCCAAAGGTGGCAGCAACTTTACAGAGAAAGGTTCTGGAAAAGTTCAGTGTTTCCGAGGATTGTCGTAGAGAGCAAACGCAGCCCGCCGATAAAGACTGAGCTCACTGGAATGTATATAGACAGCTCTGTCATCATTGGCTGGCCAACGATTGTCTTCCTCTAACTCCTTATCTAACTCTTCATCATGCATATGTTGAAAATAGCGTAAAGTTTTACACTCTGGAAAAAGAGGTTTCGAAAGAGACATTGGTATCGCACTGCATGCAAGTGAGCAAAAGAGAGGTAAAAACATTGATAAATTCAATGCATATAGATTCGGATCTTCTATCATCGTTAAAATGTTTAGTAGAGCAAAAGGATCTGTGAGGAGATACAGAGTGGGCAAAAGAATGTGAGAGAGGTTAACCTCAGCAAAAGGATGAAATCAAAGCTGTTTTGAAACCCCATTCCCATTTTCTGTAGGGCGCTACAGAAAACCCCACATAAATAACACTAGAACTACGGGTGATGATTTAGACAAAGAGGAATTTTTCAATTGATGATTAATATATAAGCAAATGGTTACCAAAAGTGTTTTGGCAACAAGAACTTCCGGTCGGGCTGACAGAGACAGAATGTTTAGAGCGATGGCGGCTTGGGGCTTGGTGATTTGGTCATTCTTGATAGCGTCCCTAAGTACTTCTGTAGCAGGGGCGGTCCCAGCTGACGGCAACAGGTCCATCAACATCTTTCTGTAAGGTTTAACAAACAAAATAAAGATTTATTTAAATATTTGTTTCTTCTTTGTTCACAACCTTAACACAGTGTCACTTAACGGAAGAATTGTAACGTCAATTTTTTTAGGTTTTGCAATTCCAAGCATTCTTGGTATTTGTTTCTAAAACGAATTATCGAAATTTGACCTGAAATTTCCTTGATATTATTAATGTTTTCGGTTCATTGAAACAAGCATTGATGTATGAAATAAAAGAGTATCAGTAATCAGACAGTTAAGATCTTTGGATTTTTATCCATTACAGTGACTTACAATTTTTTCTTGTCTGCAGATGCACTTTGGACTGTTTCGCGGAACACTGCTCTCAGGCTCTCGACGTCGGCCTTTCGGATCTCCTCTAGAAGTGACATTAGAAGTGGGCCAGCCTCTTCCTTGATAGTTGGTTTCATGAACGTTTCCAACATTTTCAACAGTTTTCGGATCTTGATATTGTAAATAAAATATTTATTTACTAAATATATTTTATTATTGCTAAAAAATTATATATATTTAATCAATTAGATAATAAACATTTTTAAAAAATAAGTTTCGTTTTCAAAAATCAAGGATGGATATGAAAAATACCGCATAGTCGTACAATTTTCTAAGGATTTATATCATAAGTGCATTCTGTTCTTGAAACTTGATAGACGATTACACATTTACTAAATTCAAAATGTTAGATTAACATTCCCAATAATTTCCCTCAAAATTCTTTAGAAATAGGAATACGATTCATTTCCGGACATATGAGCAGAAATATCTCAATGACGTCAAAAATATAGTGCATTTTTTTTTTCAAAAGTGATAGCTTATGAAATAATTTGTGGCTTTTCATCAATTAAAATATTATATGAATCTAATTTTTGAACGTTTATGAGGCACATGAACTACGATGCTTCACGCCTGCATATTTATCATGAAGCGCTTGCAAATTCATCTCTTAATTCAACAAATTATCAGTGTCTGAACTATTGAGTTTGTGTGTGTGTTCTAGTATGCGGTAAACAAAAACCAGTGAGCACAGAGACGCTTTAAAAGGAAAAAAAAATCTTGGATTGGCCTGACGTGCTTGCAACCAAACTGGTATATCCATATGAACCTCACTATGGCATGGGGAAAAAATACAATTTTTCTCAAATTTATTTAATGAATGCGTATGAAGATTTAAAGGATGTACCCTCTCTTTTGCCTGATTTGCACTTTTCTGCGACTGTTTGCTGAGCACCTGTGATGCTGGACTTTGACTGGAAGGTGGCGATTTCTGTGAACTACTCAAGGATTCGTCACGTGATTCGATCTCACGAGACGAGAACTGCAGTCCAGATCTAACAGTTTTTGGACTGCTTGGCTGAGATAAACTATCTTTTACATCCATTACTTTTATCAGATTTAAGGTTTGGCTACAAATACATAAACCATTCATTGCTATGACACATTTTCTTCTTTATTGAAATGCCAATTATTTTTCTCAAGTATTATTCACTCCTATAACGATAAAAAAGAAATATTAACTATTTCATTGTTAAAAATTATATTTGGCAACATAAAAATTATAATTTTATGCACTTTAGATAGGTTGCAACATTCCCTCCTTTTTCAGAGTATGGTGTGAAGACATGCTGACTTTCAGCAATGGCGCTCTGGATCTGAAACAACCTAGTATTTCCCCTTAATGTGTACATGACCTGCGAGGCGGATCTCAGTGGGTCTGACTGTGGAAGAAAAAAGAGATTGACTAAATTTCAAAGCTTATTACCCCTTGGCTTTAATGAACAGCTTTAGGGTCATCTAAAGCCAAGGAAAGTACAACTATAAACATGTTTCAAAACGATGGCGTACAAAATTTGACATGCTGCATTATTTTAATAAATATCTTACCCTATCTTTGACACACTCAGCACACTTTTTTCCGTGGAACATAGAGGTTAAGTACATTGGTCTGTCCAGACAGTTTTTATAGTTTCTGACTTTCGTTATATACATTATTGGATCACCACTACTTGATGTGCGAGGACTGACTTTGTATAGAGTTTCACATTCACCACCAATGCTGGGCTTAAAATATAATAACCATAGATAAAGAAAACTGTAAGTGACTGGGCAATCTTAATACACTTACTGTTAAACCGTTTAACAAAACAGCAATTATAGAAATAACTTTTTCTACAAACATGTAATAGTCATCTTTTTATCGAAACTACTAGTATTTATTTTAAAAATCATTGGCATTTTTATGCCCGAAATTCATTCAGAAATTAACGCAATATGCATGCATTGAACTGGGCCCATCAACAAACCTACCTCCATAACCTTATACATGGAGTCTTCGTTAGCAGACTGGGGACGCAGAACTCGAGGGATGGAACTGCTTTGGTCTAGCTGCTTCCTCTTATCTAGGTTCACTTCCAGAATACTAAGGAGACCTTTCTTAACATTGACCGACCACTCTGGGTCGTCTGCTTCTTGTTTGATTTCGTGGATGCTGCCACGGACATATCTTTGCAGAAAAAACAAAGCCTCAAATGGAAGAACTGCTGACTGCCATACAAGAGGATTTTACAGGTATATACACAAAACATTATTTTCTTACAAGGGGAGGGGGGGGGGGGGGGTCACACATGTAACGAAGCACTGAAAAACTGGATTTCATCTCTTTTGAATTTACCCCTTTTTAATGACGGAATCAAATAGAAATAAACCTCTCCGATATACGCCCCCTACTTTCGCGAAAGCGTGAGGACAATAAATCTCATTCGTCTATCTGTCTGTCTGTCACAAAAACTTTAACCTTGGTTATAGAGGATGGAGCTGTTATATTTTTAAATGCATTCCTGAGTCTTATGCTTTTTGACACCATGACCTTGGGGGTTTGAGTTTCAAAAATTTTAACCTTAAGCCGTAGCTTTTGCACCTGAGGAGGTCAGGCTTTCACATTTTACATTACCTGTGATGAGACTTTCTGGATGTACTATGATTCTGACCGTCTGTCAGTCCAGTTAGTTATTTGTCTGTTTCAAGAACTTTAACCATGGTCATAAATTTTGAATGAGAGACGACATGACCTATTGAAAGACACAACAATATCATAGAAGGCTACATTATTGCAGGTAGGTGTACATGTATGTAATAAAATGTGGGCAATGTATCCAGAATTCACAAAAAATATAACTTGTATGTGTACTTCAAATTACTAGTATAAACAATTGTATAAAACCTTTTAAGTATGTTAGACAGACAAGACAATTACATGTATATACAATACGCCATAGATCATTACATCCCAACCATTAAGACCAGAAAGTTGGAGACCACGATTCTCTGAATTTGCTAGTTAAAATTCTAAGAAATTATCTTCAAGTTGAGTGGCATGAGAATTTTGTGATCTTTTCTGCTTAGAGAAAAATTAATTCTTGATAATTTTATGGAAACTACTTCTCAATACATATACTTCCAATACAAGGAATAATTCTTCGAAGTAAAGGTTCTTGAAACAATACATATATATAGTATTTCATAAATTAATCTACAGAAATTAACAAGATGGAGACAACACATGAAAACTGATAAAAGAAATATACATTGACTGTTCGAGATGGTGCTGGCTTACAGGAAGTTGATGGGTCTAGACAGGTCTTTTATCATCTGGTCAGTATCCTTGCCTGTGAGTGGTCTGAACAGACTCTCGGGTACCTGTTGTTGTGTTGGGTTCACCGATTCGATCGGGTCATTAATCTTCGCCAAGGCAATTTTGTCCATCTAAAGAAAAAAAAAATTCTAAACAGTTCAGCACGATTGTTATTTTTAATGATAATAAATTCTTAATAATTTTAGTTTATGAAGAAAGTAAGAGATTACATTTTCAATCATGTTTAACAGCTGTTTAAGATTTCAATGCAAGTCATTCTACTCTTTTCGACCAATCACATGATTATGTAGCAAATAGAAGTTTTTGACCACCATTTTAGCCACGACTAATATGTTGAGTGTTGTGCACATAGTTACCAGACTGACTGTATTTTTGTTTTAAATTGCGTTTCTTAAAATAATTTGTGTATAGTACTTTTACTTACATTAGATCCGTTTACAACTAATATCATCAGATAAAAACTTAAGCACTGAACATTTTGATTAGGCAAAAACTTTCTTGAAAAGCCATACCCAATCAATTTTGTCACCCCCCCCCCCCCCCCAACACACACACACAATGATTCATTATTTCAAATGAGAAAATGTAAATAGAAGTAAAGTGACTAGTTTTTAAAATATGGGTACCAACTGGTGCAGATCCAGTGCTCAGCTGGGAAAGGGGAGATGTGTCATTTAAAGTCAATCAAATGCTCTTAAAGCAAAGGGTTTTTGTTTCGCTTTGGAAATGGGGAGGGAACACGAAAGTCAAAGACACCAAGGTTTTACAACTGTTTCTTTTGTTTTCATTTCTTTAAATTGTAAAAAAGAAAAGTAAATTGGTTGTAAAAATTCTAACTTGAATTCATCACAAAAATTAAATTAATTAGCACTTCTAATGTTCCTTATGTCTCAATTTCTTAATTTTGATATTTTTACCACTTGTTAGCGTAATTAAAACATGAGTGACATATTTAATGTATATTTACACATGTGACCTGGACTTATAGGAAAAAGGCATCTGAATAGACCATCCTCATAAAGTTTTTATATTCACTATAACTGGAGATAATGCAATAATGATTTTCTAAAACTGAAATCTTTCTAATAATTTGAGTAATGAAATGTGGTGGTCCTTAAAAGAACTGGGAAGTAATGTATAAAAAGGCCTGTTCACAAAAAAAAGATTATTTTTTTTATCTTTATACAACCATTCCCCGTGATAAATCAAAGTCAAGGCTTTTTAACACCAGCAGACAGCTGCTTTTTCAATAAATTTACAAAAATTGTCATTGGTCATATGCAAAATTATTTTGCTAAACAACATTTTGATTGTACACACATACATGCATTTAAATATATCGACGACGTATTATCAATTAACAATAGTTCATATGTCGACTAGTTATATCCCCGTGAACTTGAAATAAGATTGATTGTATGTTGTTTTACGTCCCATTCGAGAATTTTTCACTCATATAGAGACGTCACCATATACCGGTGAAGGGCTTCAATTTTGACCTTTACTCGGCACTCAGGGCCATTGAGCAGTGAGGGATCTTTATCGTGCCAACGCCTGAACTTGAAATAAACAAGAGGCCCAAGGGCCTTAACGGTCACCTGAGTATAATACAACAATTTAGAAGTTAAATACACTGATAGATGAAGCTTTGTTGCCCTAAAGCAAGAGAAGTAGGAAGATCAGGATCAACAAAATAATTAGTCTAGTATTCAGTATCAACTCATAAATTAAGTTCTAATCTGTCCCCCACTTAACACTATCACCATGCAGACTATTAACAAACTATTAGTGCTTCAGTACTATTTTTAATCCCATATTAAGAGCTCTAGCATTGACCTCTCTTATGGTCTTTGAAGAACTTTTAATAAGATAAGTTATTTTTGTCTCATTTTTATTTATCTATTACTTACAGGTCAACCTGATTATTAAAACTAAGAAAATACTTTTTGAATTATATGATAAACATTCTTGCATAATTATCTTATTCTATTAACCTTTAAAATACATTATTTACAGTGATTAAAGGTGAATGGAAAAGGGGAATAACTTCTCTCAGTAGAATACAAATTAATAGAGCCCTGCCCAGGACTAGAATGCTTAGACAAATGGTCCAGATGTTCAAAAATCTGGTAGAAATACGCTTACTTATATCATTTAAACTTTTACTCAGTTTTCTTCCGATATGCCCAGAAGCAGAGAAGAATTTCACAGGTACAATGCTTCAACAAAGCCTTACCCTAACACCAGAACCCAAGACCAAGGGTCAAGAAATTTACAAATTTGGAAGAGTTACCCTCATCATCATACCTATGGACTTCAAAGAATTAACACTTTTGCACTATATTATCAAAAGCCCCCCCCCCCCCCCCCAGGTATGCCAGAACCCCTGACCCTAGGACCACAAGATTTAAAAATTCTGTTCGAAGCTCACATTTTCATCATAGCTAAGCAATTTATTTATCAGCTCAACGCTAAGGAGCAGACAGGATTAATTAATGATTAATTAATAGAATTAATCTTTTTCACTATATAATCAATAGAGCCCCCCCCCCCTTCCTCAAGAACCCCAAAAACTGAGGCCATATATTTAAAAATTTTGGAAGAGGCATCCTTGCCCATCATAATCATGCACCAAGTTTGTTTAAATAATCTCCAGTAGCAGAGAAGACGATTTTCAAAGAATCAATGCATTTTCACTATATAATCAATAGAGCCCCGCCCTAACACCAGAACCGCTGACCCTGGGGCCATGAAATTCACAATTTTTGAAAAGGCATCCTTATGCATCATAACCATGTACTTAGTTTGTTTAAATAATACCCTGGAGCAGAGAAGAAGACTTTCAAAGAATTAATGCGTTTTCACTATATAATCAATAGAGCCCCGCCCTAACATCAGAACCCCTCACCCAGGGGCCATGGCTTTCATAATTCTGGAAGAGGCCCACCTCCTCATCATAACTATGTACTTAGTTTATCACCTTAATGCCCAGGAGCAGAGAAGAAGATTTTCAAAGAATTAATGCATTTTCACTATATAGTCGATAGAGCCCCGCCCTAACACCAGAACCCCTGACCATGGGGCCATGAAATTCACAATTTTAGAAGAGATACTCCTGCTCATCATAACTATGTACTTAGTTACTTTATTTAATACCCAGGAGCAGAGAAGAAGATTTTCAAAGAATTAATGCATTTTCACTATATAATCAATAGAGCCCCGCCCTTACACCAGAACCCCTGACCCTGGGGCCATGAATTTCAAATTTTGGAAGAGGCACTCTTGCTCTTCATAACTATGTACTTAGTTACTTTATTTAATACCCAGGAGCAGAGAAGAAGATTTTCAAAGAATTAATGCATTTTCATTATATAATCAATAGAGCCCTGCCCTTACACCAGAACCCCTGACCCTGGGGCCATGAATTTCACACTTTTGGAAGAGGCACTCTTGCTATTCATAACTATGTACTTAGTTACTTTATTTAATACCCAGGAGCAGAGAAGAAGATTTTCAAAGAATTAATGCACTTTCACTATATGATCAACAGAGCCCCACCCTTACACCAGAACCCCTGACCCTGGGGCCATGAATTTCACAATTTTTGAAGAGGCACTCTTGCTCATCATAACTATGTACTTAGTTATTTTATTTAATACCCAGGAGCAGAGAAGAAGATTTTCAAAGAATTAATGCATTTTCATTATATAATCAATATAGCCCCGCCCTAACACCAGAACCCCTGACCCTTGGGCCATGAATTTCACAATTTTGGAAGAGGCACTCTTGCTCTTCATAACTATGTACTTAGTTACTTTATTTAATACCCAGGAGCAGAGAAGAAGATTTTCAAAGAATTAATGCACTTTCACTATATGATCTATATAGCCCCACCCTGGGGCCAGAACCCCTGACCCTGGGGCCATGAATTTCACAATTTCGGAAGAGGCACTCTTGCTCAACATAACTATGTACTTAGTTACTTTATTTAATACCCAGGAGCAGAGAAGAAGATTTTCAAAGAATTAATGCATTTTCACTATATAATCAATAGAGCCCCACCCTAACACCAGAACCCCTGACCCTGGGGCCATGAATTTCACAATTTTTGAAGAGGCACTCTTGCTCATCATAACTATGTACTTAGTTACTTTATTTAATACCCAGGAGCAGAGAAGAAGATTTTCAAAGAATTAATGCATTTTCACTATATAATTATGGAGCCCCGCCCTAACACCAGAACCCCTGACCCTGGGGCCATGAATTTCACAATTTTGGAAGAGGCACTCTTGCTCAACATAACTATGTACTTAGTTACTTTATTTAATACCCAGGAGCAGAGAAGAAGATTTTCAAAGAAATAATGCACTTTCACTATATGATCTATATAGCCCCACCCTGGGGCCAGAACCCCTGACCCTGGGGCCATGAATTTCACAATTTTGGTAGAGGGCTCACTGCTTATTACAATGATGCCAACAGTTTGACTGCTTGATGTCCTGGAGTAAAGAAGAAGATTTTTAAAGATTGCATTATTTTTGGTGGTTTTAGCCCCACCCCTCAGGCCCCAGGGGGGCAGGGACCATGAAATTCACAATTTTTGTTCTCCTTCACCCATAGATGCTATATGCCAAATTTGGTTGAAATTGGTTAAGCGGTTTCAGAGAAGAAGCTAAAAATGTTCAAATGTTAACACACGACGCACGACGCACGCCGACGGACGAGAACGGATAGCAATAGGTCACCTGAGTGACTCAGGTGACCTAAAGATACGACAGAGTCTGACCCATCTGTTTCTTATCTGGATATTCTACTAGAAAAAAAACGTTAATGGTAACATAACAACAAAACTATGATAAACGTGATGACTTCAATTTTTTCTATCGTCAACTTCCCTTATTTTTGTAGCAAACCTTTATCACCTACATATGGAATTGATTCGATACGGAAGACCATATTCTACGTACGAACAATTTCTGAAACAAGGCAAGCTACTGACAAACACTGAAGTTGATGAAACAAGGATATCAACAGTCTCGTTTGAAGTCAACATTTTGCATGTTCTATGGTCGATACAATGACATTGTCAGCAAATACAATCCATCATGAAGCTGACTGACGTTTTTCACACTAATTGTAATGCCATTATTTACACACTGAATCATTGTCTACGTTTTTTCCGTTTGCCTGATCATGACAGGGAGCACACGGCGGGTGTGACCGGTCGACAGGGGATGCTCACTCCTCCATGGCACCTGATCCCAGCTCTGATGCTTTTAGAGGTCCATGTTTGCTCTGCTTCTGTTTTTATTGTTTAAATGGACCTTTGAGCTTGATTAATGTTCGTTATTTTTTTACTTGATTAGACTTGAACACTGTAACTCGTGATCATCAAAAATTTTATAGCTCTGGATAAAACTCGTAATACGTAATTATTGTAATACGTAAATATTTAACACATAGATCGACACTGGGTTTTTTTACAAAAAAATCATCAAATAAAAAAAAAACTAACCTGTAATGTAGCCGAGGATCTGGAGCGGAACTGAATTCTGACGTCACATTTTAACTTCATTCCAGAGTAAATCGTGCTTCCCTGAGGTATTCCAGTTAGTGCTTGTGTTTCATATTCATAAAGGTATTCCTTATTTCTCTCGTAGGCTAAAATCATAAAGCATTTACAAATAATATATCTGTGAAAAAATTTAATTATTCCAAATACTCTCCGAATAAGAATTAGTAATCATTTATTATGATGAATTATGAAAATTAACGGGGAAATCACTTTACTGTTTACAGAGAAATTTTGACCCATGTTTTATCCCCCCCCCCCCCCCCCCAGCGAATATTCAAGAAAGCATATTATCTCGTATGTACGACTTAGAAAAAAAATATTTTCACTTGGCAGCAATACGCTTCCGTAACAAAGACTATTTATCCCTCTTATTAAAGTCAGATGTGTTAGGCGAATATAAAGCAGGGCAAAATCATTTGCAAGCGTGATACGGCGAATACATCACTGGGCGAAAATAACCCTGTTTAGATTATCGATTATCATTTAACGTTTCAAATAAATTAATCTAACAAGTCTAATTTAAAATTTGTTTTGAGTGATCGTTAAATGCAAGTTATTTTACGAAAGAAAAATAATATGTTATATTAAATACATTTTTCATATACATGTAAATAAAATGTTTTATCAAGTGATAGGTTTTTTAGTGTATTCAATCGAATTAGGAACATATAATTTTCGGGTTCACACTATAGCACCGCCTTTTTAAGTGCTTCTGTGAGAATGCAAAAAAGAAAAGAGCCAAAGCAGATATTTGTACTGAAGAGCATTTCAGATGTTGGGTATGTCACAGTTTCCTCGTACACTTTTGCAGACAGATTCACGACAAAAGCTTAACTTGAACATTAGATACTTTTTCGTTGATTTGAACAGTGAGGACTTTCTTCAACCTTTTTTTCGAACACCATTCTATTTTGTCTAAATAAATGCACTGGTAAATTTGTCCATTTTTTTCACCCTCGAGATAAATCAATGCACTACTGCAAGAACCTACGTGTAAATTTAGGCTTACAGAATTCAACTTTATAATTTGATATTACCGTAACGTTATATTCAAGTAAAAATACTTGCCTTGACTAGTAGGACTTCGCGCTGCTGAAAAAAAAGAAGATATGTTTGAAAAACACAAATTAATGTCCCATTTGAGATATGGATAATTTGATCTTGCCATTGAGTCATACAATGTATAATTTTCTCCATTTGTAATATTTCGTAAAAAAAAAAATCCATTAAACAGTTTTTGACGGGATAAAGATTTTACTTTGGAACCGATTCCTATGACCTTGTCCAAATGAGGCAGGGTCAGGACATTCCCTCTAATCATATGATATCAAATACTACTGTAAATCAATTACATTTTGCGAGACTTAAGGTATGTCACTCGTGAAATTTGTTATATCAAGGATTTTTTGAGAAGTATATTTTGGATAAGTACTCATATAGTATGACTCAAAATCGCAGAGAAAATGGGGGGTCAGTGTGCATCTAACTGAGCTACGGTACAATTAAGTTGACCTTTTTGCACTTAAATTGTAACTCTTTGGTTAATCACTTTAACCGTTATCATATTTTATCACATGTAACCATGGCAATAAACATAATCTTATTTTACGTAAAATAGTTTGAATAATATTTATCATTGAACAAATCATGCAAATTAATGCGCGTAAATTATCGCGTGACCTTTTTGCACTAAAAAAGTCTCATATTTGGGGTATTAAAAATCTAAATAGGCAATAGAATATTTTCTTGTATCAAACTTTTTACGACTTAAGTGCTGATTGGTCAAAAGTATCGAGTAGTTTAAAATAATGAAAGAAAAAGTTGGGGTCAGTGATGTAAATTTTGAAATATTGGTCAAAATATGCAATTTTCAGGCAAAAAACTGTGTAAATTTTATCTCGACTTCCTTAATATATCTTCGTTTCTTGACAATGTTTGTTGAGCGAAGGTGTAAATTTTGTTATAAAAATATAAATTGAGACCTATATTTAATATTCCAGGCATATCATAACGGAAAATATTCTCTGAGTGAAAGTATGTGAGGCTAAAGTTCCAAGATATTAAATTTAATAAATGTGGAGATTTGCAGAATTTTCAGCTAAATATCCTTCCGCCACAAGAAATAGTCCCTTATAAATCTTGCTTCTTTGTGAATTTTTGAGCAGTTTTTTAATTGATTGTTGAACATTTTACATTGTTTAATTTAAATATGTTATAAAGATTGAATTGTAATAAATAGTTTTTAAGTAAGAGGTTCTGACTGAAATTTTCTAAAAGGCTGACGAGTGACATACCTTAAATCTCTATTTCTTTGCGCGATAAATATTTTGGCGAGTTCTCCATACAAGTCCCGTAATATTTCACGAGCTTTATCTTTTCGAGTCGAGACAATATAGCGAAAATTCAAAAACAGTATTCTTGCAAACTATTTCAGTATGATATACACATTATGTACATCTATATTTGTGGCAAGTATGAAGTATACAGTCTCCATGTTATTTAATTCATTGTTCTGGACATCCTATAGAGGAGGAGACAGGCATAAATCAATACCTCATTCCCCGATGTAGGGGCATAAAATGCTTCAAAATCTTAAATTTTAAAGTGTAGTCTTTCAGGGGAATTCGCGCTGGGTTTACGTTAACCTGAATCACTTACTAAAGATTTTGGTCAGGAAAACTAAAGATTAAATAACTAGTTTTTGGCCAGGGAAACTAAAACTAAAAAGGATTTTTTTGTTATGTTTTTTGGTTTTTTTTTTTTTTTTGGTCATAGAGTTGTCTTTTAAAACCAATTCACAGTAGGTAAACAGTAACCTGGAGCACTTAATCCATATTTATAATTCACGCTTTGGTAATTATGTCTTTTTGGTGGGGTGGGAGTGGGATTAAGTTTATCAGCAGTGTTTTATTTAAACAGATTGTGGCTGACAATACAGGCTTGTTGGAACCTAAAAAAAGGAAAATACAAAGATGCTTTACTACTACGGTTGTCTCAAAAATTTGTTTTAACAATTTCCCCCCGAAATGGAATTTCTTCTCGGTTGCCCCCCCCCCCCCCCTGAAAAATTGCTTCCTTCGAGCCTGCATTGCGAGTTAACCTCCATTTACCCAAGTTAACCCTTATTAACTAAGAAGTGTGGACAAGATTTCATGTTTTTTTTTGTTTTGTTTTGTTTTTGTTTGTTTGTTTTTGTTTTTGTCTTAAGGTTAAGATCTAGTAAAGAGATCCTTTTGGTGCCAGATCCATTATCAAAATCAATTCAAGCTTACCTTTTCCAGTACCTTACAGGTAACGTTAATTGTAGAAAATGAAGATTTTCACGGCATTCAATTTGAAATCATGTGAAAAGTAATCTGGATACTACATGACAATACCCATTTAGGACCTATCAAAATTATTTTTAAATTCAATATAACGAGTTGTCGAATTTGTTAAAACGAATTTAATTCGCTAAATCTATGGCATTTTCTTGAATTCGTTTTACCAAATTAAACCTGTTTAAGATGGGCGTATTTAACGTGTGATCTGCTGGAATCATCTGTACGAAACATTTATTCACATGTAATTTAAATGTCCACGAATTGGTCGGCTGACCACAGCTGAACAAACTTTCCAAAGTTACGCACATAGGAGAATGTTATATTTAGTTTGAAATATCTTGTGAAATTGTTATATTTAAGTTCGGTTATCTTAATAGTTACTATATCATATTAATGCTTCACATAAATAATAAATACCTGTAAGATAATCAGGGTATAATTAAATACAAGTACATTTGTATAAAGTATCAGTAGGTTGAAACGATACTTTCGCTATTGGTCCAACAGAACCAGAATTTATAAATTTTAAAAATAAAAAAGTTCATAAAATTAAATTGATAAAAGAATTGATTTTTTGCATTAAAAAAATATCACGCTCCATGTAAGGATCGAACCAAAACATTTTCGACTCCATTGCATTGGACTATACTGTCTGTTCCTTTGAATTAAAATACACACAAATAATGTTTCAAAATCATGGAGAGATGACCCAGAGATTAGAAACTTTTGAGAAAAACATGCTTAAAAATTTTGTACAAAATGACTCATAATCAAAACAAAGTATCAGGAAAATATTTCCTTTTCTATTTCACAGGAAACCGATACATCAAATTCATGTGAGAGATCAATGAAATTTTCACTTTTCAAGTCATTCGGCAAACCTCGGATGATTCCGTCGCCTTCAGATGAGGTACGAATCGACCGAAGTGTGCCGAGTGTTTTCAAGTGCGCCCAGATTCCTGCCGAATGCCAATCTAAAGTGCCCTAGTTCTTTGATACAACAAATTAAATTCAACAAATTTATAATAACATATTAAATTCGTTATATAGACCATTTTAAGACTATTTAAACCTCCTGGGGAAAAAAGTCTTGCATAAAAATATAGACAATTGCATTAAACATTTAGCTAGGTCATGTGATTTTTTTTCTTTACTAAATAATAGTAATAGTTTATGACCACCCAGTCTCCTTAAGCATCATTAAAAGAATTCATTTATCAAAACTGAGAAACTTCATTTACTAGATCTTAAGGTCTTGTAAGGATGAAGGTTTGATCATTTAATGTATCTCTTTTGCAGTTATATCTATATATAGTTATATCTATATTTTAAAGAACCAAGAAATTGGTTTGCACGAAAGAAAACGAACATTTTTTTCTTTGAACGTTTAAAAAATGAGTGCATACATGGTTTGTTCACAATCATTTTGAATATAATTTCCAGTTTATTCTATACTGCTTCCTGTAAGAATAAATTGAAAAGACTCAATTTGACCATGTGAAATTTTCATAAATCATGTTTCATGTAATTAATTTGAGGGAAAAATAAAAAACATTATGATAATGTTACCTGACGCGGCAACCGCCGCCGCTACCGCCAGCAGAAGATACATCCCTCTAGTGTGACTGGATGGGACTGGGCCTCGGGTTTTTATACAGAGTACCCTGTCCTTTATGTCCAAAGCCCTCTCTCAAAACCGATATGAATATTTATTTTGGCATTTTGTTATGGAAATCGTTCGTGTGAAACTGGTAGCTACAACAGAGAGGTGGTAGGAGAATCTGTCACAACATTCAGTCCGGCTACCTTTGGTGCAAAACCACATTATGGGAAAAATTTATTTGTGTGTTGCACTTTGAGTATTATGTTAAGTTTTGACAATTCTTTGGACAAATTTTGACAATTTACTTTGTGATGTTACTATCTAATTCTTAATGCGTTTTCATGTATGTCAAATGAACGCTGGAAAGGTATTTTGTCCCACATTTCATCGGTATATTTTGGTTTTTTTTTGTTTTTGTTTTTATGTCTTTCAGAAGCACAAGATTTCAGAGACAAAAACCGAGTTTATTTGATTTGTAAAGCTTGAAGTATCTATTTCTGTGGTTGTAAAATTACTTTAAAAATTATCTTAAAATTCAGATTGACCACGATCAAATAGTGATTTATTAAAAATATGATTCTAATGCAGTGAGAGTTTTCAAACAATTCCTTTTGAAAATGTCCTCGTTTTCGAGATCGTAAAGGTGTAAATTTTCGAAAATCGTACATTTTAGCCTATTTCTTGCTTATAAGGGCTCGCATTAAAATGAAACCTTCGAGGTATATTTTTATTAATAAAAATGCATCATTTAAAGTGAACTTCTTCTTTGACTTCGCAGACACTTTAAAGATCATGTTTACACGGTTCTAGAATCCTAATTTTCTTCTTCTCCCAAGAATGTTTCAAGGAGACAAATACAAGTATTTCCACAAGAAAAATCGAACACATCTTTATTCTAAGTTACGATATTTTAAGGCAAATCTGCATAGCTATCATAGATTCGATTCTTGACTCAATCGATATACTGGTATTCAACTTGCATATTTCTATTTCATCGCCGTATTGTAACATGCGCTCTCTTTACAAACCACCAGACGATATGCACCACAATGAAGAACATTTTCAAATTGGATATAAATACAAAAATTGTCATCAGTGTTTAATTATGTTTGCTCTCTAAACGATTTACAATATTTCAAAATGATTTTGCATCACAAGATGTTCCACAGACCTTCTCTAGCGAAGATATGCAAGTACATAAATACGAAAAAGTGAAAAGGTTGGTAGCAAGCTTTTAGGGACACACGGAAATATCGCTTTTAATTTGTCAATTTTGTACTACGGATAAGACAATTTTTATTATGTCGTGCATTCCACTTTGTTTAAGGTACCTTCGAGGATTATCACTCATATTTCAAGAGACGCCACCACTTCTCGTTGGAGGGCTGTAAATTTAGACCTATACTCGGCACTTACTGCCTTTAAAGGGATCCTTTTTGTGCCAGCACCTACTGCCCCACGGGACCTCGGTTTATACAGTCTCATCAGAAGGACCGGTCTCCCGAGTCACACAGTGGATTCGAATCGCGACGTAAGGATCAGCTCCTTACTCCGCGACTCTAGAGCAAGAACGCTCTAACCACTGTGTCACGCGGACATTTCACGTATTTGGCTACTGAAAAGCCCCCCCCCCCCCCCATTTCTATACCCTTTAACACTGACATGTATTGTCTTTACAAAGAAAGACAGGTTAACAATGTGAACAGTAGATTTATTATAATTGTACATGATGTCTACATATAATATCAGTAAAACATATTAATTATAATAACAAATCCAATAGGTTGACCCATCAGAGGTCAAAGGTCATACAATATGACAAAACACCATTCAATACAACTGGAAATATGTATAAACTCGTATATATAGATTTGAAAGAAATGGGTAAATCACATGAAATGTTAAAAACAATTAACATTTAACTCGCAAAACATGAGAAATGACAAACTTGAACGACAGAAGGACGCCCTCGTTGTTGTAATGGTGAAGACTGAATAATGTGCAATTATTCACGTTCAATTTAGCAAACATTATCACAAGCGTGGGGGTAAATATAATGTAAATAAGGATATACAATAAAAATGGCCACATGTAAATGACAGGACATTATATGATAGTGCACTCCTAGATCTTGTCGTACATTTGCAAATATGACTGTCCGACTTACTGTCCCTTGGGTCTGCGAAGTCTTAAATTGCATAATTATTTCACAAAAAAAATTCAACCATCAGATTTTGTAGAAAGACAATATACAGAAAATTTAAAAAAAAAAAAAAAGGTGCACAACCGAAGTACATCATAAAGCAGATTGTAGTGTGCCCTGCAAAACATAATCATAAGATTAAAATCCTCAACTGCATAAAAATGTTGAACAAGGCAGTTTTAGAAGAAAATGGAGTGTACATTTGTAATATAAACGCAAAATGTAATAAAATGTTATTGTTATATTTTGTAGCATTATACATGTATACTGCTTTAATACAAAATGTAGCATGTATTTAAAACGATTTTTGACACGGTTGCGATTAAACCAATCATCACTCTTTATTCTTGAAATTCCAAAAAGATCAGAAAACCGATAGTTACACTGTATTATTACATTTGCAATATGTTAGATAAGTTGTTTTTCAAAACGTGTTTTTTAAATGTAATCAAGGTAATGACGAGATTCAGATTCCACGCGGGATTATCATGGCATGTCAAACATTGATATTCGATTTTTTCCATCTGCAATTAATTATTTTCTGTTTGTATTGTATATCTATCCATTTCAGGCCCGTAGGAAGCAATTTCAGTTTGGGGGGGGGGGGGGGGGCACAGCCATACATTTTTCAGTTGACAGTTGAGGGGGTACTAATAAAAATTTCCTGACAAGCGAAAAAAAAAAAAGTCATCAACTACCAAAAATTCCTCGACAAGGAAAAAAAAAAAAAAAGGTCATCAGACGTTTTTATTGAGGGGGCACAAGCATATAGTATCTATGTTTACTATAGTAATCTATATATCGGCAAAATTATTGGGGGGGGGGGGAGGGCACGCCCCCCCCCCCCGGTTCCTACGGCCATGCATTTGTGTTTTATAATCATTCATTTGTATTGTATAATTTTCATTTGTATTGTTTAATTTTTATTTGTATTTTATATTTTCCATTTGTATTTTACAGGTTTCTATTTGTATTGTATATTTTCCCTTTACATTGTAAAAATTTCATTTTTACTCTATATTTTCCATTTCTAGTTGAGCAAATTAAATTTTTAAATTGCATTTTAAATCTAACTTTAAAAAAAACTCTGCAAAATTGTATTAAATAATAAAAGTACGTATTTTTTCACACATGTAGGATTGTTCAAGACACTTTTAAATGAAATGGTCTAAAAGTTAAAAAAAAAAACATTAAGCAAGATGAAGAATGTTTCTTTTAAAAATCTGTAATTTTAGAATATTTAATGTAGTATTTGGGAACATGCCATGCAGAAACCATTGATAAAAAAATGACAAAGAACTAGAGTGTTCAAGGAACATATTTGTCACCTGCCAGTACTAAATATAGTAACATAAGAAATTATACATGTAAACAGTGTTTTAATTAGGTCAAGAGGATCACAATTAGAAATTTATTATAAAAAGCACAGTCTTATAGCCAAGAGTCTTTTTGACAGAATTTCACAGAAATTTCACAATTAGTAACCATGGTTACACTGTCTATATCAAAAATCGATACTCAGAATAATGTCTTTACTGTAGTCTCCTGGTGTAAGTCTTATTGACATCAGACAAAAACTAAAGGAGGAATAGTTTTGAAAGAATTCCATTGTGCATGTATTTTGTATTTGGAACACTGCCTTAATCAAAAACTGTTGTACAGATCAATAATCATAGTCTAGTCTAAATGTGTAACAAGTTTTATTGAAATTAGACCAACAGTGTAGGAAGAGTAGCATTTTTAAAAAGAATTTCACAGAATCTTATTACTTTTTTTTAAATTGGCATGGCAACATTATTTGTCAAAATCAACAAGAGGCCCATGGGCCACAATGCTCACCTGAGTAACTCTGGCCCTTCCTGTTCTTCATCATTAGATTTTTTTTCCTTATATATTCCTATGTAAAACCTTTAATTATCAATTGTAGCCCTACCCTACCCCCAGGGGTCATGATTTAAATAAATTTGAATCTACATTACTCTGAGGATGCTTCCATTTAAATATGACGAATCATGGCTTTGCTGTTTTTGAGAAGATTTTTTTTAAAGATTTTTCCTATATATACTTATACAAAACTTTGATTCACCATTGTGGCTACAATCTACCCCTGGGGGTCATGATTTGAAGCAACTTGAATCTAAACTATGTCAGGAGGCTTTCACATAAGTTTCATCTTTTCTGGTTCAGTGCTTCTTGAGAAGATTTTTTAATGACCCCACCCAATTTTATCTTTTTTTTAAAATTATCTCCCCTTGGAAGAGGGTGTGGCCCTTTATTTGAACAGACTTGAATCCTCTTCAACCATGGATACTCAGTGCCAAGTTTGGTTGAAATTTGCAAAGTTGTTCTGTAGAAGAAGATGAAATTGTAAAAAGTTTATGACTATGACAACAACAACAAAACCGGTAGACAACAGACAAATTTTGATCAGAAAAAGCTCATCTGAGCCACAGGTGAACTAAAAATCAATCTCCAGAATTATGTATCTAAGTATAGCTTAGTTGTGCATTATTTCTAACTGAATAACTGAAAGGAGGAGTACTTTGTAAAAGTTGTTCACAGACAGATGGACAGATGAAGGGCACCTTACTATCTCATGAGCTCTTCTGGTTTTTGACCAGGTGAGCTAAAAATTTGCTGGGGCAAAAAAAAAAGGGGGGACAAAGCCCTGTTAGCATCAATATAAACTTTATATAGACTTTATAAAGTACCTGCTTTAGTAGAGATCAATTCAAAATTTACAGTGTAATTAAACCAATAACCTTGTAGGTGGTGGTAATAGACAACAAGCCTGTATATCACAGATATATAACATAAAATGAGTTAAAAGGTTCAACAAAGTGTAAGGAGCTACACTAATACTAACAAATTGGATTGAAATAAACAAATGATTTAATGGAAGCACAGTTAAACTGGTACTATAAGCACCAAAAGGATATAGTGTATCAAAGTATGATCTATAGGATGCCACATTTAACATGGATCTAAACTTTACACAGACATGTACATACTTAACCATAATCACACTCAACAAGTGCCTAAATTATTATATTTTTTTTTTTGGGGGGGGGGGGTTATTAGATTCTGCAAACATTAAAATTGAAAGAAAGGAAGAGGTAGAATTTCTACATTTTGAGAGTAAATTATTTGGCTTGTAATTAAAACATCAGTTTATTGTAAAAATAAGTTATTAGCACATGATACATGCTTTATTCAAAGCACAAAATTATATATCAAAAGTACACATTCTTTCTTGCCAGGTGACTGAGATAAAGAACCCAAACATGTGAATTGTATATTTCAAACTTAAATATACCTGGTATATGTACATTGAGGATTGAAAATTGTGTTTTTGTTTACTATTTTTTGTTCAGAAAAATATCAATACCTAAAAATTGTTTAGAATCAAACAACAGCATGCTGAAATACTGATGCAAATAATAAACAATATCATTGGTTTTGGTTACAAAGAAAAATACCTTTTTAAAATAAGGTTACTGTGCCACTATTTACCACCCTGATAGCCACAGCAAATAAACTTTCAGGTTTAAAAGAATAATGATGACATTAAATGGAAAAATTTTTACCAAAGTTCATAATTTTTATGGTGTTATTTTACTTTAAGATACCAAAACATCACCTGCATATAATTTTTTTTAAAATGTTAATTCCTTTAAAAATATTTAATGAATAAATTTACACATATACATCTCTTTCTTTGCTTGGGTAACAGGTACACCGTATTGGTTAAAACAAAGTATATCACAACCAGTTAAACTCTTCTGTCAAAGACAATAAAGTACAATGGAGTTATCTGCATGAAATGAAAGGAAAATATCAACTGTATCATGGATTGTTATGGTCTGTTGATTGTTAAAACATGAACATGATGAAAGTAGGATGATTCAATTACAAAAATACAAAAAAGTTAAAGCTGTACAAGACTTTATAATATTTGTGATTATAAAGCTCTCACTCTGTTTCTGTGCAGGTGCTACCATAAAGAAATATTTCAAAAAGGAAAAATATTAACAGCTGATAGACAAGAGCTCAACCATTTGGTAAAAAAAAAATCTTCCCTAGAAACTGTTTCTCATGTGCCATGAACAATGCATGACAAACTGGAATGATAATTTATTTATATTGAAAATATCAATGGGAATGAAAGGGAGTACAAAGCTCTCAACTTTGTGGCAGATTCAGAGAAAAACCAGAGTCCCCATCACAGACCTAGTCATCATAGCTGTGATTGGTTTACACAGAGATGGTCTGCCATTTTGGTCAGCCTCTCTCTGAATCTGTCACCACGACAACCACAACTGCATCTGATGGGAGACTGAACACATACGAGGCTACATTATCACAAGTACACAAGTTTGCATTGTCTGTCTGTCTTCCTGTGCTGATTGGTGACTGACGGACCGTCATGTGTGAGCATATTTTTTGTAGGCAGAGTACTTCTTGGCATCCTGCACATTCTTAATTGCCATTGATGTTTTGATTGCTACATCCACACTCTGTTCAAACCTGAAGGTGCACTCACTTCCCTGCTGTAAAAATCAGATGTTGTAAACAGAGATATAAAGGCAATATCAGTTTCAGAATGTACAATAAAACATATTTAAACATACATGTACCTAAAAAATGAGGTGCCATTTTGGTATTTATTGCCATTAAGTGATATCACCTATTCAATTCAGTGATATCAAATAATCACATATTCAAACAAGCAATATCACTTATTCAATTTAAATTGGTGATATCATATTTGTATTTGAATATGTATATCACCTATTTGAATAAGTGATATCACCTATTTGAATAGGTATATCATTTATTCCAATAGATGACATCAACTATTCACATTGAATAGATGATATCTTCTATTTGAATAGGTAATACATGTACATGTATCACTTATTTGAATTGGTGATATACCCTATTCATTTTGAACTGTTGATATCACTTATTAGAACAAGTGATATCACCTATTTGCATTTCCTACTACATTAAAAAATGATGGTCCTTTCATTGAGAAAATCTAGCTTAAAAGCAAGTAAAGGATGAAATTTTAAAAGCCTTTCAAAGAAAATTTTATTTTCTTAGTACTGCTTCAAAAATGATGACATGTTTAATAACTATTAAACAAACTTTTTTGAAAAAGATTATAAAAGACTCTCTGGACTTATTGAACTTAATCTGAGCCATATTCTCTACTATTTCTGCATTTATTTCATAAATAAACTGAAGATACACTGTTAAAGGTCTCATTTTCAACAGAAAAAAGGGGTGGTGGTGTATTTTTATGTTGTATGTACAAATAAAATTGTTCATGAAACATGATTTTACACATGACAAACTAGATTTAGATTTCTCCTTAGCAAATTTGGCTGCCCTTTACTCACTTTATATTTTGAGACAATTTAAAAAACCATAAGATATCGCTCCCTGTGAAGTTATATATATTCAACTTGCAGTCAGTTTTTGATATATTTATTGATACTTTATCTCTATTATTATTTATGTACAAAGAAACTGAAATGTTTAGAGTATACCGTATGTGTACTTAAAAAAGCAGGTTTCATATTTTAGCAGCTTTGGTGCAGACAACAATGTGCTAATTCATGAATACTGCTTAGAAATCATTTATATATACAATACATGGCACTGATATGTGTTGCGCTAATTCATGATTACACCATCAACTCAGTACCCAGTGATTGCACTAAATTTTGAGTACGCCAATTTATGTACATGTACATTGCATGTATATTCTTGGGAGCAGTTGCTATTTCAAACATAGTTTGAATATGTGATATCACCTATCTGAATAAGTGATATCACCTATTCAAGATGAATATCACCCCATTCAAATTGGTTGTATCACATATTTGATTTGAATAGGTGATATCGCCTATATGAATGAGTAATATCATCTATTTGAATAGACAATATCACTTTTTAAATAGGTGATATCATTTAATGGCAGTAAATACCAACCCCACCCTCACACTAAACAAGAGGCCCATGGGACACAAGGCTCACCTGAGTTACTATGGCCCATCTGTTCTTCATCAGCAGATTCTTTTTCCTACATATTCTTATGTAAAATTTTGATCACATATTATGGCCCCATCCTACTCAGAGGGTCATGATTTTAACAAACTTCAATCTACACTACCTGCAGATGCTTCCATATAAATGTGACTAAACATGGATTTGCTGTTCTTCAGAAGAAGAATTTTAAAGATTTTTCATATGTATTCCTAAGTAAAACGTTGATTGCCCACTGTGGCCCCACTCTATTCCTGGGGTTCAAGATCTGAACCTACACTGGATGCTTCCATGTAAATATTAATCAAGGCTTTGCTGTTCCTAGAAAAACAAGATGTGTTTGTGAAACACTGATGCCCCCATATGGCAGCTCAAAGGTCAAGGTCTAAAAGGGCAAGATTGTTGGTACCCAAGGAAAGGTCTTGTCACAAGGAATATACAAGTGAAAAATGAAAACCCTACTTTTAACCATTCAAAAGTTATGGCCAAGATTAGAGTTTTTCAAACGTAGGTCAAACTCAGAGGTCAAGGTCAAATGGTCATTATTTGTTGGTACTCTAGAGAAGGTCTTATCACAATGAATACACATGTGAAATATGAAAACCCTAGTTCCAACTGTTCACAAGTTATGACCTAGATTAAAGTTTTTGTAAAGTAGATCAAACTCTAAGGTCAAGGTCAAAAATTCAAAAATATTTGTACCCAAGGAAAGGTCTAGTCACAAGCAGTATACATTATAAGAATGAAAGCCCTAGTATCAACCATTCAAATGTTATGACTAATGGTAAAGTGTGGTAAAATTTTGCAAAAGTGGGTCAAACTCCAAGGTCAAGAGGTCAAATATGTTGGTACCCAAAGAAAGGTCTTGTCACAAGGAATACACATGAAATATGAAAGCTGTAGCTCCAATCAATCAAAAGTTATGGCCACAGTTAAAGTGTTTGCAGAGAAACAGACAGACAGACAGGGCAAAAACTATATGTCCCCGAATCTTCGATTTCGGGGCATAATAATTTGAAAGATTTCTATATATATTCATATAGGTCATGAAATGTATAAACTTAAATTTGCAGTATATAATGAAGCTTTCGCATAAGTTTCATCTTTTTCTGGCCAGGTAGTTCTTGAGAAAAAGATTTTTGAAAGGTGCCATCAAATTTTCACAAATTCTTAATTATCTCCCCTTGAATGAGGGTGTGTCACTTCCTGTAAACAGACATAACTCCCCTTCACCCCAGGATGCTTTAAAGCAAGTAGCTGAAAATGGCCTTGGGGCTCTGGAGAAGAAATTGAAAATGTGAAAAGTTTACAGACAGATGGACAGACAGACAGATGGACTCCAGACACTTTTTGATCAGAAAAGCTCGCTTGAGCCTTCAGCTAAGGTGAGATAAATACATGTATTTGTTTTTAAAAACAGAGTGATTTTGGCTTTCCTGTAGAATCACATTATCATGTTTTACAGAAATTTTAATGATACTGCATATTTGAATGAAAATATCGATTTGTTGTACATATACCATAGACATTGTCTAATCACCTACACCATCATCAGATTGCTGGTCATCACTGTATGTACAATCTCTACACCCTTTCCAACTCAGAAGGCACGACTTAGCTTGAGGAGATTCTGAGGATACCACAGTAAAATCAAAGACTTTAGTGGCTGATGCAGGTGAGGGGGGAATATGACCGGGAACAGGGGAGGGATGAACCTCTAAACTATCTGTAAGGGAACAAAAAATAATAATCTGATAAAAAAAAATTATACTGAAGACTTGAAAGAAGCTACATGTAACAGTTCAGACTGTAGCAGGTAATCTAGCTACTACTGTTTGTAGATCTGTCGAATGCACCATATGAATTAAAGCTTTTTTTCCCTACATAACAAAACTGGAATACAGTATTCCAGTTTAAATTAATTTGAATTTGCTCTTCTATCTTGAATTCAGCTCAGATCACTTTAGTAATATAACAAATTTCTTTCAAATGTAATTATTTGGTTATTCAAAATCAATATATATGTATAATCCAGTCTGAATTAATTTGAATTTTGTTCAAGAGTTCCATTAGGGGAGCTAACTCACCAGAAAACACAGGGATAGGGGATGGGGAGAAGGCAGTCTCCATTTCACTGCTGCTGTCATCGGGGTTAGGTCGATGGAGAGCGCTGTTACAGGCCATTCGAGCGTGCCCATTGCGCGAGTCCACATGGTGATTGGAATGGACAGAGTCGTTGTTGTTTTGACTACGATGAGTATGACTTGGTTTCTTCTTCCTTAAAAACTGTACAAAGCCATGCTTCCATGGTGAACATTTGATAAACTTTTTGCTCTCTGTGTTGTGTTTACCATTTTTGTCAGAACAGTTCTGCAAAACAAAAAGATAGAATATCAGCAGATATCTTTCTTCCTTTTTTTTTTTTTTTTACTTATTTTTAAAATAAAGAGAGAAAACTGGAGATGACAAGATTAATCATTATCCATGAGAAGAAAACCACACTGATAAGAATTTGTTTCATTCAAAATATTTTGATATTCAAGACTTTTTTTATCTATTTTCCAAGGAACTGCACTCTTGGTTTATACGCTTCATATCTTTATAAAAGATTTCTTTCATTTTCTTGCCTGTATTTTTTCAGATTATGTTGATGTGCAATACCAATTTAAAACTTGATATTAGTAGCTTGACTTGTTCTCAGTATCATTAGATATCCATGACTTAAATTTTTAGTTTTCAAAAGAACTATGCCAGTAAATAATGAAATTATCTGAAGATATTTTAAAGTTATATGTGATTAGATTTATAAACTAATGTAAAATAGTTTGCTTTAGGTGATAAATGTATCATTCAAAACTGCATGGCTTCAAAATTTAAAATGGACAACCAGGCCTACAATGAATTCAGATTTACACAAATGTACATTAAATTATGAAATCAACTCTTTGCATTTTTGCCATACCAATGTAGCTTTACTTCAAGTATGATTTAACATTAAATTTCAAAACACTTTCAAAAATATTAACTTTTATCCTTGTACATGCATTCAAATTTTTAGAGAAAGAGATAGAGAGAAAGAGAGAGACAGATTGTGATTTGATATTTTTTTTGAAAAATAAGCAAATTTCAAAATAGGTAAAAGCAGCATATGTTTCTGCAGTCATATTCATATATTACTTACTAGTCATGATGTCAGTAAAAATATTGTATGTCAGAAAATTTTAAAACCATATCTAAATGTATACCAATATGCCTTTTTATAAAAATTATACCATTCAAAGAATATTTAAAAGTTATACCATTTAAAGAATATTTGAAATTTATACCATTTAAAGAATATAGTGTTAGGAAAAATCCATATCTAAACAATACCAAAAAAATAATAATAAGGCAATAAGTAAATTCATACAATAGTTTTTAGAAGGAAGGCTGGAAAATACTAAAGCTAAGCAATTATCTTGTTAAACTAGTTAGTGGGAAAATTAGAGAAAAATAAATAACAATCTAGTATATAAAATAAATTTTGACGAGTATTAACATAATCCCTAATCAATGAAATTTGAAAGGAAGCCATAGATCTTTTTGAAGACGACATTTATATGTGGGTGTCTGTCAGTAAATGAAATCTAACTGTCTTATAGCATTTCTTTGTTATGTTGATACTTTTGGTAAAATGATTTAAGGAGACTGGGTGGTCAACAAATTACCCAAAAGATCCACCTAAAAATATAAAATATGATTTTTCTAACCATTTACTATTATGTAGTAAGAAAAAAACCACATGTTCAAGCTATAAAATTTAATACAATTTTCTATATTTTATTTTTTTACAGAGCTCTTCTTTTCAGGAGATTTAAATATATAAAAAAATGGTCATGAACATCAAGGCCTATGGAATAGTTTCTGGTTACATGATCTAAAAAAATGATTATTACCATGTGTATCTGTAACAATTTACATTTATTGACTGTGTTTGATGGCAACATACTTTTTGTCAGACCCTGAAGAACCAAACTGTTTACGTGAGGCCGTTAGGCCGAAAGCAAACATTTTGGTTCAAGGGGTCAACAAAACGCATTTTGCCCAAGAACACAGTCAATGAATATTTTGTTATACCTTTTATTTATTTATATTTTTACTGGCTTCCATGATGAAAAATCTCTTTACTTGCACTGCGGAAAAACTCGGTCAATTCACCTAAGATTTAGCTGATCCCACCCAAAGTGTAACGTAAGCGGTCCAATATCTCATCGATAGGTCCAATATCTCACTCTGCAGTCAAACATTGTAAATGTTAAGACTTTTTTAGTATAGATTTATATAGGAACCAATTTTTAAAGGTATAACAAAAATGCTAATTTAGACTTTAAATTAGTTAGCTCTCCCATTCCCAACTAGTCATGACCATGTGACTTTGACAAGATACTGAATCAAGGTCATACCTCACCCACCCCACCCAACCCCCATTTAATGAGCAACAACATATATTTATATAATAAAATATATGTAATTTCCATGCAATAGTTGCAGAATCATACTTCAGGCATAAATTTAGCATATCATTCCATGTGACCTTGAAAATACAAACTCCTCAAGGTTATGGCACATATCAAGGTCAAAAATAAGCTCAAGGCACATGCAAACTTGTAGCAGAAGAAATGCCTCCTTCCATTCCTGAGCTATGTGTATTGTAGGCTTTTGTTAGATATACTAAAAGCTTTATGGATTATAAAATCTTATTGTGTAGCACAAGAAGAAAGAGGACTTTTTCTGTTGCATCTATATAAAATTTTGATCAGTACCTATTTTGCAGTGTTGGCTATTTTTTGTTTGCATTGAAGAAAAACAGGCTAAAAATGCCAAACAAAAACTAGAAATAAATAGAAAAGCATTATTATTTTTGAAACTCATTAAAATGCTAACCATTTACATGTAAATAATGACTACTGAAAATAGCCTATGCATGATATATTTAGCATATATCATGATAACATACATTTGATATAGAGGAGAGAACATCCAGATATATGTTACAATAAAGGCATGACACTAAAGAGAGAGGATTTACCTTATGGAACTGTTATTTATAGGCCATTTGCTGCTTGATTGGATTCGTGAAAGAAAAAGAAGTTGCTGGTGTAATTTATTTGTGGATATTAGTTGAAAGAAAAAAAAAAGCCTTAAAGAGATTAGTGGCAAAGATAAAATGTAATGTAGGACATACGGTACAGTTTTATTAACTTGACCAAGAAATAAAAAAAAATTAAAAACATTAAAATTTGGTGGTTGTTATCAAAAACTGTGTAATTTCATTCAAACGAGTAAAAAATAAATGAAAGGAGTAAGCTACAAAAAGTAAGCATTAAAGAATATTTCAAGACACAAAGCATTTCTCATTTTCCACAAATGCTAGTTAGCTGACTCAGACAATAAAGCTTTCAGAATAGGAACAACTACCATTGAATAATGAAATGATGCTACATTTTCTACCCACACATAAAATGTGTGTGGACCTCTAGACAAATCCAAAGATGTGGTGGATTCAGAGGGATACGATCAGGGTCCATTATTTTTATTCTTACACCAAAATTAAGAACAGCTTTTTTTTGCCAGAATATCTCTTAATGTGAACTATGTTTCAAAAATCACAATTGAATTCATGCCCTTTTCCTCTAAATGGAACCCAAACTAACCTTGGATCCACCACTGTAAATCTATATCATGATACAAATGCACAGCTTGACTTCCAGGACCAGATCTCTACATCCAATAAAGGGACATAACTTAGGAAGCACTGACCTGGGTATTCTTGCCCTTGATGTCATTGTCAGTATTGTCATTATTGGTCAAGCAGCGATTCTTCTGGTTTGACTGGGAAATCTTGGATCCTTTGACTAATAATTCTGTCTCCTGATCTTCTAAAATAAAGCACATTTTGCAGTCTGTATCTTGCTTTTCCTTTCAATAATAAGTACAGTCAAACCTCATTATTTCAAACTTGACGGGACTGAGAAACAAGAGGCCCATGGGCCACAACACTCACCTGAGTCAATATGGCCCTGTTGTTCTTCATCAGCTGATTTTTTTCTATTACATATTCCTATGTAAAACTTTTATCCCTGTTGTGACCCCAACCTCCCCCTAGGTGTCATGATTTTTATAGATGTAGTCCCAATGTACCCCTCAAGGCCATGATTTAATCAACCTTGAATGTTCATTACCTACAAAATACTTCCATATCAATGTGACTAAAATGGCTTTGCTGTTCTTGAGAAGAAGATTTTTAAGATTTTTTTCCCTATATATTCCTATGTAAAACTTTGATCCCCCCATTATGGCTGCAACCTACCCCCAGAGGACATAATCTGAACAAACTTGAATCTACACTACTTGAGGATGCTTCCATTGCAATATGACTAATCAGGGTTTTTCTGTTCTTGAGAAGAAGATTTTAAAAGATTTTTTTCCTATATCTTCCATTATACACTTTGATCCCCAATTGTATCCAAGACCCTACCCCAGGGTCTTGATTTATACAAACTTGAATTTACACTATCTGAGGATGCTTCAATACATGTATCAATATGACTTATCAAATCTTTGCTATTCTTGAGAAGAGGATTTTTTGAAGATTTTTCCTATATATTCCTATCTAAAACTTTGATCCCCCATTGTTGCCCCACCCTACCCCTGTGGTAATAATTTGAACAAACTTGAATTTACACTATGTAAATAAATTTTCACCTTAGTTTCAACTTTTTTTTTTTTGGCCCAGTGGTTTTTGAGAAGAAGATTTTTAAAAGATACAGCCAAATTTTCAATTATCCTTAATTACCTCCCCTTGAAAGAGGGTGTGGCCCTTCATTTGAACAAATTTGAATTCCTTTACCCAAGGGTGCTTTATCACAAAATTGGTTAAAATTGGCACAGTAGTTCTGGAGGGGAAGTTGAAAGTGTGAAAAGTTTACAGATGGACTGACAGATGGACAAAATTTGATCAGAAAAGCTCACTTGAGCTAAAAACTGTGAGATATCCAAGGATTTGAGATACAGAAGTTAAAATACATTATGGAAAAAATGGTTGAGACTTCCACCTCACTTTGACATAACCATAGTATTTGAAATATTGAAGTTCAAGATAATAAAGTTTAACTGTAGTTTAAAGATTACATTTTAGAAACCATTTTGATATTAACCAAAGTATTGGAACAGTGATTATGGAGATTTTCTACGTGACTAGCTTAAAGTAAAAATGAAAATGAAAAAATAAAACTGCCAAATGTGTCTAACGTCGGTCTCTTTTGAGACACCATGATAAAGTAGTTGAAGCCTGAGTTCGTTTCAGAAAAGTTAAAATCACACTTTAATATATAACACCATTGTTTTAAACTTTTTTTTCAAATTTTGTTTCCAATAAGAGAAGTTTGGGGAATATCAATTTTATAAACAGTTTTATAAAAACTGTATCTATCATTGTGTTTTGTAATGATTTTAAAGTGTCCCAAAAAATGCCCCCCAAAAAAGAATCGCATTTATTTATGAGGTTTTGATAAAGAGAAGGAATAAAAAGTTGCCTAGTGGGAATTTACATCATCTTGAAAAAGTTGCTATTCAGAGGATTAAAAAAACCCACACACAAACCAAGCTGTACAAAGCAAGCAATACAATCAACTTGGATTTTCTAATCATTTCATCTAATCTCATGCTTTGAAAAGCACTAGGGTAAAAATAAGCTCAAGCAGTGGATGGGTGTGCATATTTACCTTTGTTCATTGGATGTATTTTGGCTCTGCTGACTGTTGACCCTTTGTCCAATCCATCATCTGCTTTATTTTGGTCATTCCCAGCACCAGCAGATAAAGGGTCCACAGAATTACTCCTGAAAATAAACCAATTTTAGTTCCTTGGCATATTAACATAATTCAGATGTTTTTTTACCAAACCTCTTTATTCTTCCTCTTTCTTGGATGCTATGGACAATTCATATGGCTGTGACTAACATGTGATACTTACTGACATTCTTGGACTTCTGGTTCCTCATTTGCATATTTTGGGCTTCCTTGCAAATTTGAAAGGGAGGATTTTTGTTTGGTTTTATTAGACTTTAATTTTGCATTTTTCTTTTTCAGGTTGAGTTTGTAGCCAAAACATGGCAAGGTTGGGGTCTGCACACAGCTGGAAGGAGTTGTGGCTGTAGATTTTAATTCAGTATTTGAAAGCAAGAAATCAAAGTCATCACTGTGGAAGCTTTCTATGCGAGCAAGAGGAGTTTTGAACATGTTTCTAGTTGGGGTATTGGGCATAGCAAACTTATACAAGTGTTTTGAATAGCTTTCTGATGGAGTTAATGGACTAAGCTTGTCCTCTGGAAGATTTGGTTGAATAGAAGACTCTGGTACATTCACATCACTACTGGCATTATTGGCAATATCTTTGGCATGAACACTTTCTACACTGGGGAAATTTTTCACCACTGGCAATTTCAATTCAAGCTTTTGAGGTGTGCATAATTTGCTAGGATTTAAGTCCTTCATGGTAGTCTTTTTCACAATTTGATCTTTGGAATTAATCCTCCTCCCTTTCAGTGGATGATGGATTTCCTTCACCACAGAACTCGGATTTACCACATCCAACAAATTGGTTTTACTATCTGACTGATCCTCTGAACAGTCCACATCTGAAAGACATACAATTCCTACATCCTGAGGCATGTTTGGAGAATTTCCATCCACTTGGTCAAATCCACCACAAGCTTCATCATGACTATCACTTTCTGACAACACCTGAATGTCACTCTTTTGCATAGAAGAATAATTTTCATCACAAGAACCAGAAGAGGAATAATTGCACTCTTTTTCACTCTTTGCAAAATGATCTACTGCAGTTTGAATCTGACCATTCCTAGATGGAGAGATCAACTTGTTTTTAGGTCTCACAATGGCTTTGATATCTGCAGAAGCAATTTTTGCCTCGACAGAGTCCTGATGCACAGCCTCTAACAATGGATGTTTTGATTGCCTGGAATGTATCTCAGCAGTGGATGTAGTAGTTTTGCTAACTGATACAGGAACTATTTCTTCTGGATGAAGGTATCCTGCAGAATTTGGACAGGAAGCATCTGAGTTATTCTGATCACTCTCGTCATGTGAGGAATCATCCATCACATCACTACAGGATTTGTGTTGTTTCTGGCCAGGCACCAATAGTGTCACAGAATCAGAATGGAGTTGAATTGTGGCAGACCTTGGAGTTTGATTTGCACTAATTGGAGGGTCAATCTTAATTTCTGGATTAACAAGCAGTACAGGACTATTGGGTTGTGAAGAACTTGTGTGTTCCTTCATGCTAGCAGTCCTCCTGTGACCTGGGCCATAAGAACTGGATCGAGGACCCTGCCTCCTTTTTGAGGATCTCCGTCTGAGGGAGCGTCTGTTGTAGGGCTGGGCTTGACCAGGTGATAACAGATTGGGGTTGTCTTGTCCAGGAATTCCCTGAGTATGAGCCAAGTTTTCTGTTGAGTGTGGAACAGATTCCGCCTGCAACAACAAATTAAAACTAGATATCATTGAGATGGGGCCATCTCAAAGGGCCCCGCTTTCAGCAACGAACATGAAAATGTAAGGTAGCTGAAAAGGGTTTATTTTGAAGAGGAACACTTGTGTACCATTAAGGGATGTGTTGTTTGAGTCTAAAGAGCTTCTATGTCATCCTTGTTATAATAAAAAATGGCACGAAAATCAAGAGTGCTCCATACCCTCTATCAAAAAACGGCACAAAAATCACAAATGTTGCATATCCTCTATGAACACTATTGCATATATATCAAAATATGGAAGGAAAATCACAAATGTTTTGTACCCTAAGTCAATTGGTAAAGTTTGAGGCTGACTGGACTTAAGAGAAAGAAACCATGCACCGAACAAAGATTTTAAACAGAGAGGCTATTTTTGACCTTGACCCTTGACCTAGAAACTTCGTTCAAGGTCACTGCACATCCATTGACCAGTGGCACTCTGAGAGTGAAGTATGAGCCACATTGGACCAAAACGAAGGAAGAAGATATGCTCCGGACAAGGATTTTTCATATAATTCTGCTATGACCTTGACCTTAGACCTAGAAACATGGTTCAAGGTCAATACACACTCTTTACCCAAAGGCACTCTGTGGGTGAACTATGAGCCAGATTGGGCCAAGGAGAGAGAAGATATGCTCCGGACAAAAATTTAAACAGAGAGGCTATTTTTGACCTTGACCCTTGACCTAGAAACTTCGTTCAAGGTCACTGCACATCCATTGACCAGTGGCACTCTGAGAGTGAAGTATGAGCCACAATGGACCAAAACGAAGGAAGAAGATATGCTCCGGACAAGGATTTTTCATATAATTCTGCTATGACCTTGACCTTAGACCTAGAAACATGGTTCAAGGTCAATACACACTCTTTACCCAAAGGCACTCTGTGGGTGAACTATGAGCCAGATTGGGCCAAGGAGAGAGAAGATATGCTCCGGACAAAAATTTAAACAGAGAGGCTATTTTTGACCCTGACCCTTGACCTAGAAACTTTGTTCAAGGTCACTGCACATCCATTGACCAGTGACACTCTGTGAGTGAAGTATGAGCCACATTGGACAAGGGGAGAGAATATATGCTCCAGACAAGGATTTTTCATATAATTCTGCTATGACCTTGACCTTAGACCTAGAGACATGGCTCAAGGTCACTGCATGCCCTTTACCCAAAGACACTCTGTGGGTGAACTATGAGCCAGATTGGGCCAAGGAGAGAGAAGATATGCTCCGGACAAGAATTTAAACAGAGAGGCTATTTGTTACCTTGACCCTTGACCTAGAAACTTTGTTCAAAGTCACTGCACATCCACTGACAAGTGGCACTCTGTGAGTGAAGTATGAGTCAAATTGGACCAAGAGGAGAGAAGATATGCTCCGGACAAGGATTTTTCATATAATTCTGCTATGACCTTGACCTTAGACCTAGAAACATGGTTCAAGGTCACTGCACACCCTTTACCCAAAGACACTCTGTGGGTGAAGTATGAGCCAGATTGGGCCAAGGAGAAAGAAGATATGCTCCGGACAAGAGATCTCGGACGGACAGATGGACGGACGGACAGACGGACGGACGGACAGACTGATCACTATAGGGCGCCCGCAGAGCGGGGCCCTAATTATATCTCTAGCAATATACCAAGGTATTATTTCTGCATACAAGTGTATTTTAATGTACACATAAGTGCTCTTAATTTAAATCTTACAAAACCAGATACTATTTGCTAATTTTGTACATGTAGTACATGTATTATCCACCAAAGAACTGCAACTGAATTGCAGAAATGCATGTGTGATAATTCAAATTCAATGCAGAAGATTACTTTAACAATCCTAGATCAGAAAAAAATGACATTATTAAAACAATCTTATGCGACTTATGTGGGTATACTTGTTCTGACATTTTAAAGTTAAGATTTTTTAACAAATTTATGGCTTAGAAGTATAATCCTTTATTGTTTCATCAGTAGTATATTCCTAAGAGTAGCTTATTAAATTCAAAGACCTCAAATCTCCGACAAAGAATTCAAAGGTGGGTGATTGTGGTCGTAGGATTATACAATAAACCTCTCATTTATGCTCCATTTATCTGTACATAGAAATATAATATTTCGAGATTATTTCATGTCCTGCAACTTACTTAATACTCAAATTTCCTGTATTGCCTAAAATTATTCGATGGCTCACTTATCGTAAGTAGATACAAAATTTCATAAAAGTAAACTGATCTTTAAAAAAAGCAATTATTTTAGAAATTACACAATGTACAAAGGGACAATAATTAGAATTCAATGAACTTCACAAAAAGTTTTTTTCTCAGCAAAATAAATCTAAAAATATTACAGAAATTTAATCTATATACCTTTACCTACTTTTACAGTAGTATTAACCATTAGCTTAAATGATTTAAAAGAAAGCATAATACTATCTGTAGGATAAATTCTATGACACAGCCAAATGTATTTTTTAATGTTGAATAAAACACATACAAAAGTAATGGTACATGAGGGTGGATTGTTATTCGGTCAGCTTTAGTATAGGTGAAAACACACTACTCAGTACAATTAAGTTTTAAAAATGCAAATTTTTGAGGACTGATAGTTTGTAAAATAATCTTTAACAGTCAATTCATTCTAATCAATTTCATCTAGTCAATATGCACATAAATTAAGTGACTAGATTTAGTGAAAGAAAACATAAAAACATTGAATTTGTTTCCTTCTATCAAAATGTATTGCATGGAAAATAGCACCTAGACAAAATTGTATTATACTTTTGGTATCGTGAAGGAGGTGTATCGTTTCACCCCTAATAAACATGCCTACCTCAGATGTCGCAGATGGAAGTGGTGAATGCAAAGGATTCTTTCGTCTTCGGGATCGCCTTTTCTTTCCCTCTAGCCACGTAGGAGCACTACAAAGAGCCATGAAGTCAAATGCAGTGCTGACTTTGTGATCATGAGCAGCCTGCAGTTTCTCTGCCTCTGTCATTGGTGTCCCAGTTCCATCTTTGTGAAGGTGAGGGTTGGAGGTAGCAGCTGAAAAACCCAATACATCAGTCAACTTTCCAAGTAGACATACTGAAAAACCCAATACATCAGTCAACTTTCCAATTAGACATACTTCACTGATAAAGATGAGCCCTGCTCATTTCTTAAATGAACTCATGCCGGTATGTCAACAGAAAAGTATAAATAATCGATGTAAAATATTAATTAATAGCAGTAGAAAATTAAATCACACTGAAAGGTCCAATATATGATTTTCCAAACAAGTGGGGAAAAAAACAAACCATACTCAACAAATCTGCATAAGATTGTTGCTGAGAAAAATACTCCTGGTGATATTTCCCAATCATTTTGAAACACAAAACCTTCCTTCACAAAACAAACAAAACTTCTCTACTGAATGGAGTCTTTGGAGATTTGAAATACACAGCAGTGATTATGACTTAACTAAAACAAGATTATGAGAAAATCTTCTTATTGAGTCAACTGCACCTAGGTTAAAATACCAACATAATTAATAAACATTCTATATATAACACTCAATAAGCTTTAAGAACTCAAATATTCCTTTGTATTTCTGGGGGAATAAAGATTTTCATTTTGTTGAGAAAATATTATTTATTCTGCAAAATGTTTCAATAAAGATCAGTTTCTAAACAAGAGGCCCAAGGCCTTAACAGTCATCTGAGTATAAAACAACAACTGTATGGATTCATAAATTTAAAGTATAAAATAACAAAAATAAATTGATAGATGAAGCAGGAATCAGGATCAGGAATCAACAAAATAATTAGAACAGTACTTGATATCATATCTTCCAGTAGATTTACTTCAAGTAAATCCACCTCTTACCCTCTTAATTGGTCTCTCTTGGTTTTTTTAATTTGAAGTTCATTTAAGGTACAAAGGTAAGGTATTTTGGTCTCATTTTCAATTGTCTATTATTTACAATCTACCTGAACATTATAAACTATGTACTTTTTGTATAATATATATTGTAAAAATTTTTGTACAATTCTCTTATTCAATTGATCTTTCAATGACATTATTTACAGTGATTAAATATACATGTACATAAAGAGCAAAGGGGAATACATTCTCTCAGCAGAATACAAATGAATAGAGCCCTGCTCAGCACCTGAACACTTGACTAAGTTGCCCAAATATTTCAAAAATCTGGTAAATATATCCTTGCTTATCACAAATTATTTGTACTCTGTCCAGCAGGAGAGATGATTTTCAAAGAAGTAATGCATTTCCACTTTATAATCAATAGAGCCCCACCGTAACACCAGAACCCCTGACCCAGTGGCCATGAAATTCACAATTTTGGAAGAGACCACCATACTAATCATTATCATGCACTTATTTCCTCTGCTAAATACTTAGGAGCAGAGAAGAAGATTTTTCAAGGAATAATTCATTTTCACTATATAATCAATAGAGCTCTACCTTAACACCAGAACCCCTTGCCCAGAGGCCATGAAATTCAAAATTTTGAAAAAGGCACTCTTGCTCATTATAACTATGCACTTAATTTGTCTGCTTAATACCTAGGAGCAGAGAGGAAGATATTCAAAGAAATAATGCACTTTCACTTTCTAATCAAAAGGACCCCCCTCCTGAACCCCTGACCTTGGGGCCATAATTTCACAGTTTTTGAAGAGGCATTCTTGCTCATAATAACCATGCACCTAGTTTATCTGATATATATACAGGGGTAGAGAAGAAGGTTTTTAACAAATTTAAACTTTTTCACCATATATAATTAGAGCCCTGGCCTAACTCCAGAACCCCTGACCCTGGGAATTGAAATCGGTTGTGGTTCAAGAGAACAAGCTGATAATGTTCAAAAGTTTATGACCGATGAACGACTTACAATGCATGACGACAGATGAAAACAGATAGCAATAGGTCATCTCAGTCACTCAGGTGACCTTAAAAAAAAATTAATCCAAGCCTTAAAAGAAACATTGTCTCAAGCCAAATTTCAAAGTGCTCCTTTGATCTATGAAAGGCTGGTCATTTCCAACACAAAAAAAGGCAAACACTGAAAGGAACAGTTGATTGATTTCTGACCACACACACACACATATATATATTAGGGATGTCAACGAGTACCCGGTTAACTGGGTACTCGATCGAAAGTCCGAGTATCGAATACTAAAAATGGTACTCGGTTACTCGGATATGTATTTTTTCTTATTTCAAAGTACTTATTTTTATCAAAAACTTATCAAAAACTAATTTAAATACATGTATGCATACGGTAATTATAGCTTGTAGTCTTCTACACCTCTAAAACACCAATTATCGCCTGTGGCTGTGTATATACAGTAATTAGTGACCCAGCTGTTCTCACCTATTGTGGTCCTTAATTTCTGGATGGCTTGAGTGATTGTTTTCAGTGAATGTCGATGGTCTATTATCTTCAAATCATTTTTAAATTATTTAGTTAATATACGGCAGCAAAATCGGACATGCATAGAAATGCCACAACTCACTTCAAAAGTGAAGAAATACTTAGAAATAACTAAATATTTTTAAAAAATGTTGAGGGTCAGCGTAGTAAGTTTAGTCAGTTAGTGTAATCAACATATAAAATTGTTTCCCCTGATACACTAAACTTACTATAATATTAGACTAAACTTACTATAATATTAGAATAGCGATCCCAACAACGTCCGTTGCTTCTCTTTCGCTAGTCTAATCATTACAAACCTGCATAACAGAGTGTCCTACTTTTGATGAAATATAGATTCTAAACAAGAGCTGTAAACCATTTGTAATTTTTGATCTAATAATTATGTCTTATGTGTTTATTTGATAAATAAATTTAATGCCAAAATCATTTACGTTGGAATCGGTGTTTATATAGTTCATTTATACACCTGATAAAAACAGCCTTGGGGTTTCACGGGGTTCAAGAAAATTAACACACTTGTATTTACACTTTTATCGAGTACCCGGGTACTCGATCGGAAAAACGTCCGAGTAACCGATTATCAAAAATTGACCGATTTGACATCCCTAATATATATATATATATATATATATATATATATAAATAAAATTAAATGCTTGATACAGGATATAGTTAAAATGGTTGAATTCTCATTAATTAACAAGTAGTTATTCAGGGAAGAGTGACACTGGAATCGTCGGGAGGCAAAAACATTCTCTCAGACACAGAAATTCAAAGTTCATGAATTCTCTTACAGAGACTAACTTTAATTTAACTTTACTTAATTAAATTAACATGAAAAAAAAAAGAATGACTTCACTGCAGACACACTACTTTAAACAATTCAAAATCTAAACAAAGAGAAAAGGATAGACAAGAGCAAAGATATTGGGTACATGGTTGGATAGTTTTCAAAAAGATGGCACCAAGATGAAGAGTTTTCAAGGCAAATGGTACAAGTACAGTGAAGGTTTACACGTAAGTATGAGCAAAGGGCTCAGGACAGTCACTCTACACACACTCTGGGTTACCTCCTAGGAGCGGTAAACTATGGAAGCAGTCCTTTTTGGGAGTTGCCCTTCGAGCTATAAAACACAGTGTCAACATTCTCACTACTTCTGAGCATCACAGACCATTATTTTTTCCATTTCAATACACTCTGTACTTATAGCAAAACTTATTACATTGAATATTCAGGTATGGAACATGAATGAGAAAAGGAAATGCAGTACTTCATGGCAACTTGATGAGGAAATGCTTACTGTTAACTGATAAGAATGGTTTAAACACTGTGAGGGACCTTTAAAACAAAAGTATGGTAATGATTTCATGTATTACCTTGTATATGTGGTAAACTATGGGTGTGGTTGGCAGTGTGGCAATCATCCTGGACTATATAAAAAGCATTTCCCATAAGCACAAATTCCACAATTAAGAAACTATAAACTAAATTTTTACAAAGTGAAAAACTTGATACTTTGTACTATGTCTTGAAATATGGTACAGTTAACTTTCAGAGTTCTATAAATCTTTAAATGTTTTTATCTATTTTACCTGAATGGTTGACAAGACATTTAGTTGGTGTAACTACAGATCAAGACACTAGGCAATACCATGTGACAAACAAAGGGGAGATAACTTGTGTGGGATAAGGTAACACCAGGCTTCAGATAAAATTCTAATATTCTGCACACACACTGAAATAAGTCTGGGTATATTTTCTTTTAAAAGTTCATGAAATGTAAATTTGTAAAAATTTCTGCTTATTTAATAGTGTCTACAATCCTTTTTTTTCTTGGAGCATCTGATTTTTGCAGAATAATAAATTAATCTGATAAAGAATGGAATCTTTCTGTAAAAATTGATTTTTTGGGGGGTAAAAAGAACAGTTTTCTAACAGTAGATATGAGAAAAGGAAACTAAAACAAAATTAGTATTCTACACATGGAAAAATTTGGGACAAATTATTGTATTGTTATAATGAGATTTAAGGAGGAGAAGGACCTTGAGCTGAAAAAATACTTGTCATTCAATTTTTTTCATATTTTGTATATTTCTTATTAAGTATGTCCCACATATCATAAAGCAGTTATATCATTAGGTTTCTTACCTTATTTTGGAAATATTGATTGACAAATACTATGCCCTACAGTATCTAAGTGGAGTTTTAATTTTCCATGTTTCCGGACTCATCACTCTGTCCATAATTGGATTTTTTAAGCATATATAAAAAAATGTTAAAGTGGACATGTATCTTTTAAAATAATACAGAGTATAAATAGATTGAAAATTCGAAAAAGCAAGTTTTGTCTATCACACTGCATCTGGATATGGAAAATTACGCACTTTTTAAGACAACTTAAACAATAAAAAGTGTAATTTACAAAAAATTCTATCATTCAATATTTTTGTATTTACGTTGAAATGCAAATCCTTCAAATTATTGATGAACTGTAAAAATTTCGAATGATGAAGCTGACCTCAATATTTCACAGGACATCGTTAAAGAGGACATAAGCATGACAAAAACGTCATGTTACATTTCTCGAGTACGGGAAAAACCAACTGTGACGTCACACGTAAGCTAAATAAGCGAAATAAGATATACCTACATAAGATTTCCGTCATCAGCCATGCAAAAATAATTTTTGTGTTCCCCGTTTCTCGAAATATTTCATCATATACCGATTATGACCTGTTTTTACATAATAATACCGCCCCTGTGTTCACCGAGTATGATCTTGCAGTACTAACAGATCGTGTATGACGTCACCGACTTGTTGGACGCGCAGTTTTGGAAACAGAGGAGTGGATCAATCTTTTTCATAATTTGTTAATGTTTACCAGAATGTTGAAACTTTTTACTTTTTTTTAAATAAGATGGTAATTAAAGTTAAAACATTGTCAAAAATTTATACAAGAACTGAGGCTTTACACGTTTTGCACTTGTATAAACGGAGACTATGACGTAGTTAAACAGAATCATGTGACCATGTGTCCTTCTCCTCCTTAAAAAGAGTTATCTCTCTTAGCATAGTGTTCTTCCCCTTTAAGACCTCTGACAAAAGACATCAGCACTTGTAAGATAAAGCAGTTTATATTCTAGTATATATTCTTTACTGGTGGCAGAAAAACTTATGTTTTCTTCATATTCTGAAAAAGCTTACGTGTTTTATATACCAGATCTGACTTCTGATTGATATAATTAAATCTGGTGCCATTTTAATATAGGTCTTAATTTGTACTGGATGTCAATGCATTTAATATTTATTATTATCTCCTAATGACTTACACTTTCATGGCTCTGAAAAGAAATCACTAAACACACTTATTAAAAAATGAGGAAATTCAACATGCAAGGGCAAGACAATTTTGAGTCTGGTCTTTGTGGTCTTCTGGGTAATTTCACAACAAAACATTTCTAGGTCTCAACATGCCTTGGTTTTCATTCTCCAGAGTTAGGAACTGTGACTAGTTGTGTACACTAGATAGGACGGACATCATGCCAACAGCCACACTAGACTTAACCAGTGTATACTATACATGAGATCACCACGGCGTGCACCAGGGGTCACTAATAGCTAGATTACCTTTGACCTCCTCCAAATCAACCTCTTGAGTAGTCACACTTTGTGACAAAATTTGCGGACTTTGTACAACTTTCTTTTTATGCTTGGTACCTTTAGATTCTCTTTTTTCTCTTCTTTTTTCATGGAAGCTGGTGTAGTCCAGGTCAAATACTCCTGTAAAAATCAAATTTATTCATTCTCATATCTATGTTTTTTATTTCCTATTGTAACAATGAAATTGCAAACATGAGTGGATATAATTGTTGTGGCTATTGCTAAATCAGAGTGCGGGACGGTTCGCCCCGAAAGACCATTGCGCTGAGACGTTTCGCCCCAAGACGGTTCGCGCCGAAGATCAATCAATTAATTATGTGGCAATTATCACTTGTTAACAGCAATTATCAACTTCTTAACTTTTATACTGTGTTATATTAATCCAATCCATTGGTTCAATCATAGGCACTCCCCAGCTTAATTGTTAAAAAATATATATCTACTATACTATAAACATAACTTTTATAGTATAGTAGATATATATTTTTTAACAATTAAGCAGGGGAGTGCCTATGGGTTCAATCAATAATACCAATTTATATGGGTTATACTTAACACCTGACACTGCAGGGACCTATAAGGACCTATAAGTCCCTGCGGACACTGAAAACCAAATTATAATTATAACACCTTAATTACAAAACTGAATCAGACAATTATGATTGCTGAATAAACATAATTATATCTGCACATGGATAATTATACCTTTAATTACGGTATAAGCCTATTTTCAACAATTTAAACAGTCATGAAAGTTTTTTTTAGTAACTTTAGAACTTTTTTTAATAAAGTCAATATTAACCTTATATGTAAATATTTATCTTAAAACATATCGTATTTATATCGTTATAGACAATGAAGATTAAATCGGGCGCGAAACGTCTTGGCGCGAAAGGTCTTTGGGGGCGAATGGTCTCGGTGCGAAACATCAATAGGGGCGAAACGTCCCGTTACCCTAAATCATAACCCCCCTCCCCATATATTTTTCATCCATAAGCTTTTAAATCCTTTTATCTGTAACACTGGAGGGAGTCCAATTAAACAGGAGTCAATATAATGTATATTGACTCCTGCCTCACTACCTCATAAAATATTAAGCCCAACATTGTGTTAATTTAAATGTTATTGGGAAGGGAATGAAATATTAATCCCTAATCATTTATAGTGCTGGGAAAAGGATTTCCATATGGTATGACTTCAAATTACATGAATGTGCAAACTGTGACCATTGATATAATTACAAGGTTTGAATTTTTTTTTTCAAACTTTGTAATTATATCAATTGATCATTGTTTGCACATAATTTGTAGTCATACAATATTGAAACTGTTTTCCCAGAATTATAAATCATAAAGGATTAATATTTCATGTATTTCAGAATATCATGTTTAAAAAAAATAGTAGGAGTCTACATGATCAACAATTATTTTTGCTTTAATTCCCTCATTTACTTTTGAACGACCATATTGGATCATCTTAGCCTTCATAAAATGCACCCAATGTAACCATCCTCGCAAGCCAGGGGTACTGAGTCAACACATTGCCGTTGGACCCCTGGCATATTTCATTCAATATTTGTGGGCTGACTGTAGCGACATCTTTTGGAAAAATTACAAATCTTGATTGTTTTTCTTATCTCTCAACCAATCACATTAAGCCATTCTATGATAAACAACTTGTAACACGTGCATTTGAGGTGTCAACTGAATCCTTATCTAACTATTTATGAAAGCTTTAATTTGATTGGTGCTTCTCAATGAGAGAAGCAAGCTCACAAATATTGAATTAAATATGCCAGGGTCCAACGGCAACGTGTTGACTCAGGATCCCTAGCTTGCGAGGATGAATGTAACTGGCTTACCCTTTTCTTTCCTTTTATTGTCCATCATCATGTTAAACATGGCCGACAGTTCATCACATTTACTTTCATGAACAGTTTTTTCCACCTGCTCCTTGTTCATTTCCATCATTTCTGACAACTCATTAATGACCTGCAACAAAATCAAACTCCAATTATAGAAATTATAAGTATCTATAGTACACTACACAACAATAAGGTAGGGGGTTAACATTTGTTAGTATAAAGCATGTATCAAAAGTACAGTGCAACTTCAATGATGAACACTACATTGTTAGTTTTCCGATTTTTTTTTCAAGGTGGCATTCATGAACATTCATTACTAATTGTACAGTGCTACCATTCAGCTATCTTCATTCTATGTCTTCAATATGGTTAGTACACTATTAGAAAGTATACAATGTATTTAGAAAGAAATACAGTTAAGATATAAGTTCAGAGAAGAATGCTATATGGAGTACAGAAGAGGAAAATTAATTATGGACATTCAGCAAACATGTTACACAGAACTACTATTTAACAGTATGTGAAGTAAATTCGAAGAGAAAAATATTCAAAATACTGAGGATGGGTCAAAATCCAATTATCATTATGTGCTCCAATTCTAGTACGGTAATTTATGCCTCCCTCCCTCCTACGTACACACATTGATCCACTCCTGTACTTTTTTTAAAAAATAGAATTCCTTCTTTTATTTACAAAATTGTAAACATTAATTTAAATATTTCTATATCATAAACTATTCAGATCAAATTGTTCCGTTAGAGGATTTTAGTACACTCCTTCATCCATTACCCTGTCATTTATCTCAATATCTATAAATTTCCGTAAAAAAATTAGTTTTGCTACAGGCACTTATTACGGCAAATCTGTAATATGACTTTACATTGAACTTATATGTAAATTCAAGAAAGAGAAAAGCTGAAAGATAATAAATATACTAAAAATAGTGATTGTGGTTTGTGAATAAATTAATTGTCAAGGTTAAACTTGCAATTTTAGAAAAATAAAAGAGTTCTAGATTATCAAAATACAAAAAAATTAATTATTTGAAATTAGTGAATCTTATAAAAATAAAGGTGCTTAAAGAAATTCTGTGAAATATTGTTCTTTTTTTTTTTTTTTTTTTTTAAATTCTTTGTGAAAATTCATATACATAATGCTTCAAAAATAGAAAAAGATCACATCAGAAGGTTTTCAACATTATGTATAGTATGACACTTATATAACACAGATACAAAATTTAACTTAAAAAAAAACTAGCTGTAATAGCAGCTAGAAAAGTAACTGAGCTTTGAAAATACTTGGCTGTTGTTTGAACACCCCTCCCTTTTGATTTTCTGGTGTGATCTTTAACATTTTATAAAATAACATGTACAAAGTTTCATGCTTTCAAGCTTAACAATATACATGTAAATCTAGATATAAGGAAGACAAACAAACAAACAAAAAGCAAAAAGCTACTTTACATATAAAAGTTAAAGGCCAGCCAAGCATTTTCAAAACCCATGCAAAGACTTCGCTAATGTCAAAGAGAGTCAAGCAATTTATGAAGTCAGCAGAGGAATTAATCTCAAAATATTTTGTAAAATATTTTGAAAACAGAAGAAAACCTGAAATAAAACTTTTTTTTTTGGCTATATGTGCTGCTTATCAAGAATAAGACTGAAATTCAGTGACATTCATAAAATATCAAATAAAGAATGGGTCTTTAAAATGATGTGCTTAACTTGAGAATGAAAGACTTGAAAGATCTTCATGAAAGTATAAGTTGACACAAAATACATGGATATGGTTGCACTATTTTTACCTCATTTTCTAACTCTTCTAAAATGGCTTCCTGATTGTCCAAGAAAAGAATGGGGTATATGAAGATTCAAGATTGACATAATATATATCTCAAACCCATTGGATTACATATATCTCATAATAAATTTTATAAAAAGTACATTGTAAATCTAAAGACATATGTATAAAAGGAAATGTGTAAAAGATGCATGGATTTTTCAAAACACCCTATTTGTATTTAGGTAATTGTAGGATTGAATCACTGGATCACCAAACAACTTCAATGAATACATGTATTTATTTCAACAAAGTTATCCTAAATTCAGTGTATAACAGTATCCTAAATTCAGTGTATAACAGTATCCTAAATTCAGTGTATAACAGTACACTTTATGGTGCATGCTGTGTGATGTTATGATACAATTATTTCATTTTTGGGAGAGTGAAACTATGATTTAATTTAAAGAAGATTCTTCTAGTCACAACATTTCAGGTGTGTCTGACAAACAAAAAAAAATCTTGAATGCACAGTCAAACCTCATCATTTCGAACTCGATGGGGCAAAGAGCTATTGAGGTTAAAAAAAATAAAGAACAAGATATGTTTGTAAAACACTGATGCTCCCATTTGACATCTCATAGCAAGGGTGAAAGTTTTTCAAAAGTAGGTCAAATGCCAAGGTCAAGGTCATGGTAAAAAATGTTGGTACCCAAAGAAAGGTATTGTCAAAATTTTGGCTAAAATTTTTCAGAAGTTAAGGTCAAACTCGAAGTTCAAGAAGTAAAATATATTGATACCCCAAAGAAAGGTCTCATCAAAAGATATACACATGTGAAAAATAAAAGCCTTAGCCCAACCATTCAGAAGTTATGGACAAGGTAAAAGTTGGTGAAAGCTTTTTTTTTTTTTTTAAATAGGTCAAGCTCGAAGTTTAAGGTCAAAATAAAATGTCAAAAATTGTTGGTACCCATAGACAGGTCTTGTCACAAGAAATACACATGAAATGTGTGTGAAATATGAAAGCCCTAGCACCAACCATTCAAATGTTATGGGCTCATAGCATGATTAAAGTTTTTGTTGGACAAACAGATTTACAGACAAACGGACAGACAGACCAAAAACTATATGACCCCACACCTCTGATTACAGGGTAATCGGCAAACATAAAAAAGTGGTCAGGACTTCCAACTTACTTCAACATATCTATGTTATTCAAGATACTGATGTTCAAGATACTGAATGTTCAACTGTATGTCAATATTGTGTTATGGTGGCTCTTGTGGATGCCCCCCCCCCCCTCCTACATTTCTATTACAAAGTTAAAGTATAAAAAATCTATTTGTCTATTTAACTTTTGCAAGCATAGGTTTACATATTAGATTTCACATTAGTAGGTTTTAAGGTCACTTGCTACAAAAAAACTTTTTACAAAATTCATGAAATCCGAGATACAATGGAGTCTTATTATTACAATATTCATTTTGTCAGGAAAAAATATTGTAATACCAGGCCCAACATAATAAAAGTTCCCATTAAAACATTGTTCAGAAATCATTTTTTCTCTCTGGAAGGGGAGTGTATCCTATTTTCATTCTGTTTTCTTCTTTCTTTCCATTTATGTTCTTAATATTAAGGTCTGATGACACGATCCTTAAATATCTGATTTTGCATCTCTTCGTAATATACCAAAATCTTTTATAATTATTAATATCTTCTGATTTCTAAACCGTTTTTAAAATGTCTGGAAAAATATATGAACCAAAAATCATGATACAAGCAATTCAAGTAATTTTCTATAAGATAAAACAGGAAATACTATCTACCTCAATCTTGCACAAATGCCTGGTAATGTACCCTAATTTTTTGTGAGGAAGTTTCTTAAGGAAAGAGAACTTCAATATCAAATTCTTGGGAAAAATTATATATTTTTGAAGAATGTGTCATCTGACCTTAAAGCATTAGGAAAATTATTTTAAAATTTTTCACTCCAAATTCTTTTTTCCCCCTACATGAAACACTATATACACCACCACAAAAATCGGAAGTTTTGAATAAAATTTAACATGTTTAATCTTGCTTAATATTTTTATATAAGAGCAATACTTGAAAATCACAGAATAAAATTTGTAACTACCTGGGACTTGAGCAGTTTGTCCCTTGGAAAGGCATGAAATGGGTAGAAAGGCATTTTGGCATCACAGGTCACCCAGGGGTGTATCTCCACATCCATCAGGGGCAGACGATGACTGGGGTTTGGCTCCAACAACTTACAGAGTAACTGTTTCAATTCTGTACAACACAGTTAACAATTAAAGCCAGCAGCTAGTCTTGTGATATCAGTAGTCATTTCTAATCAAACTGACAAAACTTTTTATATACTCTTTTGCTTCATTGTCCTGAGGTTTAAGGCTTCAAAAAAGAATAGACATCTTAGCATTTGATTGGATACACAGAAATAGAAAATTGCTCATTTTAAGACTATCCAAGTATGACTGAAGTTTAGATTATACTTTCTTAGGTCCATTTTTATACATGAACTGATTCCACATCAAAGAGCTCTCTCTTTCTCTCTCTCTCTCTCACCTTCACTGAGATTACACATTTCTTTGAGTTGAACTTCAGTGATCCCTTTTTCCACCTGTTGGAGGAGTTTCTGTCTTCTGTACTGATCAGTGTATGGAGTTGTGAACGGAAGTTTCCCTATTACCATTGCATACGTTATGACACCTCTGTAAAAGAAATTCATTCCAGTGTTCATATTACTTAAATTAAGAATCCAAACTCATTATGACAAATATATTACAATATAAATTTCATAGCAATATTATACTCTAATCACTTCTCACAAGTTCCAAATTAATCATTCTTAATTTATGTAAATTCAGAAACTGAGATTAATATTTTAACATCAATTAACACTAATTATTTTGAACTCAAAATAGATTTTCTGTTTTATTAAAAATTAACTATTCAGTGATATATCCATAAATTTTAAAAGTAAAATAATTCTCTCAGTTTGGGAGTATATTATTTGAAGATTACTCTGTTATAGAATAATTTAGAATTGATTTACATTGCCCACACATCCACCTCTGGCCCGTACTTGTCCGATGGGTGGAACAGTTCTGGAGCGGCATATTCTAAAGATCCACACCTTGTTTTCATCAGTTCATCCTTGTTAAATGTATTACTAAGTCCAAAATCTTATGAAGAAAACAAAAATAGAGATAAGTACACAATTCATAAAAATCTTTCTGTGTATAAAATTAGATGGCACAGTTTATTTCATTTTTAGCAGTGAAATACTGTAATTTATCAGTAGATTCAAATTGTTATTATTTTTCACATAAGTGTTATTATAACATATTTACAGCAAAACATGAAGAATGTTAGAAAAAATACTCTGTACAGTTTCTCCAAATTATTGTTAAAATCATGTTTACAATTTTCAATCTCACAATCGCTTAGCTATGACATTTCTCAACTGCTCACCTATGATGACACAACTTTAGCCAGACAGCTACTATAGATAGCCCATAGGGGCAAAACAAAAAACCAAAGAAATGTCATAAACATAAAATTCAAGGTTTTGTAGTTAGATATTGAATTTGTTTCAATCGTGATAAAGAATTTTTTTAAATATTTTCACTAGTGCTTTGCATTCATCAAAATATCAAAAACATGAAATAAATTCCATTTCCAAATACAAAACACTGGATGTCCTCCACACATTTGCTGATAAGGATTGCCTCCCTTCTACCACTTCTGTAACTTAGCAAGAAAAAGTACTCTGGGAATTTAATTGCAGAGACAACCAATGACAAAATTGATGCACTGGTGTACAGATTTCTATTTAAATTTTTTTATTTTTTTTTCTATATTTAACATTATCTAAAGTTGGACATTTTCAATCAACAATTTGTATACTAACCATTATAATATGATATACATGTATTACTATCAGAGTTATTTCCCTTAGACCATGTTCCTCATTTTGTTCAGGTGCAATAAATTATGTAATTTTATTTTAACTCTAGCTTCATACAAACAAATCTTTATGATCCAGAGAGTTTTATCAAAAAAGAAAAATAATAGAGAACCCATGTGATTTGATATTCTATTAACAGATGTTAAATCAAGTTTGATGTTGCAACAAATTAGAGGTCTTCCCATGGCAGCAGCATGCAGACAAGCCCTTTCTGTGGGTTTATCAATCAATTCTGCACACAGTGCCACCACAGATGGAGTTCTACTGATAAACAGAACCTTTCATCTTTAGGTCAGAGTAGGGTAGCTCAACACTATCATACTAACAAAACTTTCAGGACCCCCCAATATTATAGTGAACTGGCCATCAATACTCAATCAGCCTATTTCAGCCATTTCCTCTCTCTCCAGATATGCTCCTTCATTTAGATTGGAGATTAATTGTCCACAGAGGTTCAAATTAAGGTCACCTACCCCACCCATAACATCTGATGCTAGAACAACTTTTTCCCTTCATAAAACTACTCTCCATTCATCATATGCCAGCTAATCTTTTCTGACATGTATACTTTCAGCATCTTTTGCTTTCTTCATGCCTTCAATCTATATTCATAACAAAAACCCATGCAAGATGTCTGCATAATATTGCAATAAAGTCAAATTATGTATCATCTGCAGATTTTACAGTTGGCAGAAACACTTTATTGATGAAATGATCCTGTTTAGGAGGAATCCAGTTCAGCGGGCTGCCCCAGTGAGAAGTGATTGTCAATCCCGGCCTATACAAGTCATACCTGATGTGGAGTCTGGGCTTCACATCAGAATTACTGCCTATTGGGGAATTACTCCCATAATAAATAATTCCAACATGTCAGAATCAATTATTGATTTGTATACTGACAGCACATTTCTATAAACATCCAGTGGAGATATTTTGGTCCTATCAATGTTTATATATACAGTTTCTTCAGTGATTAGAGACAATGTAATTAGTATAGAGACCCTGTGTGCTTTGGATTATAAGTGCTGCAGGCAGTTCACAAAGCTGACTCTGACAAGTAACCAAGATTCCAATCAGCCACTGGATTGTCAGTTTTATAAATGGAGTATGAGTCCGTGAATGCAAAAAATGCAATACAACTCAAAAATAACGAAATATTTCACTTCCACTCTACATTTAACATGTATCACACTCCCAAACATGATGTATATATAAATACAAGTGACTGGCCTTGAGAACAAATTTCAGCTGGAAAATTTTAAGTGCAAAGCACCTGCATCTAATTGAATGTGAAAGAATATTCTAGTGTATTTGGTGTCCCCAGAAAAAGATGCATATAGAGACAAAAGGGGCAAGGAAAAACTGCCTCCATAGTTTTAGTGGCTTAAAAAGCAAGCAAGCAATGCTGTAGGACTATAAAATTCTGCTAACTGGTCAGAAGTTTTTTGTCAACTCTGTTAAGGCAATGAAAAGAGCTAGGTCATATTCTGTGTCCATTCTAAGAAGTCTACAAAGCATAAAAAAGTAATTCAAAACAAACTTTGTGAATTCAAAGCTTTACAGTTCCTTAGAAGAAGCAAAAATCTCAAGAGGTTTGTTTATCACGGGGAGACTGAGAATGTAATTAAACACCTTAACAGCATCAAGGGGGAGGAAAGCAAGAAAACTTAAAAAGCATTTCTAGCTGACTGACTGACCTCAGGGTCAAGCGTACACCAAAGGTCACTCAGGTAATCCCTGTGGATAGATGTCATTGCTATGCTAATGCATAACCCTCCTTCCCTCCATTCAAATGTCTGATAAATTACAGGGAACCCTCTAGTATTCTATTCGGGCTTACAAGATTGGGGGCATTCATTGGTGAGGGGACTGGTAGGACTTGGTCCATAAAATTATCAATTATTCTGCCACAGTCCCCTGTCCATCTGTCAGTGGTCATTAAAATAGGACCAGTCAATGACCCTAGTCTGTGGTCCGTTAACATGCTGTGCAAGTCAAAGCAATCAAGTCAAGGTACAATATGATTAAAGCCTGTATCATTTGTTGAGATCACACATGCTATAGTGAAATAAAGACTTAAAATGCCTAAAATTTAACAAGGTAAATAATTTAAATGTATATTATATTAAGGGAATCCCCCCAAAATTATCATGTTAAAGAAATATTTTTTTATGGAAGACTTTTATTAACCTTGACCTTCTAATACTTCACCTTGACCTAATTTGCATTAATTTTTATATTTTGTATAATACCTTTAATGGCTCATGAATATAAAAGTTCACATAAGGAAGAACATTTGGTAAACCCAAGATAAGAGATATCTTTGAGATGTGGACCAGGCTAACTTCCTTGAAACCTCAAATTACGTCAATCAAGATAATGCCTGTATCTAGGCAATGCTACACCAAGCCTTAAAACTGTCTACACAGGTACTTACCAACTATTTTGATATTCTTTTTCTTCTCATCCAACATGATGTTTTCCATTTTTAAATCCCTACAAAAAGAAAAACAGAAACTTGCTTTCATATATGTTTAATTGTTTATTGCATGTCGGGTCCTTTCTTCTCCGATCAATGGGGGTGGATAAGGGAGAAAATCGATGATGTTTTAATATGGGTAGATATTTTGTGCTGAAAATGAGAAGCCAAGATACGGGTATACAAAACTGTGCTGAGGAGATAAGTTTTTAGTAGATATATAGATAAAGAAACTCCTGTCAGACTAAGAATTCAAAGATTAATGTTTTCTTATCTCCTGATGAATCTCTGGGGAATCAGACAACTTTGCTAATTGAATAGAGTTATCTCCCTTTGAACACATTATAAGCCATTGCCCCGATACTGCTTGATGATTAATATGCTTTCTAACAAGTCATTTTTCTTAATTATGCAAGGAAAAATACATAACAAACAAATCACCAGTACATCAGTCAGAATTTGTCTGACTGGTCATTTGCTTGAACTTTATTTGCCACACAGGTATGCTATCGAACTTCAAAGGTTATTGTTACAAAGTTAACAAACAATAATTTATGGTCCCTGACCATTTCAAATCAGGACGGTTTGATGATTTATTTCTTTGAAGAATGGAAGGCTTGAACCCTGATCAGGATTTTCACCTCTAAACAAACATAAGCCTGTTAACTGAAGCAAACATTTGATTAAAAACAGATTTTTATGCATTTTTAAATACTAAAAATATATAAAAATCTTTTTAATTTGATAATTAGAGAGAGTTTTCTGAAGAATTTGTCAGCAGTTACTAGGAGAATGCACACATAACTCATATGATGAACATATATTTTTACTGACAAATCCTCATAATTTAATTTTTTTTAAGTTCATAAAAATGAGATTCCCCTTATTACAGGTGTCTTTCCCAGACATATTTTATTTCTCAAAGTCATGACACATTTTGGCAGATTCACTTTTGATACACATATCTGGTACTTGCTTCCTTGAAATTGGCATATTCAAATAAAAAAATATTATGTAATTGCCAAGACATGATGCACAAAATCTGACCGAAAAAAATTAAATAATCATGCAAAAATTAGGGGCACACAAATTGATCAATTCTGTTCAAATTAAGACACATTATAATAGTGCAAGATGCTAGCAGTGTTTGGCATTTAGTATTAGAGCGATGCCAACATTTAATGAGCATATCCAATACACAGATATTATAGTAGATAGCATCATAATAGCTAAACCTATAAATTGATACAGCAGTATATATTCATCAGTCAAATAAATCTGATTTTTTATTCCTATGAAGCCAAACTCTATCCCAGGATTTGTTTTTCCCCATTACAAGGTAGATCCGCCTTTTTCAGTTTATTATGCAGAAGTCTTGCATGAGAATGGACTGTTTTCGAGGGTTACATCACTGTAAACCACATTGGTAAATTCAGCAACTTGGAGCCTTTTAATCTACTTTTCATGAACCAAAGGCTTATGCAACAAGATAAATGCAGTCTTTGGTTCTATTTTGATTGAGTAATCAATATGAAGGCTTTCTCTGTGTCTGAAATATTACATGTAGTGGTCTAATGTCTCTTTACATAGGATTACTTTACTGAAAAATATCCTACGAAAGTTCTTACTAAAAGATAAACAACATTCAAGAACCCATTCTGCTTTTAACTTTTTATTTCATCATTCTTCATCTCTCAGGAAAAAAATCTTCTAAGCAGGTTTAGCTGCTTCAATCTGTTCTTTATCAAATTAACTTATACTCTTTTCAAGAGATATTGACATTTAGGAGGAGTCGCATATACTTTGATTACGGCTGTATGTATGGTACATAAAAATGTAAACCAAAGTGAAAATCTGGCATTATAAGACAGACATATGGAGACAGCCAGTTTATTGCAAAAGCAGGATCTGTTAAGTTTAAACACTGCAATGAGGACATGTACACTTTGTAATGTTGTGGCAACTACATTAATTTCTCTGGATGGGGAAACAGCAAGCATACCAAAAATGAATTGCAGATTTAGAGGGAAAATGTTCTTAATTATAAGTCTGGGAGGGAAAAGTGCTAGAGTTCTTGTACTGTAGGAGTTCAACACATATTTAAAAAAAAAAGGCAATAAATACTGGGGGGTTTGTTTGCTAAGCTTCTTACTGTGAATACCTTTTGCACAGACACACATACAGTGATTTCTAGCATGTGAAGCTACAGAAACCAAACAGACAGAAAAAGACTGTCATCTCACAGAATAATTACTGCTGAATCACCAGCACCATCAGTAGCCACAGGGGTCTGCAGGTCAATGGGGTCAAATCTGCATATACTAACCAACCATAAAGTCACAAGGAGTCATCAGCAAATGACAGCTAACATTTTTATCATTTCATTGGCTTGGAAGTTAACATGGGGTTCAAATTCCCTACTCCACCATTAATCAGTGACAAACATTGGTCAAGTGTCCAGCCCTTAATTCAATCACTGGGTAATTGACATTTGATATTTACATGGTAAAAGCGATAGGTATGGGGTCCTCAAACTTTGATTACCCCCAATAACTATACAATAAATGTCGTCCTTCTCAGACCTTAATGAGCTCTGATTACTACCTGTCACAGGCTCAAGTTTTTAATTTAACTTTCACCTTTCACTTATTTTAAAGCTTTGTGGATGATTCTACCATAAACACCTCATCTTTATGGCTAAATAATGAACAAAATTAAACTAATCAATGAATCCCAAACTGACAGTACTCAGCGCATAATAAAAATCACTGCTCACAGAATCTAATCAATGCCAATACATTTTATATAAAAATTTCATACAAGGAATGAATTTTTGATGATTAAGTTTACAGTGCAAAGTGAGACTGTTTGCACTGCCCCCTGGTGAAAAAGTTTATCATTTTGTGAGACAGCAAATAAAAAATGCCTTAAAATTCATGCTCAGTTTGTCATGCCTGCTGAAAACTTCAGCAACTTTTTTTTTTATTTGAGCTACAAATTATCATCTTTTGACAGATATTTATCTAACATTACAATAGTCAGATTTCTGTTGAATCTTTACAGATTTGTTTCCAGTAAACATGCAATAAAGCTATGAAAATTTACAATTTTTATTCTTCATTGAATTTTTTTTTAAACTTTGTATTAAGTCAACCATTAGGTCCCTTTTGTCAGTTCTATTCTTGAATGAAAATTAATATAAATCTTTAATAGGTAGATGCTATTTTAAGGGTTTTAGCCTTGTTATAAAGCAGCACATAATGGATGACACTTAAAATCATAATGGTTTAGACTTGAAAAATGCTGATCTAAAAAATTACTTGTGGTTGTCTGCCTAAAATAAAAGAATAAATGTCAAAGAAATCATGCAATTGCCAACATTCCTTAAGTTTTATTTAAAAAAATGTTTTTTCAAAGAAGTAAAAAAAAGTGTTGTATTTGGATAGGACTAAAAAGCATAAATACATAACAGTTTCAAAACATGCTAAGAACATGCATGCCTAAGACATGCGTGCAGCTTGATTTGTTTTGAGGTAAATTTAAATCACCAGAAAAAAAGATGGTGCAAGCACATTTCTGATCAATGTAATCTAGACACCTTTACAAGATGATAGATAAATCTATGAGCAATCAAAACTTCTAAATGCCCAGGTAATGCAGATTTGCACAAAACAACAAAATACAAGAGTACTTCACAACATGCCTAAACATACACATTATACTGAGGGTTAGACAGGAAACACGAAACTTATCACAAATTTTCTTTTTGCGGTTTCTTAAAAACAAAGCCATGTAAAAATAACAATGTAATAGACCCCTCCCATAAAAGAATTTTAATCTATAGTTTATGTAATTCCAAAGTGTATCTACTCAAACAATCATCTAATGCCTCAGAATGAGTTTTTATTAGGGACCATTGAGCCCATTATGTATCTGGGGGATTAATAACGCAAGATGTTCATCAGTTTTTGAAGGAAAATAAATGGAGAGGAAAAAACCAGCATTCAACTTGTTACAGTCATTATAGTATTTTATCTACCGATTGCGAGGAATATTGCACCTGGCCCTAAGCAAAATAATTGCAACAAACGAGTTTGAACGAAAAATTCATTATCTCGTGTCTGTCTTGTCTCAACAGTATACTTCCCAATACGCCATTTTTATCTCTCTCATTTTATATATTGAGAAAAACTGCATATGCAGAGTTGTTCCAATCATTTTAAAATACCTCATAGTATTAAATTCTATAAACAAAAACATTCAAATTCAGAACACAGTAATTTCTTCCCAGTGGGTAGAGAGCAACAGACTGGGAAGGCAACATCAAAGCCAATTGATTTTCTTTTTTTTAAAGTGACTTCTGTTTAAATATGAGAAAAAGCAAAAACAGCTCCTGTTGTTTTTATTTAATTAGTGGAAAGGAAGATAGGCACTGATATCAAACATCATCTGATTCAATATCAATCAATATATCCCAGCCTTGATTGGGTCATTAGGCTACTGAAGTCTAAGACAAACAATATCCCTTATCATCACAGCCTTTCCCTTACAAATTTGATAGATCTGACTCAAGACATTTAACAGAAATTATGATTGAGATTTTGGGGGGTGTAAAGTCAGCTCTGCTGGGAATTACATTAAATCAACAGCACATTATCCCCCATTGAGGTAGCAGCCTGGATACATGGTTCAACACAAGGACAGAATGTTGTACTCTCCTGACTAGTGGATTAGACCACCTCTTTACCCTTTCTTATGGAGCATCTTTTCCTGTATTTCATCAGCATATCTTATAGTAATTTGATTATAATTCAATTAAAATTTCTGTCAACCATCAAGTGCCAGCAAGCGCCACAAAATGGAGTCTAGCACATGTCAAGTGTTCGGGTTCTGACTGATACAATCATTCCTTGATTACTTTTACAGATAGTACATCTATGTGTGTATTGCTGCCATTCCTTGCCTACATTTCTAGGTTATTCCAACCAACACCCTGAAACTGAGGCAATCAGTTTGT